TTCAATAAAAACTTTTTTGGATTTACTATAAAAAATCTTTTTTTTTTTTTTCATTTTTTTTGGGTTAAAATCGAATATATATATATATATATATATATATATATATATATATATATATATATATATATATATATATATATATATATATATATATATATATATATATATATATATATATATATATATATATATATATATATATATATATATATATATATATATATATATAGAGTGTCTGGTTTCAGATCGAATTTTAAATTTTGAAATCGTTTCAAAATCCTATTTTTTCCCTAAAAAAACACACTTATAATAACACAATTTAAAAATTTCGCCGATTTCGAGCCAAAAAGATTCAATTTGGTTCCGATTTCCTCACTTCGATTTTTTGGAATCTAATTTAAACTAGTTTTTCAGTTTTCCAAAAAAATGAAATTTATTCGAAAGTGCTAATTGTGATCCAATCTTCTGAATTGCAACTCTAAGTTGTTGACAACTAATTAAATAATAATATTATTATAAAATGAAAATTCTTGGCATGCACTTGCATCTTGTACTTTGCTAATGTACCATCATCTCAACTACACCACTTAAACAATTTCCTAATACTTTCCTTAAATCAGGACAAAAGTACAAGATTAACACTAGTATGAATCATGGATTAAAACACTAATTTTTCTGTACTAAAATTCAAAAAAAAAAAAAGAAAAGAAAGAAAGAAAGAAAAAATCACTTTTCCTAGAATAGGTATCTATCCATGAAGCTTTTGTAGCAAGGTGTGTCAATCTCATACAGTTGTAAGAATACATGCACATTACCAAGGGTGGATAACATTATCCGGCTTACCAATGGTGGATAAATTATCCAATATCCATGTTAGGAATCAGTCAGAGAGAGAGAGAGAGAGAGAGAGAGAGAGAGAGAGATGATTATATATATAGATGTATTAATTGTTAAATGGTTAAGTGTAGACAAGAGATCATAATCTAGTACAAGTGATTTTGTCCCTTCCTGTCTTTCTTGATAGACTATTGTGTGGTTAACAAGTGCTTATACCTAATTTCAACATGGGGCCTTTATTATTATTTGTCCACTTCTTCCTCTCCCACGTAAATCTTTTAATTCGACAAAAATAATTAATTAACGCCCCCCCCCCCCCCCCCCCCTTTTTTTATATATTTTCTCCGACACGAGATTTGATTTTACGCGGTGAAAGTATGATTAGTCATGATCAATTTTGTTGATGTAATATGTATATAATCCCATGATTCAACTGTTTTACTTAGTACTCGATGAATTGACGGGTGATTATTAATGGAATCGGGACAAATTAATTAACTCATCACTTGCTAACTCTACGTACTAGTAATTAATTCTTGTGTTAACACTAGCTAGCTGCCAAAACCGATAGTTCGGCTCGTAATTGAAGGGTATTTTGGGTATTTTAGATTACACCCATCACTAATTTGTCTTTTACTACGGGTGATCATTAGATTGATCAATCGGATAGAATTTGGATCGTCGGATACAAAACGGATCCAAAATGAATCGAACTTGAATTTTGACCGGATCCAATGCCTTTTCAGTTTTTCATGAATGGATTCGATATGGATCTAAATTCTAATAATCCCTACAAAATGTACTAAGCCAATAAAAAATATGTAACTTTAATAAATAATTAAAATTAAAAAAAAAATTAAATCGGCCGAAAAAGGATAAATTGAATTAATTAAATACAATAATAAATATGAAAATTCAAAATTAAAAACAGGGGATGAACTTGAGTATTGCGTCCAAGTTGTCAGAATGAGAATCTAAAGACTAAAGTCAACGTGGCAGTTTCTGGTTGGATGCACGCACTTAGTTGATTTTGCGGGAAAATTAAAAAAGACAAAATTCCACAAGAGGGAAAAATATAATTAACTGGTCAGCGCTTTTAATTAATGCAATAAGTAACTGTTTGTCGTGATTAGCATAAGATTAGCCAATAATACGTTTGATTAAGGGGAGGCCACGTCTACTCAAGTGAAACAGATTTGGTAATTGTTTTGTTGTTTTTTAAATGATGTTGAGTCAAACCTTTTGCTATCTTTAGTATTAGTGTGACTGCTAATCCATTTTCTTAAATCACCCTTTTGTATGATGATTTCATTTGCAATTAAACACTTAAATTAAATCCGTACGATTTTTACTAAATATCGGACATTTTTATTCTCTTAGGATTTTCTTATAATATCGAAATTTAATATCGGCCGTATTTTATTGTCTTAGGATTTTCTTATAAACTTTCTACGACATTATTAATCGTCAACCGTTTGAGGTTTATTGAATTCGATCAATAGTGAAATATCTTGCTATTATTTGTGTATGGTTCAGGTGCGAGTAGACGTTAATCGCGTGTAAAATATTGTTAGATATGAATTTTAGAAACATTTTGAATGCAAAAATGGAGTCGAATCGAATGATTTATTTTTTATAAATAAAAATGTTTGAAAGGTGAATGAATATGTGTGAGGTGGTGTTAAAAATTGAAATTGAAGAAATATCCAATATTTACTAAAAGTCGTATGTTTTATTTTAGTTTCTTTGATGGGGGTGATTGTTTTCATTTAATATAAATTTTAATTTTATATTTTTTTTATATGTGTAATTCGTGAAAAAAAGGGTAAAATACACTTTACCCCTGTACTATGCTCCACGTAACACTTACCCCTCGTACTATGAAAAATACACTTACCCCCTTATTTTAATGGTCAACCTATTTGACTCTTAACGGTGTTAGTAGTAAAATAAATTTCATATATTTTTAACAATCCTTACTAAATGACACTTTTTTTTTATTTAAAAAATATTACATGTACAACAAATAAATTAAATAAATATTTAAGATAATAATATTTTTAAATTTTGATTAAATAAGAAAAATATTATTACTTTTTAATAATTCATAAGAAATGACACCTTATTTTTATGAAAAAAGTATCTTTTCATTGTGGATATATATATTAAATAAATATTTAACATGTATAAAATTTTAAATATAGGATTAAAATATTTACCCATTAAATATATATATTAAAAATTATAATTCTACAGTAATATTTTTTAACGATATATGCTAATGATTTATTTTATTTATTTGTAACATCAAAATTCACTTAAGCCTTTTGCATTTAGGATTCACTCTACGATATTTAATGTTGCAAATAAATATTAAAAATTCAATGCACACAATGTTTAATGAGTTAAATAATTTAATCCAAAATATGAAAAATTATACTTGCTATTTGGTTGTATAAAATAATATGTGAAAAAATTATATTATCTAAATATTAATTTTTAATATAAATATTTAACAAATAAATTATATTTAATTCAAAATTTAAAAAAGAATTGCTATCTTAAATATTTATTTAATATATTCATAGTACATGTAATATATTTTTAAATAAAGAAAATGAATCATTTAGTAAGAATTATTAAAAATATATTAAATTTATTTTACTTCTAACACCGTTAAGAGTCAAATATGTTGACCGTTAAAATAAGGGGGTAAGTGTATTTTTCATAGTACGAGGAGGTAAGTGTTACATAGGAAATAGTACAAGGGGGTAAAGTGTATTTTACCCCAAAAAAAAATTGTTTAGCCATCACCTATTTATTCTCTAAATCTCAGATCCACACCCGGCGGGCCCGAATCCTACGAGTTGGTTTCGGGTCCCCCTAAAATCTAAGATGGTCACCAACCTAATTATAATTAATAATTGACGCGTGATGTTGAGAGTTTATTAAAAATATAAAAATGGGTACCACAAAATAGGAAGTTTGAGACTTAATTAGGGAAACTAATAGTGGTTTTCGAAAGATAATAGTTATTTTTCTTGTTTTTAAGTTTCTTTTGCGTGCACACAATGTAAAGGTTTTCATGCGATGCCACACGCGCGCATAATAAATTGATTATAGTGTACGAGTAATTAAAACGGAATTAAGTGGTTAAATAATGTTAAATATTATTAATTAAAGCGAATGGTAAAAAGAGATTAATTGGGTCCTTAATTTTAATTTTTAAACGAAACTTTTTTTTTATTAAGTTAAACGAAGCTTAGTAAATTTATTGGGTCCTTGAATTTTAATTTTTTAATTTTTATTGTCTTGTCAATTTATCGTGTCGCTAATATTGATATGGCGGCATATTTTTTTAATTATTATTTAATTTATTGTTGGATTCTGAAAAGATATTTAATCCCTTTCATTTACCATTTATTCGTTTATATTGTTCGTCGTGTTTCTCTCTCTTCTTTTTCTACTTAAACTTCTGCCAGATGTTATTCATAGCGATGTATATATAGCTCTTATGGTGTTTTGGTGTATATGCACATCTGTCAATTGTCACTAAATAAAATATCCCCATCAATTTTTATTGTGTCGATTGGAATCATTAATAAATTTTTGGATGTTTATATGTATTTACATATCTTTTTTTCTGAATTTCATAAAACATATACTACACCAAATTGAAAATACTCACTAAGAATGACGATGATACCCCTAACTTCCGAGTTTTGACCTTTTCCATATAGGTCGAGCCATAATCGAATTCTTCGGTCACTAATTGTACATGTTGAATGCACTATAAAATTACGATATGTGGTTTTTCTACCACCAATTAATTCTAGAATAGTTATGAGGTCCTACGTACGATATGACTAACTATATATGGATCGAGTTGTAAATTAGATTCATAAACCGGACAAAGCGGATTAACAAAAGTTCGAATTCTCTGACGAGTTCGAACTCGAACCCACTACTTCCAATTATTCATCAACTTGGAGTTTTTCCTTTCTTTTTTCAATATAATGAAAATGAATTATAATAAAAAATTAACATAATAAAAATAAATTATTATATGACAAAATATTTATATAATTCTTGGGCCAATATGTACTCGAGCCTTAACTCGAAATCACGGACCGAGTCAAGCTCAGCTCCAACTCGATTTGGACGTACTGCACATCTAGGGTTAAGCACAGGATATAATTCTTGCGTCATGCATGTACGCATGCATACTTTTCCAAGTGTTTGAGCTATTTTGATTAATTAATAATATATTTAAATGTCGTAAACAAAGTTAGGTTAAAAATCATCTTGACGTCAAATTAATGGCTCATTTAACTGGCAAAAGTATTTAAAAAAATATATATAAATAAAAAATAAAGAAAGAAAGAAAGAAAGAAAGAAAGGCTCTTACCAAAACTCTATAAATTGAGCACCACATCACCATTATTATCTTCAAATAACATCTACCATACTTTTCTCTTTCTCTCTCTCTCTCTCATACACACAGAGACACGCAGTAGGTGTTTCTCTCTCTAGAAAAAAAAGAAAAGAAAGAGATGGATAAGAAACCATGTATATCTCAAGATGTTGAGGTGAGGAAAGGACCATGGACTATGGAAGAGGATCTGATTCTCATGAACTACATTGCTAACCATGGTGAAGGAGTTTGGAACTCTCTCGCTCGATCTGCCGGTGATTATTATATCTATATATATATATCTATATCCTTTTTTTTTAGAGAAAAACCCTAAAGAGAAAAAAGAAGTTTTTGTTTTTTTAATTTTGTATTATTATTTATTTTTTATAAATTTTGATAAAGAAACCCTAAATGATTTGTGTTGATTTTGGTGTAGGGCTGAAGCGGACGGGAAAAAGCTGTCGACTACGGTGGCTGAATTACCTGAGGCCGGATGTTAGGCGTGGGAATATCACGGCGGAGGAGCAACTTTTGATTATGGAACTGCATGCTAAGTGGGGTAATAGGTTAGTTTTTTTCTTTTTTTATTTATGTACTACTGATGTAGGGTTTCCTTCTTCTATTCTTCTCCCCTTTTTTTCTTCGGGTCCGTCTTTTCCTAAAAATGAAACTTCAAGAAAATAAAATAACAAAAATAGCAAGAAGATAACATAAACAATAAAAAAACTTGATGTTTGGTGTGGAGAAAGATGAGCCATAGATTTAGAGAGAGAGAGAGAGATTTTCAGTTTTTACCAGTACGTACGAGTGTTGGATTTTACAAACGTGGGGAAATTAAAGTGAGTGGCTGCAAGAAAGATGCGATCTTGTAGTTTATGGCTTATTCGAGAAGAAAGAATATTATGTCTATTTATTATGATGTTTGTATATTTACCCCATCACTCAATAAGCCTTATATTTATTATGAGCCAAAAAACCAAAGGTTTATTTATTTATTTATTTAAATAATAATACGGCGTCGGCGAGTTTAAAGAAGTCTATCAGTGTTAGTCTGCTAGATCTATGGTTATTCAAAAGTATATGTCATTTTATTCAACAAAAACTAACTCCCCGTACTTTTTCTTAAATAATAAACACCTCGTACTTTATATAAACTTTCGATTACGAATATCGAAATTTACTACAAGAGTTGATCATACCTAGTTTTGATAGGTTTGGTTTTCAAATTTTAACCTTTGTTTTTATTTTTCTAATCAGATTTAAATTGCGATGTAAAAAGCAAATTTTTTTTCTTTCATTTAGAGTAAATACCTAACCTTGTTTATTAGGGTCAAGTTTTATGGTTCAAATATTCCATTTAATTATTTTTTTCACATTTGTTTGGAATTTTTTTTCTTAAGAAGTATTTTTTGGAAAAAAAAAAGAACAGAATATAAGAGGTAAATAAAAAAGGTGCAACACAAACACGTTGAGAACGAGGACCAAAAGAATAGGGGAGATAGAATTTTCCAAAAATAGGAGAGGGGTTTGTAATAAGTCACATGTTTAAACCTTCTTCAGTTCAAAGTAAGAAGCTCCCAACTGCTGGCTACTTATGTTGAAATTGACATCTGCCATATTGTCTTGTCATTTTTTAGACACAAGGACCCCCCATTCTTTCACTCTTCTTTTATTTTCTGCCTGGATTTTTTTTTTTTTTTTAATTTAACTCGAAACCCGTTCAATTGGAAAAGTAACGGAGGGGTAGTATTCGAACTCGTGACTTTGTCCCTAACAATTAGCCAAAACGAAATACCAACTCTCCGAAAAACGAGAGTTTCTAAGAAAAAAAATGGCAAGTTTGAACCCCGGTTACACCCGGCCTATACCAATTTTTATTTGGTTAGTTTTCAGTATTTGGTTAGTTTGATTAAATAATAGAGTTTAGTAAACCCTAGGTAAAATCTGAAGCACACAACTAAATATCTCTCCATTCTATTTAAGTGTCATTTTTCATGATCGGCGTAAAAAGCAATAAATATTACGATTTTCTCATATTAAAAAAAATATTAAATAATTTTTTTTCTCACCACATAAATATTCGTTATGATAAAAGGGCAAATTTGGTAAAATAAATCCACCATGAAACTCTAACATAATATGGAAAAAAATATTATGTTTAAAGTGACACTTAAACTAAACGGGGTAATTAGTCTATCCAATAAAATTCCTAGGTGCCCTCCCCTCTGCGGTTAATATTACCGATAACGACTAAAAAGGAAACCACGTAATCTTTTCTAAAATAATTCGAAATAGAATCTGATTATCGTTAATCTATGCATATTATTGAATAATCGGTACCAAAAAAATTAATTAGTAAATATAATATAAGGAACCGAACATCGTACTGCCTTTTTTTTCTTTTTCTTTTTAACAAAATAATATCTCATCACTTTGTGGAATGAGTGGTTGAGATTCATATAATCAAAATCATAATCACATATAATTAAAAAAGTATGATTATGATTGTGATAATAATCTTAGTTAGTCTCTTTCACAAGTGATCTCAACCCACTTAAATAATGAAAGAAACAAAACATCAAGCCATGTTGCCCTTCAAGGACAACACCCGTGCTTGATTTTTTCTTTATAAGGGTCCATTTTCCATGACGTCATAATTAGTATTTTCTTTTTATAACTTAAATGTCTGTTTAATAATTATAAATAAAAACAAAACATTAAAAAACACTTCCCTCGTACAATTAAAAAAAAAGTAAATAATTTTAATTTAAACTAATTAAATCACTATTAATATATCTTTATCTTGCTACTTTGAAATTAAATTTATTTTAATTATAATTACCTCGGATTAATTTGAGATGAGACGCCATTGATATGCCATCTTTTCCTTGCAATAAACCACACATGTAAGAAAACACACACACACACACTGGATATGGATCTAAGCCATGCACAGCTGATATACAGATAGTGAGTGTACGTATATAGTAGATAGATACACACTAGCTAGCTTTCAGTGCTTACAATATATATATATATATATATATATATATGTGCAAAATTCAACTTTCCTTTAAATAATTTGAATGAATGCCTAACAACTTTGATTTTCCACCACAGAACATGTCTTCAATTCCTATCATTTTTTTATTTCATTTTTTCCCCCAATTTATTTTTATCATTTAAAAAAAAAAAAAAATTGTATAAAAATACGTGGACCACTAGTATGTCAGATATTTTATATTTCTTCTTACATGCTATAGGAAAATTATATTATCCCACGTGCCATAATTCCAACTTTTGCAACTACTACTACTACTACCAAAAAAAAAATCTGATAAAAAAATGGAATTTATTATTTATTGCACCTATATATAGGAATAGTTATTTATTAAATTTATGATGAGAAGTCCCCTACAATTTAGGTATTAATTAATGAATTAATTATACTAGATTATTTTTTAATTTATTGAATTAAATTGTTGTTATTACAGGTGGTCGAAGATAGCAAAGCATCTGCCCGGAAGAACAGACAATGAAATAAAGAACTACTGGAGGACTCGAATCCAAAAGCACATAAAGCAGGCAGATCAGAACTGCAGTACAGGTCAGCTTGCTGACGTCAGCAATGACCAAGCCAGCACGAGCCAACTCTCCAGTTGCTGCCCTGCGGATAACCATACAGTTGAATCCTACTCCCCTTCGTCCTTCAACGCGAACATCGAGCCTTTTCAACCACCTTTCCCAACCGAATCCAACGAAAACCTCTGGAGCATGGAGGATCTTTGGTCCTGCAGTTACTCAACGGCGAATAAATATATATATATATATATATATATACATGTGTGTGTGTATGTATATGTGGTCCTATAAAATCGATCGTCCGTCCGCGGTAAAGTGTCTCTCAAGAAACCTATATTAAACGAAAAACGATGAATCCGGTCCGGTGGTATATAGATGAATTAATTAGTTAATATATATCGAGTACGCCTTTATAATTTCTGGTTCTTGAATTTTTAAGTGTTGACATGTAATATATTATATATATAAATATATGATATGGTTTTATGATGATGAATTAATATATGAATTGCAATATGTCTATATATACTAAACGACGAAGAAAATTAAACGTACAGGTTTTGTTTATTTTATCTTTACTTAATTATTGTACGTACTTCAACTAATGATTATTGATTAAGTCGTCACTAGGGTTGAGAGAGAGAGAGAGAGAGAGAGAGAGAGAGAGAGAGAGAGAGAGAGAGAGAGAGAGAGAGAGAGAGAGAGAGAGAGAGAGAGAGAGAGAGAGAGAGAGAGAGAGAGAGAGAGAGAGAGAGAGAGAGAGAGAGCTTTGTGAAGTATTATGAAATGAGAGAGACTACACTTAATTGACATCAGACAATATAAAAAGTGGTGTCTAAATCAACGTTGAAATGTGTCGTTAGTGATTTGTTGTCCTTATCTTTCATACACACAGTTAAGTGTTTTTATTAATGGAAGTGATGGAAAGGTGATATATATAACTTTTTTCTGTCTTTCTAAGGTTTAATTTTTACGTTTTCCTCTGTCTGTATTATGTGTGTATTCTAGATGTGCACGTATGTGAGTTTCAAACACACTTACGTGTGATATATACGTTATGCTTATTTTATCATATTTTTTGAGTAAACCTAAAAAAAATCGGGAATGCTGACTCCGAACCCTCGAAAATTTTAACTTTAACTATACATTATTACATGTATTTTTTTTAAGAATATTTCGGCCCCTCATAAATTGGCCCTATATGTGGAAGTGATAATTGTAAAAATATATATATTATTTTTATTCTTTTTAATTATATTTATTTAATCATGGGTGAAACAAATACCAAACTGAAGTGAGGGTAAATAGGCACGTGGAAAGGTGGTATAGCTATTTAAGGCAAAAAGGAGTGTTTGCTTTCTATATAGAACTAAATTTGTTAATGGCCATCCCATTATCAATTACGACATGTGCCCAACTCTTAACCCCTCTATTCGGAAATCTCCACGTGGTTCCCTTTAATTCCTTTCTTCTCTTCAATACCTAAACATTCATTATTTTATTACCATCATCTTTTTTTTAATAATACAAATTACTTACCTAAATAGTTTGCCTTTTTTATTCAAAAGAATCCACAATCACATATATAATACATTCAAATACCTCTTTTCATACAATTGAAATAAATAAAATAAAAATTGAAATAATATAATATTTTACGAGTACATCATAAACTGCATTTTTTGTTGTGCATCACAAACTACAATTTTGCACACAAAATCATTACAAACTAGACAACATTCCACGGTTTCTAGAAGATTCCGTTGAATTTAACACAACAAGGGTGCACGTGTAAGAAATTTCATAGTTGGGAGGGTTGATTATAATTACCCAAAGATAATGGATTTTTTTTGATAATTTAACCATAACTCAGAAGGTGGTCGTTATTTATTCGAAATAATAATAATAATAATAATAATAATAATAATAATAATAATAATAATAATAATAATAAATAAATAAATAAATAAATAAATAAATAAATAAATAAATAAATAAATAAATAAATAAATAATAATGTAAAAATTCTCCACCACTCGTTTTATTGATCACATTTTCCAACTGGAAAAATCAGTAGAAAACACAAAGAAGCACCACGTGAAGGATAAAAAAACTATCACATGGCAAGTCGGCAATGACTGCATGGAAAACGCTCCTATTACAAATTAGCCTTGTCAACAACTTCAATTTTCTCAACAAAATAAAACCATAAATAGGTAAAAATTAAAAAGAAAGGATAAAAAATAAATATATATATATATAAATAAATAAATAAATAGATAAATGAAAAGCACCACATAATAATCATACATGTATTTGGGCTTCCATATCGGCCCACTTCGAATCTACTGCTTCATCTGCTTTTACGTTTAAGAATATAAAGTGGGCCCTAATGGGCCATTGTTAGGGTTGTTATCATAGTTACTATGTTTTGAGTGGGCCCGGAGTGGAGCAATACTCGAGATATATACTGCTCGGAGCCTCCTCCTCCAATTGAATTTGTCGGAACTCGGAACCCCAATCATTCAATTGAAACTAAAGAAATAAATTAATTTAATTTTGAGTGAATTGTCAAAACAATTGATATGTGTTATTTTAAATTGTTGATTTTTTTCATTATTTTATGAGAATTGTAAAAAGAAGAAAAATTACTTCTGTGTTGTTTTAAATTGTTGATAAGCTTTCTGTATTATTTATGATATATTTTTTTTTCTTCATATAATGTATTTTTTAACCACACACTCCCGAAATTATGACTTTTTAGGTGGTAATTTGTTAAATAAATATTAAGTAGTACATTATTTTCGTAATTGATAAAATAATGCGAATATATTTGTTGGGTACTCTTTTGAAATTTGAATATTGTGTAAGGTTCTTATAGTACCAAACTGGATAAACTATAACAAGAATAACCAATAGGAAAAAGAGATTTAAGGACTCTAGATTATATACTAAATATCAAATGAGAAACATAAAGAAAACAAAGTGAAGTAACTCCAAGTCAACTTGACTATATATAGCTTAGAATGCAACGATCATCGGCGGATAAACCACCTCAAGTCAATTTGAGCCATGTTTGGTGGCGTTTGACTCAAATATCGTCAAAAGAAGACAAATGAAGTCAGCTGAAGAATGAAGGTACATGACGGGGGTAGAGAAAAAAGAGAAGACTATATTTATGTCAAACGAAAAGAAGCTAGTATATATAACTTGATGGACGACCTAGATGAATGGTCAAAATTGAGGTCGAAGCTTCTCCTAAAGTTTAGTCTTAAGTAAGCTACGTGGGTCGACTCGGCTACTCAAGTGAGATTCAAAGTTGGGCCCATTCCAAAATGAATAAATAAATGGGCCAAAACCATTTAATTTCATCAATGCTTTTGTTTAAAAAAGAAAAAATTGTTGTAGCTCAACTCAAGGGAGACTCACTCGGTCAATTTTAATAAATTGGTTTGAATTCTGTAAACATTGACTCAGTTAGTAAAATATTTAATTTCTTGTATTAAATATATATAACATGAAAATTGTTAAAATTTTATTGAATGGGAGTTATAAATATGCTTGAAAATCAAACATATCCTAATTTATTTAGTATTTTTTAAAATTCTATACCCCATTTGAGGTGGTGGCTCAACTCTGAAGAAAGGCATTCCTATTGCTTCTTTTCCGCGGGAGAAAGTTAGCACATATTCTGCTTTACGACTCCTATAGTAGGGAATGGGGTGGGGTGGGGGTGGGGTGGTGCGCGGCCGCGAATGGCGAGAGCTTTTCTGTATGCGATAGTAGGAGGAGGAGTGGCGGCTGGCTACGCCGCCGATGAATTTGTCAAAAGAGGCGTTTCTCGTGGTGATCTCTGCATCATCTCCGAAGAGCCTGTAATTCATCTCTCAACCCCACCCCTCTCTCTCTCTCTCTCTCTCTCTCTCTCTCTCTCTCTCTCTCTCTCTCTCACACACACACACACACACACACACACACACACACACACACTATTAGTTAATTGATTTGTGTATATTTATGTGGTAATGGTTTTGCATTCACCGATTCAATTTTTGTTTGTAAAAGTTCGACTCAATTATGATTTTCCACAACTGGAATTTGGAAGTACAGTTTGAATTTGAGTCTAATGTAATTTAATTCCACTATTACGAAGCCTAAATGACTGGCAAAGCTGTCATTTAGTGGTGTAAATTTCTATTTTAAGCTGTGTCGTTAATCGTTTATGAGGATAAAGTAATTGGTGGTTGCGCCAATTCAACCTCCTAACATATGGAGATCCTAATGAGTAGACATATCCAGAAACTGGAGAAATTTTTGAATTGTAAGAAAGGAAAAAAAATAAAAAAATCGACTAAAAAATTAATGTGGCCTTGGCCTCTGAGCAGAGTAGTGAATTTGTGAAGCCAATGCAATTGCCCGTTGTTCGCTTGATCATTAAACCTTAGTTTTGCGTTTCTTCCTGTGCCTATTAGTTCTCTCACAGAGATGTGAAATATATACGATCGCCGCTCGTAATTGTCAGTTTGAGATCCTGTAATATGTTTTACGTAAATGGTTGTCGGTTTATTGTGAGGTAAGAAAAAAGGTTTTGACTAGAGGTGAATTTTTTTTGTGTGTGTGTGTGTGTGTGTATCTATAAAGGTTTGACAGGGTTATTTATTCGACATACTTTGTTTGATATGTTGTTGATTCTGGGAAATATTCTGCAGGTTGCACCATATGAAAGGCCTGCGTTGAGCAAAGGTTACTTAAATCCAGAAGGTAGTTATCCCCTCACGTTTTGTAGATTACCAGTTATTGCATATCTCTTTCATGTTCTCACACTACACACACCATATGCAACTGGATGTAGCTTCTTCGGAATAACTCAAGGTTGAATTTACATACTATTGACAGCCTACCTTGAGTTAGTCCTGCAATTTCATTACGGTTCACTTCTTCGAGAACCAAAAAAGATATTTCAGTAACCATCTATAAGTGTGCTCCTATATATGCTTTGTTTGTACGAAGAGGCCCTACGGAAGACATACGAAAGAATTGAAGTATGTGCAACTGCTATTAAACTAATGAGAAAAACATAAATGGTTGGCAATTTAAAAATTTACATCAATTGTACACACACAAACTCACAAATGTTTATGTTTGTGTGTAGTAGTAGAGAGATTTTTTAGTGGAAGCAGGTGTTGATATCTTTGAGTTTTAAAATTTGGAAGAATGTTTGTGTTGTTCCCTTTTTGAGTACTTGTGCGTTTATTAATGTTTTCAATCTATATATCTTAGTTGGGTATTTGAGTCATTTTCACTGATTCTACGTATGAAAATGCTCTGTATCTCTTATTGCATGCAGCTCCTGCGCGCCTCCCTTCATTTCATTGCTGTGTCGGTACCAATGGGGAAAGGTTGGCTCCAGAATGGTACAAGGAACATGGTAATTTTCTCCTAGCAATATAACAATTATTTTAGGCCAATCCACGAGTGAAATAAAAAATAAAGAAAATTAGACTGTGGCTCGCCTTACAAAAAACTAGTTCCTTTTATTCCTAACATCTGTTTCGAGATTGATTTAATTGGCCATTTTATTAATTCAGGACATGGTATCGTTTACTCACTCATGCGTAATTTTTCAGGTATTGAATTGTTTCTTGGAACTCGAGTTATATCTGCTGATGTGACGCGGAAGACATTGCTAATTGCAACAGGGGAAACCATAATTTACAAATATCTCATTGTTGCAACTGGTGCTCGGGTATTAAAGTTTTTTTTTTCTTCTTCTTTTCCATTTTCTAGTATTATTGTCTTAATAGGTGTTTATTTTACTGTATGCTGATAAATAAATTCGGGGGACTGGGAATTGATTTTCCCTCTAAAAAAATTGCCTGTAGAGTTTTTCTTTTATGTAATAAATTGCACGTCGTTCGTGAGTTTATGTATGGTAGAAGTGACTTATGGTGTACCGTGTTCCACTTATATAAACCCTAAATTTGAATGGCCATCACAGAGTTCTCGTAATTAAAATAACAAAGTATAAAAGATCAGGACTCTGATCGGCCATCACATCATTTATAGGCGTTGAAACTCGAAGAGTTTGGAATAAATGGATCGGATGCAGCAAACGTATGTTATTTACGAGATTTGGCTGATGCAGAAAAACTTGTAAAAGTGATGCAATCTTGTACTGGTAAAACTGCTGTTGTTATTGGTGGCGGCTATATTGGAATGGAGTGTGCTGCATCTTTGGTGATAAACAACTTAAATGTGACGATGGTTTTCCCGGATTCCCATTGCAGTAAGTGATTTTTTTTGCATTTCTATTGTTCCAATTTTTATAGTTATAAGCTTATGTTAGTTATTCTAATTGCAGACTTCATTTATTAACCTTTCTTTGCAATTTCTTTGATCCTCTTGTGCATTTCCAGTGTCCCGATTATTTACCCCCAAGATTGCTAGATACTATGAAGAATTTTACCAGTCCAAGGGAGTGAAGTTTATCAAAGGAACTGCTTTGACATCATTTGATTTTAACTCTGATGGGAAGGTAAAATTTTAATCTCCTTTGACTGTTAACTTCTATAGTTTCTCTTAAGCGCTCGATAATATAGCAATGAGACGATAACTTACTACTGTATTCTTCTTGTACTACAGTTAGTGAAAAATCATAGTTGCAAATAAAAGCACGCATACCATGCTTTTTGTTTTTTTTTTTTATTGAATTTCTACTTTTTTTCTTCTTTTTCAAAATCTTTTGCAACCACTACCTTAAACTGACCAAAATTTATTTCTTACAGGTCACTGCTGTTAATCTTAAAAATGGGAGCAAGGTTCCAACAGATATGGTTGTCATCGGGATCGGTGCTCGTCCAAACACAGCTCTATTCGAAGGTCAACTAACCATGGAGAAGGGCGGAATCAAAGTCAACAGCATATTCCAATCAAGCAACACCTCTTTATTTGCAATCGGAGACGTCGCTGCTTTTCCAGTAGTCACCGTTGCAGGAGAAACAACAACAACAAGACTCGAGCACGTTGACTTTGCAAGAAAGTCAGCAAGGCATGCAGTTGCTGCAATAATGAACCCTGAAAAGACTAATGAGTTCGATTACCTGCCTTTCTTTTACTCGAGAGTCTTCACATTGTCTTGGCAGTTTTACGGAGTCAATGAAGGGGAAGTTGTCCATTTCGGGGATTTCTCTGGAAAAACATTGGGGGCGTATTGGGTATATAAGGGCCGTCTTGTCGGGTCGTTTCTTGAGGGTGGAACTAAAGAACAGTACGAGGCGATAGCCCATGCAACTAGGGTTAAACCTATGGTTGAAGACTTGGGTGAGCTTGAGAAACAGGGGTTGGGATTCGCCTTGTCCTTGAATCAGAAAACTCCATCGTTGGAGAGACCACCATTTAATGCATGGAATTCAACTGCCGGAGCTATTGTGGCTGCTGCATTTATGGCAGCCTTTGCGTTTCGGTATGGCACGAGGCGCGGAAGGCGGTGATATGTTATTTTGGTCGTCGTCATTGAAATTCTGTATGTATCGTAATCATGATTGTAAGATGCAATGTTTTTCTATTCCCATGTGGTATCATTTTATAACTTGTAAGGGTACTTTGTACTTGAGAAACTAAAATAACTTTTCTTATAGCATAAAAAGGCTAAGAGAATTGTTCTCAGATACTGATTTGTCAATTGGATTATCTTGAAGTGATATTTTTTATGAACCACTGTGAGTAGTCTTAGCAATTAATTGCATTTCTTTTGGTACTGACAGTGAAAAAATTGTCTCACTCACTTATAACCAGAAATGGGCATTTGGTCTAGTGGTATGATTCTCGCTTTGGGTGCGAGAGGTCCCGAGTTCGATTCTCGGAATGCCCCTTTTTTGTGCTAGACTCCTTTTTAATCTCTGGATTTACAAAGAACAATCATGAGACAATATTTCATCGGCCCAGCCCAAATAATTTAAAATTTTGTTTTAATTTTCTAAGGGCATTTTAGTCAATGCAGAAACAAGCAACCCAAATTCGCCTCAAAGCTCAAAGATGCAATCCGCTCAACCCTTATCCTATCTTCCTCTCACTCTTCACTAATCTACTCTCTCTCTCTCTCTCTCACTGCGTTTCCTCTCTCTCCCTATCTCCCAAATTCGGCCATGGCTTCTGCGCTATCCACCGTCACACTCCGCTCTCCTTCCTACGCAACCCCCACCACAGCGTATTCCGCCCTCCCTTCCTCCACATTCCCCAAACAATCCATCGAATTCCCCCTCAAATCCACCCCCGCACTCCTCCGCCGCCGCACCTCCGCCGTCCGCCCAATCTCCGCCGTCGATGCCCCTGAGAAGGTCGTCGAGCTCGGCGACCAGATCTCCAACCTAACCCTCGCCGACGCTCAGAAGCTCGTCGAGTACCTCCAGGACAAGCTCGGCGTCACCGCCGCCTCCTTCGCCCCCGCCGCCGTCGCCGCTCCAGTCGCCGCTGAAGCGGCCGCCGTCGTCGAGGAGAAGACGGAGTTCGATGTCGTGATCGAGGAGGTGCCGAGCAATATGAGAATCGCCACCATTAAAGTGGTTAGGGCTTTGACTAGCTTGGCTCTGAAAGAAGCCAAGGAATTAATTGAAGGACTGCCGAAGAAATTCAAGGAGGGGGTTTCCAAAGAGGAGGCGGAGGAGGCCAAAAAACAGCTGGAAGAAGCCGGTGCCAAGATTTCTATTGTTTAGTATCATGATTATTTTTAAAACAAAGGTGATTTTTGTATGGTCTCTGTTTATCTTTTTTATTGAGTTTATTATGAATTATCAGGTGTAGATTAATCCTGGATTTGTAATGTAATCTATCCAAACCCATATTTGCTTTTCCCTTTAATCCTACTATGATTAATCATTCTTCTTAGTTCCAACATTACAAACGATTTAATTAGAAAACGTACTATTTATTTCTTCTTTGGGAAAATGAATGATTAATTCTCATCAACTGTCTTCAATCTTTGTGCAATTGAATTTCATTTAGTTTATACTAAGAGTTGGTACTTAGCCTTTCAATATAGCGCAAAGGTCTGCGTTCCTCTTTAATGGACTTGAATTTTATAAAAAAAAAAAGATTTATAGTAATTATCTTATTAATTAATTATTAATTATTAATAAGAAGAAAATAAATTCTATAGAAGATTTAATTTTATAATATAAGTTTAAGAAATTAATTGTAAACACACACCCATGAAATTCATGAATTTAGTGTAATAATTACTAAAATTGAATTTAGTGTAATAATTACTAAAATTGAAATATATGTACAAATATTTGCTAAAATATATATATATTTAAATTAGATAAATAAAGAAAAGCAAAATAAAATCAAAATTAATACATTTGGCACCGTCGCAGCTACATACACCAAAACGCGAACTGTAAACTGTCAGACGCTGGCGTGTAAATTTCTGGCTTTCCATTCCGTCGCTCACTCTCCATACACATCACGTGTACGCTACTCGCCATGTTATTTGCCATCTTCCGCATTGAGAAACCTAAACGTTGCAATGCCACGCACGTGATGGCGAGTGGGCACGAATTTTTTACTGTTGCACCTGGACGAATAGACTATCAGCATTTCAAATTGCAAAACCGAAACGTCAACCGCCTGGAAAAGCTACTCTGTGAAGCTGAGCATTTATTTTCACTAATAATTACACTATTTTTTTTCTTTTTTCCAAACAATATTGTACAAATGTAGCTGCAAATTGGAGTATTCATTTGCCAAACCCTAGTTTCTGCCTTTGGGAGATAGAATTTTGAAGAAGGTGATTCTCCGACAACATTACGGCGTCGAAGAAATTTTTATTTACTGTCTTGTTCAGGTATTTCCTATTTGCTCTGCTTATCATTAATTTTCTTAGGCGTGTTAGATTTTTTTTTCAATTATTTATTTTCTCGTAATTAAAATCTGCAATTGCTGTTTCATTTTTTTATTTTTTTATTTTTAGTTTTTGATTCAAAATTTTGCCGCTTACATGTAGTTTGTATGATGTATCTACTGTGTTTCAACAAGTTTTTCATACAGGGATTTATCGAAACCCTGGAGAAGTTTGTGGTTGATGAACAAATAACTAGGTTACATTTATTACTTCTTTCTTCTTTTGGTGTTTTACAGCTCTTAAGTTACGATACATTTTGTATACCATCGTTGAAGAAACACAGATTTTTTTCCGGTACCTTGTTTCCTGCAAATAGATGGCTGATTTAACGAGCGGGTCGGGTTCTAAAGATCCAGGAAATCTGGTTGGGGTCTATATAGATGCTAGTAATCGGGCTATTGACTCTGCTTTGACTGATATGCGATCGAACGGAAGTGGCAAAATTTGTTCGTATGCTGACGTGGCATTAGGCGAGGAGGAAACCGAGTTTCGAGTGGGTGATTTTGTTTGGTGCAAACTCAAGAATCATCCATGGTGGCCAGGGCAGATTTATGACAAAAAGGAAGCTTCGGAAATCGCCATCCGACATAGCCAAGAGAATCGCATCCTCGTTGCCTTATTCGGTGACGGTTCCTGCTCTTGGTGCTTACCCTCACAGCTAATACCCTTCTCCAAAAATTTCCGCCAAATGTCAAAAAACGAGGATCCTTCTAATAACTTCCTAAAAGCCATACAAAAATCCACCGATGAGATCGGTAGAGTTGTCGAGGCAAATATGACGTGTAAGTGTATCCCACTGGAGAAGAGATGCCACCTGGCGAGGCAAGTGGCTTCGAATGCCGCTGTAAAACCGGGTGTTCTTGTTCCCGAAGTTGACTTTCAAAGGCTGTCTGTGCCAGAATTCGATTCGTCCGAGATAGTTTCGAAGGTGTTGAATTTTGCAAAGGGTGTTTGTTTCGATAGTGTGTTTGACGTTGCAGTATTGAGAAGCTACCTCTCTGCCTTCTACTATTCTAAAGGTGGGTTTCGGTTGCCCGTGTATTGCGAAAAGCCCGTTTATATTGACGGTTTGGAGGATAAGGATAAGAATATTCTTCAAGTAAATGATGATTTAAGAGTCCATACTGAAATTCCGATTCCTGGTCCGATAAAGGATGATTGGCTTTCTTCACCCGCAATTAGTTCTGCTAAGTCACGGAACAATTTCTCTGATGATATTGTTTATTCTAGAAGGAAGCGAAAAAGTGTCGTTGAACTTATGGCGGAAGTAAAAAATGTCGAGCCTGAATTTCGGAAGAGGAAAAGGAAGGGTAAAGAGGTAAAGAAAGTTGGTTCTGAAATCCCGAAAATACCGAAGGAGAATGTTTCGCATGCAGAAAAAAGTGGTAATGGGGTTGTGGATGGGGTAAATGGAGGTGCTTTGGTAGTTAAAAATGAGGAAACTGAAGTTGCTCTTGCTGAAAAAATTACTTCCGATCGAGCGAAAGATGAATCGGAGAATATATCTACGTCGAGGGGAAGGAAGAAGAGTAAGTACTTGTCTTCGCCTTATAGAAATCCGAAGTTGGATATGGAAATTTCAAGTTTCAAGATTGAATCGGAATACGATGAAAAACTGGTTAACGTTGAGGTCAAAGGGCTGGATAGGTCTATTGTTAAATCGAGTTCCGATAAAAAAATGAGTTTCCCTGTTTCTGATATTGATGTTCGTGTAAATGAATTGGTATCGGGTATACGTTTTGCTGCTGTCGATCCTCTTTTCTTGAGCAAGAAGGGATCACTTGGGATCGTCTGTTCGTTCTTTTCTGCTTTCAGAAGCTCGACTTATTATCACGGACAAGACTATAAAATTTATCGGAAATCGAAAAATGGTAAGAAGAGAAAATCATTGCCCTCTCGTGTGAAGAATGTTGAAAATGGCATTGTTCAAGAAAAGCCCGGATCATCTAACCGAAAACCTCTCAAATCAGCAGTGAAGACCGAAGGAAAGAAAGCTAGGTCAAAGTCTTGCCCGAAAATCTCGTTTGAAGAAACGGTGGATGATTTAGTTTCGGATGTTGGAGTGATTAGGCAGAAACTAGAGATAATGACGGCGATTATGGTGAATCACTGTTCGAGATTTTCGGACGAGGATAGAATTAGCTTGAAGGATGAGATGAAGAATCTAACGGAGAATATGGAAAATGCGAGTGAAAAGGTACGTGTTATTGCTGAGAAGACGTCTCTCTGTATTAAAGAAAGTTGAAAAGAGTATTTTCCGATGGGGGTATTTGTTCGATCTTTATTTTATTTCTCTTTAGGACTTTTGAATGGGATAGTAAGTAGTATCGTAGTAATCGACTAACTCGATAGTTGGACAAGTAGTCCGTTAGACGTGCTGCTGTTGTTCTGATCTATGTTTCTAATTTGACTTTCTGGGAATCGTTTCTTTTGCGAATGGGGCCGAGTTTTTGTTTGAATTTACTTGCATCCTATCTTTTCTGCGTATTGTTTCGATTGTACATATTCGGGTTTATTGCATTCAACACCATATTATATTCCTGTGTTTGTTCTCATCATGTGTGTGTATATATAATGCTCACATGAGTTGATTTATGGATACCCAAAATGCAATGCTCAATTATGGAAATGACAAGGCGACAGAATTGCTAAGCATATATGCAACATGAAATGAAATTAGACTGTCTGAACAAGAATATATATGATATATCACCATCAAATATTATGAACTTTAATTTATAAATAGAGTAAAAAACAGTTTGCCCCCTAAATTATGGGCCGATTTGCACTTTACCCCCCAAACAAAAGAAATTTGCACGTTTTTACCTGAACTTGTTAATTCGTTGCACGGTGCCCCCTGAACTCAATTTTTCGGTAATTTTGTCCGAAAAGTTAAAACATGTGCCTTGCACGTGACATTCGCAGGGGTATATTCGTCCATTCACTTACATGTTGTATATTAAATATAAATTAATCTTTAAAAAACAAAAAACTAAATAAAAATAAAACAAGAAAAACAAAAAATAAAAAAAATATTATCATCTTCTTCCTTTCGCCCACCGAGCCACCACCTCTCTCTCTACCTCTCTCCCCGCCCACACATCACACACTGACACACACACACGCAGCTTATTACACAGTCCTGCTTCAGGACTTCATCAATGGAGAATTTTTGCACAGTCTCCACCAACCCATGTTTTAATCCATGTTCATTTCCTCTCAAACCCGCCGCAAGACCTCCATTTTCGCCGCCGGAGCTGCTGCGGTCGAGGAAAAAACCGTAAAATCCGTTTTGAAATACAACCCGTTTGATTCATCCATTGCTAATGATCCTGGAACCCATGTTCTTAATGTGGATCCCGTTTATGAACCCACCCCTCGTAATCGCCCCCTTGGAAGAATTTTGGAATTTTTTTTAAATTAGTTAATTCTTCCGACATTTGCCTTCTTCCCCCAAATCCTCACTGGTTCAATTATTGTTGATATCACAGAGATAGAGAGAGCTTCACGTTTTTAATTCATTTAAGGGAAAGGACAACAACCTTATTCAACCAAAAAAGAAGAGAACGGATCAAAGAAAGAGAGAAGAGATGAGGAAAAAAGATCTGTCAATTTTTTTAACACCTTTAATCTATCTGCATCTCATTATCTCCATCACCTGGCCCGAAATCCCATGGTTGACCACCTAGAAGAAACCCCCTCCGACGAGGCCTTAGTAATCTGCTTCTCGCATGCTCCGACCGCGAATTTTCCGAGTTGCCCCAAATCGACAATCAGCAGATCGCATTCCTCCACCGATGGAAGCTCCGGTAGGTTCATCTTCTGCGGCGGCACAGTGGCGGTCAAGTCGAAGAATCAATATAAAAAGAAAAAAAACGAGGGCAAAAATCGAAGAGAAATCGAAGATGAATGCGAAATTGGAAGAAGATGAGCAAGATAACCACTACCACCAAGAGGAGCAAGATTAAAAATTGATGAGAATCTGGAGTTTTTTTTCTGAGATATGGGATGAAATGGGTTGGCTTTGGGAGGGTGGTGGTCGACGGGATGACAACTCTTTTTTTTTTTCTTTTTTTTTTTTTTTTAAATGATTAAAATATAGAATGTAATCGAAGGGACAAATTTGCCCCTGAAAATCTCATGTGCAACACACGTGTTGTAATATTCCGGTGAAAATTGCCGGAATATTCCTTTTAGGAGGCACCGTGCAATGAATTAACGAGTTCAGGTAAAAACGTGCAAAAAAAATTTATTTGGGGGGCAAAGTGCAAAACGGACCATAGTTTAGGGGGCAAACTGCTTTTTACTCTTATAAATAAATATTACAATAATCTCATAGTTTTTTTTTTTGATAAGACAATAATCTCATAGTTTGGTTTCTTCGAGTCTATTTCATAACATAATATTTTAATTTTGATTTAAATGAAAAATAAAGATCAAGTTATTTTGAATTTACAAATTTTGGACCAACAACAAACTAATATTATTAGTGGGCCCTTTTTAAGGTGTTTTTATAGAAATTTACTTAAAGAGATGGTGGGAAATTACACCATGGTTAAAATTCGGGCCCCATAAAAAATTATTTTGTTTGAAGGCCCAATATTTGGGCAACGCAAAACTTGTTTTGGACAGATCCTTATTTTTGTTTTTTTAAATGAAAGAACGTGCAGTCATAAGTGCAGTGACTAAATCTGCACTCTCGTATAATAGTTTTCAATATTTATTTATTATTTTATTGTTGTTGCTATTGTTTTGTTAAAACTATAGAACCTAATAATTGCGATGGACTTTTGTTTATTACTTCCAATTTTTGTAATAAAAGTTAATCCATTAAATAATCAATAACAATTTTAAAGTACTAAAAGAAAATAAATCTAATCCATATCACTAAACAAATTTATCCTTAACATGATTAGCCGACAAACAAAAGAAAAAAGAATTATGAGATGACAACTAAGCATTACAAGATGAGAAATTAATTAAAACAAACATATTTGTGCCTGTTGGAGGAAGATATTATTTATGTATATTAATAATAAATATATAATATATCCTAGTTAATTAAAAATAAAATAGAGAAAGTCAAACTCAATTCACAAGTATGGCTCAGTACTGTAGCTTTTCCTGATCACAGAAAGACTACTACGGTGACAGCTAGCAGTAAGTGTTACGAAATTGTTAAATAATAATTTATTTTAGTTCTGACTTGGTAATACGTATTAATTAAATTAATAGTTTAATAGTATTTTGCTACATTAAAAAAAAAATTATAACTCGATTATATTAATTTATTAAAGTTTAGTTGAATGACTTTTGTCTCCATTCAACTAGTAAATTAGTAATTAATAAACGGGACAGTGATGAATGTAGGTCGATTGGTAATAAATATAAAACTAATATTCATATACTAGTAGTCTGAATTTTAATTCCTTACAAAAAGAGGTTGTCCTATAATAATCTCGATTGCAATTTTGAATAGAGTTATATAGATTTCATTTATATACTTTTTTAGTGTAATTTAATATTTACCCGGGATGGATGACTTAGATAAAAATAAAATAAAAATAATAATAATAAATCAAATGTGACAAATTGTTACTGATGAGTAATGATACATACATACGGTTCAAACTAACTTACCACAATTATAAGCCAAGAAAAAATAAAAAAGTAAAATTACTTAATTGCCCTTATTATGAAAAGGAAGTCCAGTAAAAGAAACCCTGCCAAAATTCAAATGGCCAACCTCATACAGCTCTAACCAAACCTCCTCCGCCGTACCCAAATTGCCATTCGCCGCCGCCGCTTCACAAATTCCGTCTCCGGCCGGCGGTAAACATATTTCCGACGTTCCATTACCTACACTTCCCTTATCTGAATTCCCATCTCTATCCCCTCCTCTACAGCATTTCCTCTCTTCCAGCATCGGCCGTCTCTTATTTTTCAGGCAGCCGAGGTATTTACGCGCCACCGCCCACGGCAGCTTGAGAAGCGCCAGCGCCAAAAAGTTCACCACCGAGCAAGGGCAGCAGCACACGGCCACGCAGTCGGCGATCACCTCCGCCGTGCACGACTGGCACGACTTCCCCGTGCACGCCGCCGCCGCCACCGGATCTCCGCCGTCTTCCTCCTCCACCGCGCGGCGCCGGTTGTGGCTGCGACTGCGATGTCTATCCAAAGCAGCGCTCGACGAAGAAGAAGAAGCCGGGGACGGATTCCGATCCTCCATTTCAGCTACTCCGAATCTCCTATATATACAAGGCGGCACAAATGGCCGGCGCTAAAAAAAAAAAAAAAAAAAAACCGTTCTATGTGTGAATGGAAAACCTCCGGCAAATCTGCCCATATACAAAGAAATCGGAAATCCTTTTTATAAGCGCAATCGACAAACGAGTCAGGAAATAATAATAAAAAACTATTATCTCTCTCACAAAACGTATAGAAAATTCTCCATTATTTATGAACATGAAAACAAGGTGTTTGTAGAAATGCTTGAGTGAAAAATAAAATAACTTAATGGTAGGGGGTGGGGTGGGGTGGGGTGAGGGTGGGGGTGGTGGGGGGTGGGATTTTCGTAAACAATTAATTGCTTTAACGTACACACGATATGGTGTTTTCCCCATGCAATTATTCTTATAATTCCAAAGTGGTGTGTATTTACTGCTGCTGAGTGTTGAAAAAACTCCTCAAATAAGATACCACCCCCACCTGCACACTCCGCGCGTGGTGTGCACGTGCAACGGAAGAATGTACACGCCCGCCGCCTGGGTAATAGTAATTCTAGAGCAGGCGTATTCCTTTTTTGGCTAATTTTTGCAGCGAAGGAAGATATATCTGGGGATAAAATTGACCTTTGTATGATTACGAAATAATGAAACATGAATCTGACATCTTTTGTATACTCATTAATTCATAGTTTCCAAATTGTCAATTAATTAGAGTTTTAATTTTCTAATTTAAAAAAAAAAAAAAAAAAACACTCCACATTTTTTTCTAATTTCTTATGTTGGTAAGTATAAACTAGTAATAGCCATATAAACTTTAGGTCTCGTTTGTTTACCTGTATAAGATTACATTGAATTAAGTAAGACTGAATTAATATTCCATTGACTAACTATTGATTTAATCATTTAGATGTTTGATTCTGTAGATTAAATCTTGTATTAAAGTTGTTAAATTCTGATGTTACATATGAATTGTCTTAAAAGTCTTTTAATTTACAAAATTGTGGTTATTATTTAAAGGACAAAGTTGCCTTTTACCTTTTTAATCACTACATAAAAAAATAATCGCAGAGGAGGGAGGAGTGCGACTAATTTAACCAAATAACAACATTTATTTGAAGGCTTTTAGTAGCGCGTTTGACTAAACACGAATCTAATCAACCAAACATCTTACTCGTACTAATTCCAATGCCCAATACTCTCACATTCACAATATACTATACACCAAAATCTAAGACTAGACTTGTACACAAAAAATAATAATAAATCAAAATCCTAAAATTCTTCTTCTCTTCATACAAGCAAGACAAAATTTCGATTTTCCAATACATCACTCGTTATAACACCTTCGATTTCTCAACATTAATCGAGCAAGCTTCGTATTCGACAACTCAAATCGAGATCTATTATTACCAGACGAGGAGGAGCCGCCGCCACCGGCAATAATAGAGCTCACACTTATGGAAGTATCACGGGCCAGCTTTTCGATCTCGTCTTGTCTCTCTATCACTCGGTCGAAGCAAATGTACCTTCCGGAAGATGCCTTCTTCATCTCCTCAAAGACAATAACATGGGCCTTTGCTAATCTGTTTATGTCCACGGTTGCCAATATTCCGTTTACGTACATTTCTTGCACCCCTTTAAGGTAAGCGATTGTAGATGTTGGGCTTTTAAGGAAGAACTCCGAGCCCGTAATAAGCCCCGGACAAATTGTCGATAAATTTAATCCGCTTTCTTTGGCTATTTCCCATGCCGCCTTTTCTGCTCTTAGCTTTCCCAACGCATACCAAAGCTGTCGATTTTTACGGGGAAACAAAATATTAACCTCAAATTTTACCCTGATTTTTTTATTTTTTATTATTATTATTATGAATTATGTATACCTTTTTATTTATGCAGACAGATTCATCACTCCAGCTTTTGTGGTCAATTAAACGAGAAACTTGATCGAGAGAGTTATCTTGCCAAATACATGTCAAGAGAGAGGAGGTGAGCACACAGTGTCTAACGGAAGGTGAAACTCCACATGCCTTTACGACGTTTTTGCTTGCGTTCACTTCAATATTTGCCATTGCTTTCTACATAAAAATTATATGTTTTGCCAATGAGTTTAATTAATCAGCAAAAGCAAGATTAAACGAAGTTGCATAAGTTACAGGGGTAAATTTGTCTTTAATCAGCAAAAGCAACATTAGATCGAGACACACAAAACTTTGGCGTTCTTATACTATGACGATTTCGTGTGCTAACTAATTACATCATTTTCAGAAGTTAGGCGTTCTTGTCAAGTTGTCCACTAGTTACATCTTTAAAAAGTAAATTTATGGTGGTATTATAGTAAATTAACACGATCAAGCCATACAAAAGCATATAAATAAAATTAAAGCATGCCATGAATAATCGGTTTTTTTTTTCCTTCTTTTAAATTGTGAAAGATGCCTAATTTTTAGATGCAACAGCAATCTTTAAACCAACCTCGACGAATTTGTTTAATTAACTAATTAAGATAAGTCAATAATTAACTACTTGAGGGCCTAACTCAAGTAGCAACTTGTCTATTAATGAGAGATTAAAATTTTAACCAACTCCATATAGACTAATTTATTTACAGGGGAAACTACTAGTTAAGTTAGGTTGAGTTTGGCAAGTATTTAATCTATTTATTTTTCAGAAATAAATAATAATACGAAATTATACTCACGGAATAACCGGAGAGTCCGGCTGGATCGACGAACGCGGCGGTGTGAAAAACGCAACGGCAGCCATCAAATGCTTGAGTTAGGCTATCAACTTGAGTGAGTTTAGCCATTACTATTTCTACAATGCTGTTGCTTAATCTCATTTCACCAGATATTTCCATTTCTCTCAGCTTTTCTACGTCTTCTGCAAATTCAATTAATTTAGTGCCAGTTAATTTCAAACCCCAGAACAAATTTAAAAAAAAATCACTACACAAATTAGATTAATTAATTAATTAAATAAATAAATAAGCCCTGCCTCAATATTCAAGCTACAAAAGCAGGTGGTGGTTGAAAAATTCTATCTCAAGTTGGACAATTGAATACATAAAATATAAAATTCGAATTAAAATTGTAAAGAAAAACAAATTAAAGTCAAAATTATAATTCGAATAACCTTGGTTGTCAACGATGATTCGGACGGAGTAGCCGTTGACCAGGAGCTGGTTCACGATAGCAATTCCGAGGTAAGATACGCCGCTGGTGACACAAACAAGTCTGTCCAATACGTCGCCGTTTCCGCTGGGAAGCGCATTCTCCCCGCCGCCACGGATCCCGTCGTCGTCCTTCCGCCGGTGCACCGCGGCGCAAGATAGCAGCATCCGCCGGAACTCCTCGAGCTCCGCTTTCTGGGTGTCCTCGAATCTGACGATCCCCATTATTGTGACTTTCCTTAAATTAGCTTATTTACTTGACTTATTAGAGCTTTTGCAAAAGTACTTTTTTTGATAGCTGATTTTGTTTCCACTATATTCAGCTGTCTGTGTTTAAATAAATAAATTATATAATAGAGAGAGAGAGAGAGAGAGAGAGAGAGAGAGAGATTATAAAGAGAGACAAGGTTTTCGTTGGAAAAATATGCGGACATCATGTAATAAGCGTCTCTGCTTTTCCGCTTGTTGATGAATACCGAACCGGTAAAACGGCTTGGCTTGGCTTGGCTGGGCTTCGCTTTTATTGTGAGCAGCTCAGCTTGAATTAATTAATTAATTAACTTACGTATTTATTATGAATATATAATTTATCCACGTAATTAGTATCTATTTCATTCATGTCCAAAGTTACTTAATATAATTGTCTCGCAAATAGAATCACCTGAGGCCTCTTTTGGTTGGAGAGATTAATCATGATTAACAAAATAATTGGACTTTGTTTGATATTTAATATCTCTAATAACTTGTTGGATCGACTCGCAAATATTATGTTATCATAGTTTATCTTACCTTCTAAGCATGTTTTTTTATTGAATCATGAGAGATCCAACTATATAATCGAGTTTTATTAAATTATTTAATCTTATTTTGATTAATCTTACCTTAACTACCAAACGAGACTTGCAATTGTGATTATAATTATAATTAATCCTTAGTTTATAATATAGTGCACAATATAACCTAATCTCATTGATATGGTCTTTCACAAAGTAGTTGATAGCACATTTTTTTTACATTGGATAAATATAATAATGATTAAGATAATCAGATTAAAAAAGTGAACTTGTACAACTTTGACTATTATAATTTTGCAAACAAGGTAACCATCAAACTCCGGCGGCTTGGCTGAAATAGAAAATGTTGGCGCGGCTCAAATTGTCAACGGCTAAGCAAAATGGCAAGTGCAAGGTTTGGCGCAAGCGTTGAACGGCTGGTGCAAGGCGCGTGCGTTTTGGGAAAAAAAAGGTGGTAGATGAGAACCCCCAATTATTATGCATTCGTTGCATTCAGTTTCGGTTACCTCATAATTCATACATGTGCAACAATATGAGCCACGTCATATTCTCAAATATTTTGGTATAATCTCGAATTAATTGAAAAAAGAAAAAGAAAATCCATCCTATTATTTTGAATTACTAAAAACGGCCCGCCCACATAAGAAAAATAGCCCGGCCCAATTGTCAATAATGAGTGAAGGCCCATGAAGTTAGCTTGGAGCGAAACATAAGTGCTGAGTTTAGTTTCAAAATAAATCAGAAAACAAAATTACAGTCATCAACCATTAGTCCTGGGGTTGGTTTAATCGAGCAAAATCGGAGATCAAAAACCTCAAAATCGAGAAACGAAACGGAAATGGAAGCATCAGATCCTGCTTTTCCCGTGCGCCACACAGCGCTCAGTTCTGTTATCAAGGCGAGTTCCGCTGCTTTTGCTTTTCACTAATTAACGTAATTTCGCTGCTTTTTTTTGGATAATTTTAATTTCGACGCTCAAAAATGTTCTCTGCCTTTTTTTTGTGCGAAATTGTCGAGTATTTCTCGATTAAAACAAGGAAGAAAAAAACGCAGAACGATAGTCCTTGCGCTGAATTCAATTTTTGTTTGAATGATTGTGTTTCAGTTTGTTTATCTGGTTGCATATTTTTACTGGCTATATTACTTTCAATCCAGGGGCACAAGACGGAAATAGTCATAAGCAGCTACGAGGATCATTTTCTCGTCAGATTTTTTGTTTTTTTTTCCCTTAACACAAATTATTTTTTTATTCACAGTTTTCATGTGGTAGTGATCTTAATTCTGTTTATTTCAGGTTATTGCAACTCAGATTGGAGCTATGGGGACAATATTGCAAGCTAGGTATGTATGTATTTTTAATTTTCCAGATTATATTATGTGTTTCGTATAAATAACTACGTCTGATATTAAAAGCCTTCGATTGTGAGTGAACTGAGACTTCAAATATATTATATTACTTGTTTTTTCCGGCCGAGGAGAAAAACGTGTTTTGCTAGTAATTGTTGAGATGCTGTGGTGAATTTTTTGGAGTTATTTCATTTCCAGATTTCGTTACATCTCTGAGATATGAGCATTTTGAAATCGTATAATCCAAAATTTTACTAACATATTGTAGCAACAAAGCTAAATGGTTACATTATTCATGATCTTGGGTGAAATAAATCTTGAAAACTGTGCTAAATTAAGATTCGTTGATGTTATACTTAATTGTTGTCTGATTTTAGATGCTTTTGGCTAAACCGATTACCTACTATTTGTTATTCTCTTGAGTGCATATCCACTAGACGCCAAACTTTTGTATGCGAACTCTGTTTAGTTTTCTTTCCTATCTATATGAATTGTTTATCATTTTAATTATACCTAATTTAAGAAACGTGACAACTGATGCTATGTATGAATCTGAGTTTATTTTACGGGATGGTGGTTTGCCAGAGAATATGGGTTTGAGAGGTGTAATATTGCATTTGAAGTGTTGTTTGATGGTATCATTGTACGATGAATGAAACTTAGTGATCATATTGTTTATTGTCAGGAAAGAGGAAAGTGTTTCGGTTGATTCAACTTTCAGTGTTACTGTAGTATTTGGCAAACGAGATGAGGTAATTTCTAGCATCATAATTTGTTCTATCACTCTACGTTTTCGTTACTGGAGGATTTTGATGCTTGTGTTCGATAAAAAAACTGATATACCAGATAACTATGTGCAGCCCATGCTAGTTGCTTGTGCTCGGCAATTAATTGAACACATTAGGTATTTTTGTAATTGCATTCTTTTCAAATGTTTTGATCTATCAACACATAATCTTTCTGCCACTTTAATGGCTTCTGTTATGTCTGCAGCAACTCCGGATCGTCAAAGGCATTAGTGTTGTCTCTTGGACTGAGAGACCATTCTTTGGTAATTGTATACAACTCTTTTTTTAATTTAAATATAAAATTGGGGCAACCGAAGTAACCGATTATTTTGGGTTTCTTTTTTGTTCATTTCTTTATCTTCTTCTTGTAGGGAACGCTGAAGGGCATAGTTTCTGCTGTAGTTGAGAAACTTGTTGAGGTAACTTAATATGATTATAAGACATTGCAACTTTTCTGATTAAGAGCATGCCTTCTTCATTAATAGATTAAACATGTAGAAGTGGTCAGATGTAAACATTGTTTTTTGCAAGAAGATGCAATTACTGGGACGCGGTTTTGGTATTGCATCTTTCGTTATATTTCTCCTGAAAACTGTGTTGAAGTAACATTTAGTTAAGTTGAGTCCAATGGTTTTGCCTTAGTTTTGTGAGGAAATTGGCCAAGAGTCTCGTTTCCTTAGCTATAAATCCTTTACATTTTTTCATTACTATAAGTTTCTCATGAGCACACACTGAACACACACAAAAATTCACACATGTGCGTACACACTAGAAAACACACAAAAAACACATGCTAGAAACTTGTCGGTGTGTGTGTGTGTGTGTGTCCATGTATGTGTATTTGTATATGTTTGTGTGTATGTTTGTTACAGTGTGGCGTGTGTCCATATAAGTGTGTGCAAGTGTGTAAGTTCGCCAAGTGTGTGTGCATGATTATATACATGTGTGTTTGTGTCCGTGGATGCGTATGTGCTAGTGTTGTGTGTTTTTATGTCTTCAAGTGTGCGTGTTCTGGTGTGTATTTATAAATTGTGTTCTGGAAGAATTACTATAGTTCTTGTTAATGAGATTGTACGAGTTATTCAGTTCTCTTATTAATATTCGTCGTGAATTCTAAATTGAATGGATTTGTTGTTGCATCTGTCTGCAACCATTGAATTTCATGTATGTTGGTGTATGTGTGCATGCGTCTTTTTTTTTTTTTTTTTGGCGTGCGATTTTAAATCACTGATTATCTATCCCCCGATGGTGGGGTGGGAATGTGGATCCGTATCTGTGAGTGAAGTGTGTGTTTCCCTCACGGAGCATGTGAGCCCGTTGTGCATGTTTGCGTGTGAGTGTGTTCTATCAAAAGTTTCAATTCAACCATTTGAAATGCCAATTAAAATCATGAAAATGCTTAGAAAATGCATATATATATATATATATATATATATATATATATATATATATATATATATATCCAATAATAAAAGTAAATTAAAATACACAGCATGTTATATACATAAAACTGCAACCACCACATGGCACACAAAATTAAAATCACCCGAAAGCTAGTTCCCAGAAATCGTAGGAAAAACTAGCAACCAAAAAACAAAGAAAAATGGAAAATACAAGAAAATATGAGGTAAGAGAAAATGATTATGCGTGGGCATCAAACTTTTTTTTTCCCTTGTTAGGTTATTCTGGTATAGTGTCGTCTTTCTTGAGCATTGCGTTTAGTTTCCTTTCCAACTGCAAACAATAAGAGGAAACCATTTCATGTTATTGTAATATAAATGAATTAGCTCCAGGCCATGAGAATTGGTTGCTCCATGTTATTATAATATACGAAGAAAAAAAAATGAGAATTGTGAAAAAAAACATGACAAGGCAGAAATTGACGAGATTTGGAACTAGTCTCGATATTGAGGCAACAACTGAAGACAAACCTGAGTATTCTTGGTCTTGAGTCTTTGTAATTCTTCAACCAGGCTTCCGATGCTGAAATTTAAAAACTTGCTTCAGCAATAATAGGACATCGCATCAAAACAAGCTCACAGCCTATACAAGGGTTTCGATTCATACCTTTGTTGCATTTGAATCATATGAGCTTGCAACTCTCGCTCCTTTGCAGAACTAGGGATTAGCTGCAATACGTAACAAGCAGAATGTTTTACCAATGGTCTTCGTATGAATCAAAGGGAAAAAAGGAAAAGAAAAAAAGAACACTTCTGCAAGGTTAAAGGCAATTCTCACCTGTGAAAGGCTATTTATTCCTGACTCGGTCAAATCAGCAGGATTGCCTGTACCCATGAAAAATTAGTATTTATCATCTTAAGATGTGAGGCAAAAGGCTATACATACGTGGTTTCAAAGAGAAATTATACATAGAATTACCTGAGGTTTGTTCAACAAAGTTAACCAATTTAATTATCTCTTCCTGACAAGACATGTATAGACACAATTAGTACCACGTAGCTGAATAAGATTTGACAAGTTGAGTATAGCTTACTCTTTGCATAGTATTCTGCTGCAATATGCATTGCAATATCGGGAGAATTAAAGCAGCTGAATGGCTTGGAGTTGATGGGCTTGCGGAACTACTCGAAGCTGAGTTAAGGTAGTTCGCGGGACCCTGAATAAGATAAATGAAGTCAATGGTTACTATGCCATTGTCTGAAAAATAAAATATTCTTTTTCCTAGAGCATCATAAATGGTATGCAAACGAGGGGTAAAATAAATGAACATTTCACAGTTTGGAATTTTGAATCAACTAGCAACAATACTTCCATATGAACAACCGGAATGAATAAACATCTCCACTTAATCATTATATAATAAATATATTTTGTATGTAAAGTTTGCTATGTATAATACTCATACTTCCTCAGTACCTTAGGATTCAGATCTGCTGATGTGACTTTAAAACGTCCTCTGCGTTCAACAACAGCACCTTCAAACGTATCATCCCCTAAAATGCAAGTTGCAATGTATTTAGTGTGCATAACCATATGTAAACGAACAGGCTGATTCATATGAGACAATAATGTTGCAATTTTTACTCTAAATGCATTACCAGCTGTAAAATTATTAAAATCTTTCTTTTGCCGATACTGCAGTGAAGAACTTCGGTCAGTCTGGAATCTTGGTTGCATATATTCCCTTCATACAAATTTAGAACCAAATTAATACAAACAACTTTCTTAAACAGGGTGGAGGCGGAATGAAGAACTACTATAGAAAATATATAGCAAAGAACACATTTATACTAGGATGGTCCAACAAATTGCATACTGCTAGCAAAAGTGTCCAATAAACATGTTGCCAATGTTTGTAAACCACATTTGTAGAGTAGGATGGCATAGTAACTACTTCAACCAACATATTGCATAGTACTAAATTCGTCAGACATTCGATCTCTATGGAGACACTCCTCTATTCTTCAGACAAGGAGCAAATGCATACAGTATACACACCATCACCTATTCAGACAAGGAGCAAATGCATACAGTATACACACCATCACCTATTTCACCTTCAGTAAAATAAAGCACATTGAATTTTCGATACTTGGAATTTTCCAATACCACAGTTTCTGCAATCTCTTTGCATAAGTATGTTTAAAAATGAATTTTGGAAGCAGGAATCCTCTACGAGACACCTTAGAACAGAAACTACCAATAAACCCTTTGATATCTAAAAACTGGACAAAATAAAAAGGGAGACTAAATTAACTAAAACATCTGCCTCTCACAAATTAACTGTAGCTAGGATTTTAAGGAGGCAAAGGTGTTCCCTCCTGGCCTTTTACTATCAAAAAAGTAAAGGTAAATACTGCAAACTAGTCAATATACCTGTCTACATCACCACTAAACTTTTTAGCAGAGAGAACATTATCCTGCAGCATGAAGCCACTGGAAACTTTCTCCTGCTCTGCAGGGACAAAGTATGGAATGGTGCCAATTCGACCAGATTCCTCATCTGTTCCCGATTCTCGTTCCATAGCAATTCTTGATGGCTGTTGTTCACTTTGTTGTTCAGTATCTGAATGAGTAGAATCTCTCGAAATCGGGCTACCAATATCATCCTCACATACATCAAAACAACCTCTGTGTTCAACAAAAGTCTTCAATAAGTTAACTCTCACAGGTGCATTTCCAAAGTTCTAAACTCACACAGTGGCTGCATAATCATCACAGAAACCTGACTTGTATAAGCCAGTGTGTGGGCTGGGAATACATAGAAAACTATGGGAGGCATACATGCAGCACATATTATGAATACATTTGATTTCAAATAAATGCCTTCAATATGCAGCCTGGTGTTTTTTATGAGCATAAGCATAAATATTTGAGTTCACGTGAACTGGGTCACTAAAAAGAAAAGGAAGGCCAAAGTTTGGTGCCTGGTATATTGAGCCAAAATGTAGGTACTCTCACCTAGAACATATTTCTGCACAAGGGGATAAAAAAACTAAGGTTTGCAGAATGTAAATTATTGTCAAGGCGACTAAAAGCAAGGCTGTAAGAATGGTTGATTCTGTCTTAAAGTGGAAATCTATATGTATTTGAAGTGCTGAGAATTGGTAACCACTTATTCAGAAGTTCTTCTCGGATTAGCTTGTTGGTTTCACACAAAAGAAGAGTTCGACCTTGAAGATGGATATACAATTTGGAACTTGATGAATTTAGTAGATCGTTAAGGAGACACTACTCAAATGTAGAGAAGCAAGACGTAAATCATAATTCAGTTCTTAGAAGAGAGTAAAAAGAAGCATATTTTCAGTCTAATAAAAATACTTATAACTTCATTTTGTCTCTTTTGACATCATTTGAGAAAACTGTTTTCTCAAGCAGTCCAAATATGGAGATAGTTGCAGCTAGCAAGCAAATTGACACAAAAAAAAATGAAGCTCAAGCATTATTCAAGGTGGAAAACGAGGGAGAAGCTAACAGGTCAGATAGATTTTGATGGCATACTTGAGAGCCTGAAGAGGTTTTATAGGAAAGTCAGCAAGCGAACTCTCCAAATCATCAATACCATCGAGCTCATCCTAAGTAAACAAGAGATAAATTATACAGCTCAGAGAATAACAAATTATAAACAAGCTATAAAGTATTTAAAGGTTGTAATACACAATACTGTTTTAATGTAAGGACAGAAGAACATGCGACATCTCATGTTATAACTCATACCTCCAACTTAGATGCAACACTAGAAAGGTTAACCCGCTCAGAGTACATCCTATTCACAGGAGAACCAACATCATCTTGCCCGTTCATGTGCTTCCCACTCACACTTGATTCTTCTGAATTTGAAATGGGATAATCTTGAATCTGCGGGGAACAAAAAGACCTTAACAATGATGGCATTTATAAAATTGAAACATTCACCAACTGATCAGTGAGTAATGGCATACAAGGGCAGCTTGATTCTTCAGATCCTCTAGATTGAAGTTCCATGCACTGATTCCTCGAATGTATTCTTGCTGCACATTTCAACAGCTCATGATAAGGATTTTCACAATATGCAAATAACATTTGGAAGAAAATTTCAAATTTTATGCAGGCAAGTCATATTTGATCATTTTTTCTTCAGTTTAAGGGGGGAAAATGAACCCAACTGTATTGCCATTTATAATGGACTCCTAGACTTGGAAGTCCATAAGCAGAAGTGATGTATATGTGGTGTTACATTTAGGGACTTAACACAACACATGCTCAACAAATTTCAAAATAAGAATTAAAATCAAGCAACCAAGTCTGCACAACTACCTTATGACAGTAGTAAAACAAAGTTTTAATACATAATATTTTCTCTATATTCCTCTTTCCAAATAAGCATGTAATATCGAACTTGGTAGACTTCTCACCTGTGATAAATGCTCCTTGTCCTCGTACAACGCTTTATTTCGTACAAGAAGATCTGCTTCTTTAGCCTAAAAATGCAAGCTAGTTTTAGAGAAATTCTGAAAAAACTCAAAATTGAAGTAATGAAGCACAGTGGCATTTCTGTAGAAGAGATGGCAAACAAACACGAGAATGAGATGAGCACGAGACCTTAAGCATCCTAAAACGTTCACCTAGAGAAGACAAGCTTTCAAGGATAGTACGAGACAAATAGTCAACTGATCGAGCATGTTTAAAGAAAGGGTGTTTCAAAAGCTTTTCGGAGCTGGGACGTTTCTTCGGGTCCTTTACCAAGCAAGCAGCAACCATTTCTTTGAAAGACTGCAAAATTTTAGATTTTAGCAGCAATCCATAAGATTCAGCATTAAAAGTCTCCCGAAACAAGATATACCTTAGAGAATCTTTTATCTCTTTCGTAGTCTAGCCCTGGTGGTGCATTTTGTAAGGTCATCAGCAGAACCTACATTTAGCATAATGGAAGAAGGTTCAGACCAACAATTTCCTTCACATTAAAATGCAAAAGTAGGATTTAAGTAAATGAGATTTTACCAACCTTCATAGGTGGGTACTTGGAAAACGGTGCATGACCATGAGCAAGTTCAAGTGCTGTTATTCCGAATGACCAGATATCTGCTCTGTCAAAGCCAAACATTTTCCATCAGAATTGAGAGACAACAAAATTTTAAAAAGAGAGGAAATACAATTTCTTCAGCAGATACCCACTTGAAATCATATCCATGCAGTTGCTGCATGACTTCTGGGGCCATCCTGATATAATATTCAAATTATAGCAAAAAAGGTTCAAAGTTAAGACAGTAGTAGAGTTTAAAAATATAAGCGTCCAAAAACCCATATAATTGCCTTCATGAAATATGTATTACCAGCATGGGGTTCCGACAAAGGTATTTCTAGAACGTTGACGATCACCAGTATCAAACATGCATGCAGCTACTCCAAAGTCTGCCAATTTAACAGTACCATCAGAATCAATCAGTATGTTTCCAGCCTGCCATATGTAACAAAGAGAGAGAAATAAATAAAGCGATATGTCTCCAAAGTTAAAGCAGCATGGGCAGAAACAATCGATTGAGGGACAAAAGCACATCAACCATATACCACATGAGAGATACGAGTAATAATCATTTGAACAAAATAAGATGCCCAAAGTGCCAGATTACCAATCTACGCGAGAATAAGGTCTCAACTCAAGAAAATGGATAACATTAAGAAAATAAAGTGAAAAATCTATATACCTTCACGTCTCTGTGAATATGTCCGTGGGCATGGAGATACACCAGAGCTTTGAGAACCTCATGCAATATTGTAGCAATAACAGGCTCCTCAAAACCATCTGGATAATCTGATTTTATTATATGAAGGCAAGATCCACCATCCATGTACGGTGTCACAACCCATAGATTATGTTCAGTAGTGAAGGAGCAGTGAGCTCGCAAGACATTTGGATGGTCAATCAAAAGTAATGTTTGTACCTCCCGCCGGATGCCATCCTATTTTTTTGACAACCGAACAAGAAAAAAATATTAAGAATATTTTAAATATATTAAATTAACACGGGAGTAAGTCTTCCCTGCAAATATTGACACCTTAGCCATGCCCATACAGAGTAGTAAACACACTATTCAGATCATCAAGAGTGTTGTGCCCCTTCCAAATATCTCATTTGCATATGTTCTAAATTTTATTTGCTAGTATAATGAGAGCTGAATATCTAAATTGCTAGTCACTTTAAGCCAGTATAAGTTTGTAAAAGAGGCATTTTCTATTCGATTAGCACATTCAGAAGAAGATGACATACCAAGTCATTATTGCACTTCTCAAGATCAAGAACCTTGATTGCCACTATCACATCAAGTGGTATACAAAGAGCTCTGTAAACAGTAGCACTGACACCTTCTCCAACTTCCTCGTATAACTTGTAATCTTTAGCATTGAGAGGAAACTTCTTCTCTGTCGTTTGTTCCATGATTTTTATGACGATGCTAACTCCTTTACACCTTGATATCCTAGTACAATCAACTGACAATAGACAAAGGAGGCTGCAATCCAGACAATGTCATGATTGCGCCAATAATTTAACATTTTCCCCTACCTACAAGACTAAAAAAGTGGTTGCGATCCAAGGCACATATATTTTAACCCCTACGTAATTTTCTCTGCGAGAGAGCTAAAAATCAATCTCCAATGACGAATTTTCTGAGAAAACAACTAGAACAGATAACTCAACAACTAAACCAAGCCTTCCGCAGTGCCTGTAGAATACTGTGCTTCAACACTTACGGAAGTGATTAGTTATCCGTCCTGTAAACAATAAGTGAGGTTAATCAGAACCGTGCTCCATATAATTCACCAGAAAATTTCAAATTTGCCTGTTCAACAAAAGGTGATGCAGTATTATAGATAATAACTCTTAACTAAAGATAACTTATGCAAATAATACAGCCATGCCATTTTGATGCAAAAGCAACAGCAGATTCATATTCAGAAACACAACGCATAGTAATTAACTAATGATGCACAATGAATATTGTTAAAACGACTAAAACAACGAGCAAATATCACAAAGTTGCTTTTGCCAACAGAAGATTCACTCAAAACGAAATAAATGAAATGCTCTAAACGAAATTTCATACAGCCGAAAAATTCAAATCATACGATTTCTATTTTCTAATATCATTGATGCAAAATCTAGGATTAAGGTTGGCATCGCGACCAATTAAAAAACAAATTGCTGGTCTCAACCAACAGCAGTCGGCGGAGCAGAGGAGAACGCAGCAAAACTAACTACCACAAGCAAAAAATGGCTACGAAAACCAAAACCGTAATCAATTCACGCCTAATTCAGTTATTACGCCGACGGACCTAGGTTTTCGGCGCCGGAGAATTCCTTGAGGAGATATGAAATGGCAAGTAATCAAGGAGAGAGAGAAAACACAGGGCGATTTGACGTCGTCGTTTCCAGCTGGCGATAAATCCTTCTTCGTTTCAACTATTTCGCCATAGACGACGTCAATTGAATCATTAGATGTGAGCTCCCTCGAGCAATTTGAATTTTTTTATCATGCGTCTCTGTATTCTGTAATTCATTATTTAGTATTTATAGTAAAAAAATAAAAAAAAATCCAGCTGTTCCTTTTTTTTCCTTTTTTCTAAATAACGCTGACACGGTAAATATTTTTAGATTTAATAAAATAAAATAAAAAAATAAAAAATGGTTAGATATTTCAGAAATAAGCAATTTGTGAGGTGATATTTGTGGGGGATAAACATAGAAATAGGCAGACCAGATATTTATAAAGTTGAATGAGAGGAGAGTAATAAAGAAGTCGCGGGTACAACTGTACAACTGCGGAGCACATTCGGGTGGGTCCGGGTAAATGGACCGGGTTCGTTGATTTGACCCGTGGATAAAACCCGGCGACTTGAGCACTAGGGAGAGACAGATAGGCATGATTGAATCACATGAACTTGGCTAATTATTGGTCAACTATCAATGTGATTTCAGCATTTTCATAATTTTTTTGTTATTTTAATTGATTGGTATAATATAGAATCAATTCAATATTATTAGTTATAAATGTTTTGAAAAAAATAAAAATTGAAATAGTTATTTTGATTGTGAATTAATTTTGACATAGTTGACATATTTGGCTTTGGTGGTGGTAGACTTAATTATATATGATATTTAATTGTTTGTTAAATATTGTTGGTTTGGTGGCACATCTTCTATTAATTTTAATAATATAATAACTATAGATCTTTACATAACTCCTGTTATTATAATATTTTGTAAGGATCATATTCATAATTCATTATCAAATCTATTGATAAGTAAGTATGCTTGAAATAATATAGTTTTGAATTATTTCTAAAAATTAATCAATTATATTTCTTGATAGAATTCAATAGGGCTGGAAAAAAAATATCGATTACCATATACCATGGTATACCAACCAAGGATTACCGAAAAATTACCGAAAGAACGGTTATCATTGTCTACGGTACGGTATTAGTATCGTACCATTACAATATGGTACGGTATTGGTATTGTATTTCTAATACCACGGTAATACCGTACCGTACCGCAATTTACATTTTAATCCGATTAATATGTTTTTTTCGATATTATTTTTTGTAATTCTATTTTGTTTACTTAGAATCTTATAAATGGCAACAATTATTTTTCCCTTAAGTTAGCGGTAGTGTATTGTTTTTTTTTCTTTTTTTTTTTCTACTAGTTGAATTTTGCAATTGAACATATATGTTCTACTAAATTGTCTTTTATGTTCCCTATAGCCAACTAATTTTATTATATATGATGTATGAATATTTTATTTTTTTGCCTACATGTATGTATAGCATTGGTAAACTATTTATTGTATGTAATAATTATTAAGTACAATCAAGTTCCTAATAAATACCTAGTTGTTCCATTAAACAACATTTACATTATTATGGTATATGTTCTTGTTTCAATGAAGCAAATTATGTTAATTATTCCGATTATACACCGGACCTTCTTAGAAAATAAAATACAACTCATACAAGAGTAACTAGAACTATTTTCAATTGGGATATATATGTATATTTTTAACTCATTTGTTCTTTAATCTTTGATGCATCACCAAGTACGGTAGAGTACCACGTACCGATTGTACCGTACCGAAAATAACGGTATGCCGAACATTGGTATACCGAACTTTTTGGTATGGTAACGGTATGAAATTTTTCAATACCGCAATGTACGGTAGGTACACGGTATTGAGCCAAATGTTTGGCAACCGTACCGAACCCACCCCTAGAATTCAATGGCTTTTTGCCAATTTTTTTTTATTATTTATTTCTTTGAACTATTGTCTTGGCCATCTATTGGGCCTGCCTTTTTTATCAACCTAACGGGCCTAGTTTACTTAACCAAACTTAGTAATGTTGTAATAACAATTACAAAACAAATAGATGCCTCAAGACAATAGTTAAAAGAAAGATACTGCAGCATCTTACCAAATTTGAACTTACTCTCTTCTGTTTTCCACATTCAAAAGTGGCTTAAGAACTAAAATAGAACTCGGAAGAGATTCAAATTTGTATATGTTTCTCTCTCAATGAATCGTTTACTATATCGATTGAAAAGTAAGATTGTGTCACCAAAGTAGATAGCAGAAGTAGTAGAGCCATCGTAGTAGTCTAACGGGTGTGTCGCCGGAAGATGCCAATGAGAATTCATGTGGTGGTACGGCGAACTAAGAGAGAGAGAAGAAGATCAGATTTTTATGGTTTGAAAAGAGGCGAAGTTGAAATATCTCGAATGAAAGTTGTATATATGAAATAGTTGAAAGTATACGGTCAAAATCAAAAGATCATAAATCACCGAGTTGACTTTGTGCTATTTGGGCCTTCTCGGTTGGGCCGCCTCAAGTAGATATAAATTAGTGAGCTGAATTCTTGATTAGTTCAACTTGAACCCAAAATCCTTCACCTACAATGCTACACTATTAGATAACTTCGATCCGCAACCTGAGATAAATTTGCAATTATGCAATAACTCACAAACCGTATGAAAAATAAAAATTATAATAGGCTAATAATTATGTTTGATAAGTTCAACTTCAACTTGAAAAATTCACAAATTGAATATATATGGGCTGCATTATGTATATAACTTTGTAATCATCACATTTCTTATGTTATCCTTGAACAAGTTGATGCCCATTCTTCCCACTTCAAAGTCGAAGTCTCCATTAACACGTGATGCACCCACACGGTGACAAACACACATATACAAAAAGAAAAAATAAAATTATATATTTAATTTAAGAAAAAGAAAAAGGAGAAATAAAGAGAAAAACATATAATAGTTCTACTTTAGTGATTGCAATGATTGAAGGATGTAGTTGCGGTATTTTTATTGTTTGCAGTGAGCCCAAATGCCTAATGATAACACTAGATTGGGCCCATTTAGCACGTGGTCGTTATTGTGTTAAGTAAACTAATTTACATTAGTAGGCCCAACAGCTCACCCAGCCCTCTCTATCTGCCACCTCTGTTCTCGCACGTGTAAGAAACTCACGCGTGTGACTCTGTAGCGTGCTCATCTTTTATGTGTCTCATGCACCGCCAAAATTTACAAACAACTAAAATTTTAGGTTGGTTATTCAAATTTGGAGATCATTATGTATAATTTTGATTACATGTAAACTTTAGTTCTCTTTGTATGATTATAATACGGACACACACGAAAAAATCATCTTATTTAGATAATTACAATTATATTCAATTATGAATCTTTTTACGCATTTATCTTTATGATGTTAAATTCATAATTTCAGGGTTTCGTGAAATGTTATCTAGTGTATTTGTTTTGTGCAAAAATGCAGTTTCTGATGCATCACAATCTGATATTTACAAACCAAACAACACATCTTACAATCATTTTGTTTCAAAATGTGGGACTTGAATGAATAAAACAAGTATATGCTGGAGAATATTCCATAATGATAGACGTGCAAGAAAATTCATAGCCGAATGAAATTATAATTAGCCAAACAGGAAATTTCGTTTTCGTAATTTACATACCTACTCATACTCACATCAGCTTAAATAGGTGATGGGTCAATTAGTCCAGTCGATATCAACTTTTTAAATAATTTAGCTGAATTGATATATAATATAATATTAATAAAATGGCGGGTAGGAGCCAAAAAAAAAAAAATTGGAGATGAGCAAAATTGAAAAGTCATCACGGGAAATGAATTGATAACATTAATTAAATAAAGGAAACAAATTGAACACTGTTCCCTCTCCCGTTGTTGCTTTCATATTTGAAAACGGATAAACGAAAAAAAATAGTCATACGAAGTTACAAAGTAGCTGAACAACCACTCCAAACTCCCACCTTTTCTCTCTCTACATTACTCGCAACAAACCAAAAAAACAAAAAGCTCTAATATATTTCTCTCTCACCTACTGTAACGTGTATGCACACACACACACAGTTGTATGTGTGTATGTATGTGAGAGCTCGTGCCTGGAAGGCAATGGCTGAAGGAAGAAATCTCTGGAACTTGCTACCGAAGTAAAGAATTTCTCCGGCGGAAGAAACTTGAGTTTTAGGGCTCCGTGAGGTTTTCGTTACAGCTCAGTTTAGTTTAATTTTTTGAGTAAACAATTTCCCCCTTTCGGATCAGATGATTTAATTTACTGCATTTTGCAAGTGATTGTTACGGATTATTAGTGTTGTGATTATCTGTTAATTACTGTGGTTAATGTAGATTAATTGCTCTGTTTGTTGTGTTGATTGATTGAAGAGGTGATGCTTTAGTTCATTGAAGCATTTGTGAATTGTGATTAAAGGGAAAAATGACTGGTCGTAGGAAAAAAGAAATTCGTTTCAGTAGGCTGTATTCGTTTTCGTGTTTTAGGTCTTCGTCTAGAGATGAACATAGTCAAATTGGGCAGAAGGGTTATTCGAGGGTTGTTTACTGTAATGATCCTGATAGTGCGGAGCAGATTGCGCTTAGGTACCGGCGTAATTATGTCTCGACTACCAAGTACAATGCACTTAATTTCTTCCCTAAATCGTTGTTTGAGCAATTTAGGAGAGTTGCAAATATCTATTTCCTTGTGGTAGCTTGTGTATCGTTTAGTCCGCTCGCACCATATTCCGCCTCTAGTATTCTCGGGCCTTTATTTCTGGTGATTGGAGCTACGATGGCTAAGGAAGCGCTCGAAGATTGGAGGCGTATGAAGCAGGTTTATCTTTAATTGCTTCTTTTAATTATCTGGTTACATTTTTTTTTGCTTCTTTCTGTTTCTTTATGATCCTTTTATTCCTCATTTGGAATTCCCGAATATGAAATTAGCCTCTAATTAAGAAACATAGTTGGTCATGTTGAACCTTTGGTTAAAGGGGAATTATAGAAAAAAAGGAAAATGATAGAATTCCCGGATATGAAAGTAGCCTCAAATTAAGAAACATAATTGGTCATATTGAACCTTTGGTTAAAGGGGAAGTATGCTTGTTATCTTCACTTAGCAGTATATAATTTCAGAGGCTATTGCCTCCCCACAATTTTCGTATGCCTATTTATATATGAAAAAGGTCCTTAATGATTTTGAATTATAATGTTAAGTGCACTTGCCCAGTTCTTCGTTCATAGGCACACATAAGAAGGTAATGTTATTGGCGATCCATTTAACAGTGCATCGTGCATATTCTTTAGAACTGGAATCTTTCTATCTTTGATTTCTGTTTTCCAGGAAAAACTGCCACAAGAGTGGTTGCTAGATAAGTTGTTTCAGTTCTTGAGTTTGTCTCATTTTCTTCTGTTCTTCTTCCAATTTTGTAGTTTTAACTTAATCCGTATAATAAATTCTGACTTCATAAATTCTTTTTCAGGATGTAGAGGCCAATAATCGCAAGGTTAAAGTTTATGATAGAAATCATAAATTTCAAGATACGAGATGGAAAAAGTTAAGGGTCGGCGATCTTGTAAAAGTTCATAAGGACGAATATTTTCCTGCAGATCTTCTGCTTCTCTCATCGAGCTATGATGATGGCATTTGTTATGTTGAAACAACAAATCTAGATGGAGAGACTAATCTAAAGGTGAAGCATGCTTTAGATTTTACATCTTCCCTTCACGAGGATAATTCCTTTCAGCAATTTAAGGCAGTTATCAAGTGCGAAGACCCAAACGACGACCTTTATACTTTTGTTGGAACTCTGTACTATGATGGTCAACAGTATCCCATTTCTCTGCAACAGCTTCTCCTACGAGATTCCAAGTTAAGAAATACCGAGCATGTCTATGGCGTGGTTGTTTTTACTGGTCACGAGACTAAAGTTATGCAGAATGCTACAGATCCTCCTTCTAAGAGGAGCAAGATTGAGAGAAAAATGGATAAAATAATATATATTCTCTTTAGTGTGTTGATTTCTGTATCTTTTATTGGATCTTTCTTCTTTGGAATCAATACCGAGAAAGATATAGACCGTGATAGAAATGTAAAGAGGTGGTATCTCCGACCAGACCGTACAACTGTCTTTTACGACCCAGATAGATCAGCATTGGCAGCATTGTTTCATTTCTTGACCGGGCTTTTGTTGTATGGATATCTGATTCCTATATCCCTTTATGTATCTATTGAGCTAGTGAAAGTTTTACAAAGCGTATTCATAAATCAAGATCCAGATATGTATTATGAGGAAACAGATAGGCCAGCTCATGCAAGGACTTCGAATCTGAACGAGGAACTTGGTCAAGTTGATACTATTTTATCTGATAAAACTGGTACTTTGACATGTAACTCCATGGATTTTGTCAAATGCTCAGTAGCTGGTGTAGCTTATGGTCGTGGTATGACAGAAGTGGAGAGAGCACTTGCAAAGAGAAAAGGGGATGTTGTAGCCCATGATGATGGAAATACATCAGCTGATTTACAGGGAAAATCGATAAAAGGTTTCAACTTCAACGATGACCGAATTATGAATGGTCAATGGGTAAATGAGCCTAATGCAGATACAATTCAGAATTTCTTTAGAGTGTTGGCACTTTGCCATACAGCCATTCCAGAGGTCAATCAAGAAACAGGTGAAATTGCATACGAAGCTGAGTCACCAGATGAAGCTGCGTTTGTCATTGCTGCCAGGGAGCTTGGATTTGAGTTCTTTAAACGAACACAAACTAGCATCTCTTTGCATGAAATAGATCATACGAGTGGCAGAAAAATTGACAGGTGCAGTCTCTTTGAATCTTCATTTACATATTTCTTCTGGATATTCTTTGTCGTCTTTTCTTGGAACTTGGAGTTATGATTAGCAGTTCTGACTAATAGAAATATTTATAAATGGTATTGCATTTATAAGAATGAGATTGTTTGTATTTGCAAGTGCCCCAATTCTAGTATAAGTCACCTATGAATTGTAACAAGTATGAGATGCATAAGTTTACGGGGTACCATGGCCTCACACACGGCTTCTCAAAAACCTAATAGTTATACAGAGATTTTTCATTTTTTAGTAATGTGGTATTTTCCTCCCTCTCAAACACACCCACGCACACACACACAAATTATTGCATATTTGGCCGTCACAAACACAAAGACAAATGCTTGCTCAGCCACTGATGAGATGTCACTTTCTCCAGATCATTTACGCTTCTTCATGTCTTGGAGTTCAGTAGTGCTCGAAAAAGAATGTCTGTGATTGTAGAGAATGATGAAAACCAGTTGTTGCTCCTGTGCAAGGGCGCGGACAGGTTTCTCTCTCTAAAATACTGATCTGATGGAAGTCTCTTTTAGTCTTGCTTTAATTAAGACATCAACACGAGTCTTTGCTTACTTTATTTGGTTGTATTTTCTGTATTGTCATGCAGTGTAATGTTCGAAAGGCTCTCAAACGATGCACAAGATTTTGAGGCTATAACAATGGACCATATCAAAAGATATTCTGAAGCAGGTTTACGAACTTTAGTAGTCGCATATCGCGGGATCAGTAAAGAAGAGTTTAGGTCATGGGAAGAGGAGTTTATGAAGGCACAGACATCAGTTAGTGCTGATAGAGATGCATTGGTTGAGGCAGCTGCTGATAAAATTGAAAAGGACTTGATCCTACTTGGTGCTACAGCTGTTGAAGACAAACTGCAAAAAGGGGTCAATCTCGAACTTGCATTTTACATTTGGAATTTAAATGGAATCCATTCTTGATGGTTTCTTTTATGTGCTTTACAGGTCCCTGAATGTATTAACAAGCTTGAAAATGCTGGAATTAAAATTTGGGTTATAACAGGCGATAAGATGGAAACAGCAATAAATATCGGGTAAGAGTAACTAACTTGTTCACTTTTTAAATTTGCTGTTTCGTTTTAGTACTATCATGCGATCATGTAGTACTATGTTTTCTGTAGGTATGCTTGTAGCTTATTGAGAGATGATATGAAGAAAATTGTGATCACTTTAGACTCTCCAGAAATTAACGACCTAGAAAAACGAGGAGAAAAGAAGGCTGTTGCGAAGGTACAGGTCTTATATCTCCAAAACTCTCAATTATAAAATTACATTTTCTTAATGGGTCTGGCCATATTAGGCTTCGAGTGCAAGCATTGCAAATCAAATCAGAGAAGGAAAATTGCAACTGAGCTCATGTGAAGGGAATTCCATTTCCTTTGGTTTAATAATTGATGGCAAGTCACTATCTTACGCTCTGAGCAAGAATCAGGAAGATTCATTTCTGGATCTTGCAATTAATTGTGCATCTGTTATATGCTGCCGCTCCACACCTAAACAGAAAGCTCTTGTACGTGTTATCATTACACTTCCTTTAAACACACACCCCCCACACATTATGGATATATATTATACATTCCATATATTTTCCTTTATTCTTATGGAATTGAAGAATTATTGGAAGCAAAATAATGGGGTGGCACTGTTGAAGATATTCAGGTTACAAGATTGGTTAAAAAGGGTAGGGGAAGGACGACACTAGCAATTGGTGACGGGGCGAATGATGTAGGCATGCTTCAAGAAGCTGATATTGGGGTTGGCATCAGCGGCGTTGAAGGTATGCAGGTAATCTCAATACTCTGTTTTATGTCAATATTTACCTTCTTTTATTTTCTCTCTTATATGAACTATTAGACGCTAGTTTGTCATGCAATATCACATTTTAACTTTTCTATAGCTTACTGTTTCCCAATATTGTATTTTCTGGGTATTTCAAATTTAGGCTGCAATGTCAAGTGACTTTTCGATAGCTCAGTTCCGGTTCCTCGAACGACTTTTGTTGGTTCATGGCCATTGGTGCTACAGACGAATATCCATGATGGTATTGAATTTTTTTTTCTAATGCAGAAATTTGTATTTTAAATCCAATTGTGTCAAAATCTAGGTGAAGATATAAGAGTTAAGCACTTAAACTTAATCAATCTATACCAACTCATGGTTTTGGTGTCTCTTCTCATGCTGTCACTGCAGATATGTTATTTCTTTTACAAGAACATTGCATTTGGGTTCACTCTATTCTGGTTCGAGGCTCATGCTTCCTTCTCTGGTCAACCAGCTTACAACGATTGGTACATGTCATTCTACAACGTTTTCTTTACTTCACTCCCCGTCATTGCTCTTGGTGTCTTTGATCAAGACGTTTCTGCACGATTTTGCTTGAAGGTAAAAATAAAAATAATAACATTTCCATACTACAAGGCCTCGTTTGGTTCCCAAAATATGACTATGCAATCTTATGAAAACCCAATTGTATAATTGAACTAGGGAAGCTGACCCCCAATAAGCTTGAAAAGTTATTGCACAACCTAACATCAAATAAGAACTAATTATTTAATTGATCATGACTTATATTACCAACCAAACGAGGCCTGGGTCTTCTATATCTGATCTATGCAGAATTAATTAGGAACGAAAATGATTCCAATTTGCACACTTTTTTTTTTTAACAGTATCCCATGTTATATCAAGAGGGAGTTCAAGACGTTCTCTTCAGCTGGCCACGCATTATTGGCTGGATGCTAAACGGCGTAATTAGTTCAATGATCATTTTCTTTTTCACAACCAACTCCGTCCTGCACCAATCCTTCCGTAAAGACGGCCAGGTCGTTGACTTCGAAGTGCTCGGAGTTATGATGTACACTTGCATTATTTGGACAGTTAACTGCCAGATGGCAGTTTCAATCAACTACTTCACTTGGATCCAACACTTCTTCATATGGGGCAGCATTGCATTCTGGTACGCTTTTTTAGTTATCTACGGAGCAATCTCGCCTACAACATCCACAACGGCTTATCAGGTCCTCGTCGAAGCCTGTGCACCGAGTCCTTTCTATTGGCTGGGAACACTTGTTGTCGTATTATCCTCTCTATTACCGTACTTTCTGTACAGGGCTTTTCAGACCGAGTTCAATCCTATGATCCATGACGTCATTCAAAGACGACGTCTTTCGAGCTCGGAGTTGGAAACTTCTAGAGACTTGTCCAAGAAAACAGGTAAGTTGATAGAGGAAGATTCATTACTAAGTAAATAGTATATATATTCGTATGTTGACTCTTGAGAAATTTAGCGGATTGTTTAATGTGATGTTGAGTCCATGCATTTTACTGATAATATGACATGTTTGTCTGTATATAAGGTTATAGTGTCATCATCTTCAAGATATGAAAATGTATACTTGTTATAGATGAGCTAGGAATCATAAGTTTCTTTTGTTTATGATTTTTCTTGCTTCGTCAAACACAATGGACTCTGTCACCTTTGATATATATATATATATATATATATATAAGATCTTGCTTATGTTGTAAGTACTCTACAAAGTCTTTTGTGTTTATTTATTATGAAGAAACTACTTGTTCCCTGCATAATGATTAGGTAAAGAAGAAATAAAAATGAAGTGTTGACTAATTGGCTGGTGATTATATATATTTTTCATGTGTTCTACATAGATGAATAATCAAAATGGTGCAGTGCATAACATGAACTATTATTGTCTAGCGCGTACAATTTTATTGTACTAATTTAAAAATATGAGTTTTTATTTATGTTAGTTATACTTATTGTTACATACACGTTAGTGAAATTGTGGGAAAATGAACAAATAAAACGAAAATAAAGATTCTTTTTTCATTATTTTATTGCCGGCTGGCTCTTGAGTCACTGTCCTTCAAGTTCGGTGAGTTCCCGACAGAATGCTCCTTTTTCTTTATTGAATTAATAATTTAAGTACCTTAGTGTTATTTTTATTTTATTTTATTTTATTTAATTGCGTTGCCTGTCATATATACCTGATCGTGGTTATTGTCCCCCAACCTTAGGCTTTTTGTTTGCAAGATGTTGATACTCCTAGTCCTTTCGTCATGTAGTAATTTTTTTTTTCTTTCTAATGAAGGAATCAGTATCAGCCAATCATATAGAAGTACTGAGTAAATCTATATTTTTCGTTTAATAGCTTGCAAACTATTCGAGAGATGTAAACCAAACTAAGCTATTCTAAGTTTCTAACAAACCCTCACATCAATAGTGTTAGTTAATTTGCCAACTTTTTATCGGCGTCTTTTGTAGCTTTCATAGCATTTACATGGTCTTTTTCTTTTTCATTTTTCCTTTTTTCTAAAAATCTTTGAATTGACAAAATTACCCCTCCATTTTCACGTGTGAGTTGCACGTGTGCAATTTAGGGAACAATTTAGCTAAAATTGGACGATTTTGATGTCGGTGCCACAAATACTAGAGTCCAGGTATGCTCGTGCATTTTTTTTCTGCTTATGGGGTAAAGTGAAAAAACGTCCAAAGTTTAGGAGATTTTTTGCAGTTAACCATTTCTTTATTGGACGTTTCAAGTTTCAATAAAATAATTGGGTTTTATTAGATTATTTAATCTTATATTGACTAATCTTATCTTGCCAACGAAACGGGCCTATGTGTATAGAACTTGTCCGGTCATCGTCGAGGGGATTATCCACGTGGCATAGACTAGGAGTTGGGCGCCTAATAGCATTTTAAGATCTCCTTCTAGAAATCCACGTGTAAACTAACCGCTTCAGTCGTTTGACCTAGCCATCAACCATTACTGTATCTCCCATGCTTCCAGATCTCTTCCTTTTCTTTTACTTATTTAAAATGATTTTATTTTCCACCAAATTTGAGAAAATCTGATTTATTTTCAGTAAAAATCGTGTTAGTATAATGTGTTATATAAAATTTAATCCGGGTTAATAGCTAATTCATGATTTCATATGAAATAACTAATACTGTAATAAATAAGTTTAAATATTTAGTTAGATATATAATTTTGTTCCGTGTAGTTGAATCATGCAATATGTCGTTCTCCTTATTTTAATTGAGTGATATTCATAATTTTATTTTCGTCCACTTATTTTGTTTTAATTAATTTTAACAGAAATGAATATATTAAATGCACTTGAATAGGTAAGTGAACAGACGTATAAAAACCAATGAAATTGTAACAGCTATGTGAAAGTAAAGTTATTCAAGGAGAAGTTGGTACATTGAATATTTCCTTTTAATAATTTAAATGCTAATTTAATTCAAAGAAGACAAATCTAATAGGAAATGTCTATTTCTGAGTTTATTAATTAATTTTTTTAATTTTTTGAGAAGGTTCTGATTTATCTTGACGAAATCTACATTTACATTTGATTATTATTTAATATATATTAAGATTTTTTTAACTAAAAGTACTTTTGTCAATTAAATTTTTTATTTGGTATTCCCTCCTAATTTCCTTTGGAAATTCCAGAGCCCCCGCGTATATAAGTTCTAACAAACCCCTTTATCTCCTTCCTCACCTCTCTCTTACTTTCCTCTGTTTTTTTCTCTCTCAGCATATACATACAAACACATATATCTATATCTATATATATATATATATATATATATATAACTATTTATGGATGAAATTTGTAAAATGGAAAACACCAAAGAAGATATATACGCGTGCCCTAGCTTTAACAGCTATTCATCAGACAGATTAGCGGAAATCGCCGGTGAAGTGGCGGCGGAGGAGAATACAAACGACGCCGCACAGGGAGACCACAGCTACGACGACGAAGATTTTGAGTTCACTTTGGTAAGCGAGGGTAAGGAGGTTTCAGCCGAGGATTTCGCCGGCGACGGCCGAATCGGACCGATTTTTCCGGTATTCAACCGTGACCTTCTGCGGTACAACGACGGCGGAAATAGCCGATTGGAATCGAGAATCGCCGTTCCGCTGGGTAAGCTTTTTATTGAGGATCGCGACGGTGATGATCCTCAGTCGTGCTCGTCGTCGGAAGCCGACGAATTGGAGAGTGTTCCGGCCGGTACGTACTGCGTTTGGCGGCCGAAAGCTGCCGAGCAGCCGTCTCCAAGCCATTGTAAGAAGAGCAAATCCACCGGATCTGCGTCGAAGCGGTGGAAGTTTCGCGATTTGCTGCGGCGGAGCAATAGTGAAGGAAAGGACAGTTTCGTCTTTTTGACACCGAAAAATCGGGAGGAAAAATTATCTCCGGAAATTCCGAAAAAAGCGAAGGCGAAGGTAGGTGGCGGCGGCGGCGGATCCGCCGCCGTGAGGACGGGGGGATCGCTATCGGCGCACGAAGCGCTGTATGTACGGAACAGAGCGGTGAAGGAAGGGGATAGGAAGAAATCGTATCTACCCTACAGGCAAGACCTGGTAGGGTTTTTCGTCAATGTCAATGTGAACAACTCCGGTAAAAGTTACCTACACTTCTAGAAACTCTGGATTAACACTTGTGAATTATTTTTGTTTTTTCTATTATCTATTTTTTCATATCAAAATTGTATATGCTTGCCAACAATTACCCGGGATTGTACCTTGTATTGTGATTATTGAATGATTATTATAATACATTGCAAATGCTTTTTAACTCCATTCCAAATTTTGTAATGTAAAAAAAGAAAAAAAAAAAATTTATATATATATATATATATATATATCGTTCCCGACGTTTTCGAAGCAATTCTCGAAATCTGACCAAACGGTCACGACAACCACCGTGCCAAATTTTTCAGGCCCTGTCTATAGTTTTTGACTTTGTTTATTCAGTCTAGTGAGCCCAATTAATCCATCTAAGTTAGCTTATTTTCCATGTCTCGTTTTCAATTTTAAACGAAATTCTCAATAATAATAATAATAATAATAATAATAATAATAATAATAATAATAATAATAATATTTTATAGATACTAATATAGTAAGATATAGTTTATGGTGTAGTTTATCAGTTGAGGGCCTATACTCTATATAATGTCACATCGGGTGAAATACACTGAATAGATCTTTACTATTGATATACACACAAATACGCACACATTCATATTGGTATATGTAGATTAACGGTAAAAATCCACCCAGTATAACATTAGCATATGAATAGCCATCGGTGTTGAGCTACACATTATCCGGATTATACAATGACATTAAAATGCAAACTGGCACATAAATGGCTGCCGAATTAATAGGTGGGATTTCGTGGTAAAGATCGTTAAACTATTTGAGCATTTGATTTGATGAACTAACTAACTTAGGAAAATTATTAATGTGATAGATAGATATGCTTCACCTTTTATGGAATAAGATTGAAAGAGTCAATTCTATTCATTTATAGTCCTTTTCTCAATTCTCAGCAGTTACACATAAAAAGATAATAGTATCTAATTACTTAATTTTCGAGTTTGTTTATATAAATCTGGTTCTTAATTATTATTGCACGCCACTATTAATTAGTTTTGAATATTAGCTGAAAATTAAGTGCCAACACTCGTAATGGTGATGGTCCTCTTAGAACAGGTAGGAATATCTTTTTTTAGGTGTCACATGATTTTCTTGGCATCTTGTGGTGTAATATAATTTTTTTTTCTTTTTCTGATGGCTACAATGCAATAAACATTGAAAACGTGGGTGTTCAACTTTACACTGTAAGAAGTGGATTCATTGAGTAGATATATTAAACGAAATTAGTGCTCGCATATTGCTTTTGATGCCAGATTTTAAGGAAGTTGCTGGGAATTTTATTGTCTGAATTATTACTTCTTGTTTGTATTTCTTTATGTAATAATAAAAAATGTAAGTATGCTCTTGATTGGGATTTATCCGAAAAGCAAACTAATGATTAAGGAACTAAGATAATTGCTAGTGGTGATAACTGATAAATTAATGATAATTACTTCCATTCCTAACCAAAAAGAACTGGCTCCGATTTTTTTTTTTTTTATTGGGCTCCGATTTTTTTTTTTTTTGGGCTCCGATTTCAAACCTGCAATGTTACCTTAATCCAAATTTTATGGGCTATATACATATATATATATAGCCCAATAATTCACATTTATTTAATTGGGCTAATAGCCTATAATGAACGTCTCGTAATTGGCCACTCTCCAAAAAGAAAAAAAATATTTGATTTTGGTTGATATTTTTTTTTAATTTGGGGTTTTGGTAATTATCTCTCATTGTATCAAACTATGCAGTACGAAAACTTCAACTTCGTAACGTATTTGCGTTTCGGACATGTTTCACGTTCGACACTCAAGGGCACATGTCCGACATCTTATGAGTCATTTTACAATTTCTGAAAAGTTAGAAACATATTTAAATATCGAAATTTGAATTATTGTTGTCGTTTCCCTAACTATTTACATAATTTAACTATCAACTGCAAACTTATAATTGATAATAATATTTATGTTGAATATAAAACGTTTCCCAAATTTGTCATTTTCCTGTATCGCCATTTTCGTGTCGGCATTACATATTGTTCAAATCACGTCTCAAGCTGATTATCGGTCTTTGAGATGCTACATCTGGTGAAATATATCGGATAATTATTAACCATTGATCTGGTGAAATAGCTTCCCACTAAACAAATCAACGTCTAATAATCACCCGATGTATTTCATCGAGCGTAGCATCATACAAACCATAACGATCTTTCTACAATATTAAAATTTTATTTTTAATTATGGCAAGGTCAAATTATTTGTGATCATCCCTAATTTTGAGAAAATATTTTTCTCTTTTTTTTTTGAGAAATGGAAATTTCGAAGCATGTGGAAAGATCTTATTGGTAGTGACGTGGCATTAAATACAAATAAAGTATAACAAAATCCACGTGGGAGAGAGAGAGAAAATCTGATGGGGGGTTTTCACGTGGAGTTTCCCCTGCTGTGCATTTATCCCATCACTCACCACTCAAACTCACCACCCTTCTTCTTTTCTTTCTTTTTTTTTCATTTTCAATCCCCATACTAAAGCTCCAATCCCACTGCGCCATTATATACATACACATATACATACACACATACATACACTTCTCAAATACTGCTATAGTTCCTTTTGATTGGTGTAGTTCTGAAATATCTGGATCAAAATCCACTCAATTTTCAGCTGAATTGAGATGTGTTCTCTGCAGTTGTCGAATTGCAGAGGCTTCAATCACCAGTCGACTTTCGCCGCCGGCTTCCCTTCGGCTGAGAAGAAGCTGCGGAGGAGCAATTTTGCAATCCGCTCCTCGTTTTGGGGGGGCGGAGGTTTGAATTTGTACGACGGAAAAGGCGGCGAGAAGAGGCAACGGTCAAATGGAAGAGATCCTAGGGTTTTTGCGATGTCCTCCTCCACCGAATTCAAGATGAATTTGAATGAGTACATGGTGACGCTTGATAAACCCCTGGGCATCCGCTTCGCCCTCTCTCTCGACGGAAAAGTTTTCGTGCATGCGCTTCGAAAAGGGGTACTTGCTTTTTTCCTTACGAGAATCTAGTTTCTTAAGCGTGATCTGAACTAATGTATTAGGTTATTTAAAATGTATGGTAGTGAAAAAGTTTAGTTCTACTTGAATTGGTGGACCTATGGAGTGGAGTATTATATTGTTGTTTGGTGGTGATATCGTTTAATTAATTTCGGCAAGTGATAATGTAGGGTAATGCTGAGAAATCGAGGATAATTATGGTGGGCGATACTTTGAAGAAGGCAAGTGAATCATCCGATGGGAAGCTTATTGAGATCAAGGATTTCGGCGATACAGAGTAAATTGTTCCAAATGATATGTTTGACATATCCATATAACTCGTTATAAATTGTGTTCTGATCAACCTAGATATCTATTTAGTTACTGTATTCGTTGCGCAATTATATGCAGGACTTTTACAAAGGAGAAATCGGGTTCTTGTAGCCTTGTACTTGAGAGACCCTTCTCCCCTTTTCCGATCCATCAACTCTTTCTCCTTAATGATCTCGACATTTTATTTAATCGAGGTCGTGTTCCAGTGACCACTTGGAACAAAACTATACGAGCATCAAATTTGGGGGCGTCAGCTGAGAGCAGTGGAAACTGTGGGTTTGCTGTGTTTTGCCCCAAATTTTTAAATTCACGAGGGTGGAAGTATTTAAATGATGAGAGCAAGAATGAGAAACCACAAATGGCTAAGAACAGCCCTGATCTACCTTTTAGTCCTTTAGTAGCTATTTTCACAGCGGAAGTGTCTGAAGATGCCGAATGGGCACATGGGAGCTTCCCATTGGAAGAGTATGTCAAGGCATTGGAACGTTCAAAAGGAGAGCTCTATTATGATCACTCTCTTGGTATGCGCTATAGTAAGGTATGCTTTTGAACTAATTCACTCGTAATGCTTGGATTTGTCATTATATTATTGTCCCAGAATTAAAGGATTTCTACTATCCAGTTTGTTAGAGTTTGCAAACGCGTGACATACACACATCTTATGTATTGCATTTGCTTCTGATGCAATATGTGTTATATACAACTTTCATCCTACTGATGTTTTTTCTTTGCTCTCTGATAGATTACGGAACAAATTCACGTTGGCTCATGTATTCAAACAGAAGAAGATGTGGAGATTTTGTCTACCACTGCGGTGAGAGAGATCATGCCTTTTGTTCTATATACTACTGCTTTATTTGCATCTTTCTATTCTTTGATTCTGATCGCAGTTGTATATTGTGCATCCTATACAAGAAGTTTCTTCAGATATCCCATATTACCTACTTGAAGTTTGCTGAGGAGACATTTCAGAAGTTCGACTGAGTTTGAGATTCACTTCTGAAAGCATCATCATAGTATTTTAGCTTTAAGTTTCTCTAGTTATCAAGAAGAACATGGAAAAGCAGTACTGAGATTATTTGTTCTGGACATTATCTCGTAAAGAGTATTGTATATGTGATATGTTCTTTATTCAGTTGCTCTCCTAAAACAATCTGCAATACCTGCATCAGGGAGTCACTGCTGTCCTCAATTTCCAGAGTGCGTCTGAAGCTGCGAACTGGGAAATTGATTCAAATTCGATAAACGAAGCATGCCAAAAGTCTAATATCCTTATGATTAGCTATCCAATAAGGTAACTGCAATTTGTCTATCTGAGGAAAATTCATACAAACCAGTATTGCCTCATTGCTATCTAAATATCATTATTTTATGTTGTCAATAAGCAACTCAATAAATATCGTATTTGATTTACCTTTTGGAGATATGGTTAGTTACAAAAACAAATACTCCTGTATTTACTATGATGTTCTACGATTCGTGTTTTTTTTTTTTCATTTTTTTCAGGGATGGAGATTCTTTTGACATCAGAAAGAAATTGCCATTCTGTGTGGGTGTTCTGCTACGTTTACTTAAGAAGAATCATCGTGTTTACGTCACTTGCACAACAGGGTTTGATCGATCCCCTGCTTGTGTTATCGCATACCTTCACTGGATGACAGATACTTCCCTTCATGCAGCCTACAATTTCGTTACTGGGTTGCATTCATGCAAACCTGACAGGTATTCTACTTCCTATATTCAATTTTGTTTTGCCTTTCTCGTTGTCAGTGTCGTACAAGTTAGGATGGTAAATAAAAGAAAAGATGAATCTCTGTAAACCAAATGCATTAATTAAGCAAAGATGTTAAACGCAGACCAGCAATTGCTTGGGCAACATGGGATCTCATAGCCATGGTTGAAAGTGGCAACCCTGATGGACCTTCGACGCATGCAGTCACATTTGTATGGAATGGGCATGAGGTGAGAAGATTATTACCAAGCCAACAAAAACAGAGTTTTAAATCTTTATGATTGGAGATTAAGTCAAATGTCGTTCTTATTTTTCTAATTGAAGAAATTATCACTTCTCGTTTCAGGGAGAAGATGTGGCTCTGGTGGGCGATTTTACCGGGAACTGGAAAGAGCCAATCAAGGCAGTCCATAAGGGTGGACCAAGATATGAAGTTGAAATCAGACTTCCACAGGGAAAGTAAGTACTCCCTAATCCTGTTATTTAGAAAGATTTATTTTGTGCTTGCTCAAATTTATGAAGAATGATATCTCCTCTTATTGAATTCTAGAGGAGAACGAAAGCATCACCAAATATTTTACGTCACTTACATGGCAAGAATTGAGTTCTATATATATGTCAGGTACTACTACAAATATATAACTAATGGGGACTGGAGGCATTCAACAGCTTCACCAATCGAAAGAGATGACAGTGGGAATGTCAATAATGTGATTGTAGTGGGCGATATTGCCAGCGTGAAACCTTCCGTTCAACAACAAAAGAAGGTATTATAAATTTAAATCCGCAATGAAATAACCTTTGCTAAGCTAATTCTTTTTCTCTCTCTCTCTCTCTCTCTCTCTCTCTCTTTTCTCTTTCCAAAACGATACAGATATAGAACTGACGGATTACATTTAGTATTTTTATTATTCTGTTATGAGTGCTGATGGTAGTTGGATTGTGTATGTACTAGGATGCAAACATTATAAAGGTCATTGAGAGGCCATTGACCGAAAATGAACGCTTTATGTTAGCAAAAGCAGCTCGATGTGTTGCTTTCGGTGTCTGTCCAATAAAGCTGGCCCCGAAATGATGACAGCCTTTCATTGATTAGTCGAGAAAATCAACATCTGGAAATTGTTCAAGGGAAGTTTTTTTCATCTACCCTGCTCGTTTTTCTGGATCGTGGCTTTTACATCCTTTATTTGCAATGCGCATATATAGGCTCTATATTTGAGAATGTGAGTGCGTGAAGAGATATGGAGTGGCCTGTTCACTATGCAAGAGCCTAGTCGTATTCGATTTATCCCACGAAGTTCGTCAACTTCAGTATCGAAAGAGCCTAGTCGTATTTAATGTATTAAAGCAATAAGTTTATAGAGAGTCCTATTTGATGTATTGAAAAAATAAACTTTGTGTTGTACAAAGAACACTCCGCATATCAGAATCAAGACTTATGGCGATGAAAGACAACGTACGTGATCCCGAATTGGTGTGCTCAATTCGGGACTCTTACGATCTATTACTTATAAGTTACGAGGTGCTCGGAAATAGAAACATATATTTATTGTTGAATGTAATTTTCTGTTATATAGCTGGTGTGGTGCAAAATCCTATCCTTCAAAGTAACTTGTTTAGCTTGATTGATTATGTCAATCTGTAACGATCTTAACTAACTAGAGGCTGAAACGACGTCGTCCGGAGAATCGTGTAGTGCTTTTCTTATTTCTCCGGTTATCAGTTTAACCTGTAGAATAATGCCACGTGGCGAGGACTTGAGCTATAAATGTCGACACTGTGGTGGCAGATTTCATATTCTAACCAAACCGGGCCCAGAGAGCTTTAACTAGCCCACAAGACAAGTTTCATAATTTTTGCTATATTTTTATTCCGAAAAAAAATACAAAATAAAGAAAGTTAACTGGTAATAGGTTAGGTGTCACAAGTGTAAGTCACGCACAAGAGTACGAGAAATGATGTTGTAACAATGTTGACATAACTCGAACAGCTTCATGCCTTAAATACAACGAAAAAAAACCACACTATCCCCCCCAAATTAATTCAATATCTCATACAAGCCTTCATTTTTATATTTTTCTTTCCAGAAGATGAAAAATCATCAACAATTTGCAGTAGCCCATTTTGGTCTGGGGAGATATCCCCTCTCAGCTAAACAAGAATGCCTTCCAAAATTGGTGCATGGATTGGATACATATGATAACTGAATCCAGGGTTTGTATACTTGTATCAGTTGATCACTTTAATTTTTTTAATTTTTTTTTTTATTTGTTCAATTTTCTTTCCCCCATGTATTTTGCAGCTGGATTATGGATTTAAAAGTCCTCTTAAGGAAACTAATTAGGCGCTTCTTCAAGGCAGTACTGCATAGTTTGTTTTATTTTACCATACACGTATATAGATTCACACATCCACGTCTATATTTGTAAAGATTGTGTGTTAATCAAGAATAAAAAAACTACACTATGTATTTCACCAAGTGCAGCATTTTTATACGAGGAAAGATAACATTTTCTTGTCTTGAAACTTTAGTGGTCAATTTTTATTTTTTGTTTTTTGTTTTTTGAAAAAAAAAAAAGAGAATGAAATATCAATATGCATGTACACTGAAAAATAAATTGAGTGTAAGATAATAAGATAAAAATGTAGATGTGGAGCAGCATTGTAACCAAGTTTTGAAGATAGGACCTTATCCCTTTTCATCATCTTCTAACCCCCCATAGGCCAAAATGTCAGTCGCCGGTGCACCGCATATTTTGATTCAACTAATATCCAACAATTTTTCTGCACCTCATCCCTAACTCTGTTAAATCATTTCTCCATCACAAACTCATCCCTCTCTTCTGACGTGTCATTCTAAGGTTAATGGTTTAATAGGCTTTTGTCCCTTTACATTTGCCCCAGCTTTTCAAATCTTTTTTTTTTTTTTTTTTTTTTAATTTAAAATAAGAAAATAATGAAATCCAAATATTCAAATTAAAGACAATTATCATATTTCAAAATAAGTTCACATAATAAGATTGATGAAATTTAATCAGATTAATTGTGTCACATAAAACAGAAAAAAAAAATACGTGAAGAGTGTGTGACATGCATGCAAAATGGAACGATAATGAACTTGAAGTAATTAATTTCATAATGCATTTCCCTTTGTTAATTAATTTTATTTCTAGATATCTCCATAGAAAAAACAAAATATGAGGGACGAGGAAAAAGTAGAGGTCGAAAATCGAAACCTGATCCGTAAGCATGGAGAAGGTATGGTGGTGTACCCAGCTTTCGCTATCAGTGCTCAGTCTATTTACATGCATGCAAGTTGAAGTGTTTTTTAATCAAACTAGTAGTGGGAGGGAATAATAGAATATGGCCCATTGCTCCATTTCAACTATTAAGAGCTGCTTTGCTTCTCAACTCCTCACTTCCACCACCACCACCACCTCAACTCAATCTAAAGTTGCGTTCCGCCCTGTCGCCACCGCCAAGCTCAACTCCTCCTCCTCTGCCGCTACTACTCCCATCAGTCTCATCCGTAACGAGCCCGTTTTCGCTGCTCCTGCTCCCATCATCCACCCACTTTTGGTATCTTCGATCGCTCGCACTAATTATATATATTTATATGCTTTTATCTATCTTCATTGTTCAAATGCAGTCATTGAGGCAGTAAATCTATAATAATAAAAAAATTGAAAAAAAAAACTATTTATTAATTTTAATCGATTCATATTTAATTTCCGTCTGGTATTGGATCCAATCTTTGGTTTTTAGTTTTTAGACTTCAAAAATTGTAGCTGTTTTCTTATCATTTTAATTTGATTTTATATTATAGATAACTTGACTTTGGATAATTAAGGGATTATTAAGTTATGGGGTATTATTATACAGCTGATTTAATAGCTCGAGTACTGGTTTAAATGCTCACGACTCAAGAGTGATGCCACTTGCACACTACAATTAGGTGACAGTTCACGTGGAACTTTCGGTTACAAAACTGTGATGACGTGGACAAAATTCAATGCATGGCCTATTTTTTCATGTGATATTGTTAAGGATTTTGGAACATTGATTCTTACAACCTTAACTTAAGGTTCCACGTGTGCCTAATCGCCATTATACTAGCTAAAAAAATCTTACTAGCAAAATAAAATAAAAAATCACAGAAATTAAAGGACCCTCTGCCAAATATATAATATAGTACTGTTTCCTTTTAGTTTACTTGATTTATATTCACAAATCTTTATCAGTTATAATATCTAATAATAATGCATTGACAAACTGCAGAAGGAAGACATGGGAAAAGACTCATACGAGGAGGCCATTGCTGCACTCGGAAAGCTTCTAAGGTTTGCTAAGGATACACTTTCATATTAATTTCGTAATCGACAAGTGTAAATACGTCGCTATTTTCGGTTTATGTGATTTAAGATTGCCATATAAGAAATTTATAAAATTAAGCTTAAAATGGAATGAATGAATGCATGCAGTGAAAATGGAGAACTAGGACCTGTCGCTGCAGCAAGAATTGATGAAATCACAGCTGAACTGAAAACAGTCGATGGAAGCGTCTCCTCTTCCGAGTCCATCGAGAGGTTGAAAACTGGATTCATCCACTTCAAAAAAGAGAAATACGAGTAAGCCAACGTTTATCAAATTACTTTAGAATGGAAATGCAAATTCAGACAAACAAGAAAAATCAAAGAATCGAGTCTCTAACATCTATTGTCTTATAAAAAAATACAGGCAGAACCCAGCATTATACGGCGAACTTGCCAAAGGTCAGAGCCCCAAGGTATATATATATAAAGATTCACGAGTTTTAATCGTCTTATTAATCGATTACCAAAAGTCTTTCATCTTAAGCATAAGAACCATAGACTTAAATTCTCTTACATTGATATAATAAGCAACTGTACTTGGACAGTTCATGGTGTTCGCATGCTCAGACTCGCGTGTGTGCCCATCGCATGTGCTGGACTTCCAGCCAGGGGAGGCGTTCGTGGTCAGAAACATTGCCAACATGGTTCCTGCATACGATAAGGTCTTATTAAACGGGCTTTTTTTTATTCATCTGTTTGACATTAGTGTTTCATATTCTCGAGTTTCTAAAACACGAGGTATTCTCCAATATTTCTGCTGCAACAGACCAAATACTCTGGAGTTGGGGCTGCTATTGAGTACGGTGTTCTGCACCTAAAGGTGAAACAAACTAAAATCCTTCTCAGCTAAAATAAACACTGAAAATCGCAGCCACGTAATTCAAGAGTTTAATAGATAAGTGGCTGTGTGGAATTAACATAGTAAAATAAATATTATTACAGGTCCAGGAAATTGTGGTGATTGGACACAGTGCCTGTGGAGGAATCAAGGGGCTCATGTCCTTCCCATTCGATGGAACCACCTCCACGTAAGCCTTCTACTTTCTTTCGAAATTTCAGAAATCATGTTTTTATATTGATGTTCTTACAGTCAAAGTCCCTCGTTTTCTCTCCCCAATTACGATGTTGTAGTGTTCTTACTTACTAAAATTTAAAAGAAAATCTTATTTTACAAGCCATATGAAGAAGAAGAAGAAAAGGACTTCATATACTGAATCCCCCTCCAACCACACACACACACACACTCTTATCACATAATCAATCATGACTAACCGTGTCGAGTTTTTGTGATCTTAAAAGTGACTTCATTGAGGACTGGGTGAAAATCTGTTTACCTGCCAAGGCCAAGATCAATGCTCAGCACGCAGAGACGCCTTTCGGCGACAAGTGCGTACTATGCGAAAAGGTCAAAACCGTCTTTCTTATCAAACAACGGCATAATATAGTCTGCTCCATCATGATAATAGTGTTATTTAACTAGCAAATTGATCAACAATTATTCTGATTAAAAAAATTCCTAACTACTGTAACAGGAGGCAGTGAATGTTTCACTTGGAAACCTGTTGTCGTACCCATTCGTTAGAGAGGGATTGGTGAACAAAACTCTCGCACTAAAGGGCGGTTACTACGACTTTATCAAGGGAAGTTTTGAGCTGTGGGGGCTAGAGTTCGGCCTTTCGCCATCTCTCTCTGTATGAAACCCGAAACCCATTCTACCATTTAAGTGACCCTTTCTATGTTCCCCTAATCCTTTTCTGATCCAAGAAAGTTGTATCTTTTTTTTTTCCTGTAATTGAGAAAATGATTAATAATAAATGTAACACGGAAAAGGATCACTAGTGATTCCCCTTTTGTTGTACTACTATAACTACAAAGATCTTTCGTTTATGAAATAAGAGTTGAGATTTTCAGTTCCGTATATTCATTATGGCCATTTTCTTTTCTTTCTATTTTGGCTGGATTTGATAGGTGAAAGATGTGGCCACAATACTGCACTGGAAGCTCTTGTAGGAGCACGGTTAAGAGGGCATTCTGCAGAGATATCGAGTTCTCTGTAATTACTCAATCGGAGAACAATTAAAAAAGAAAACTACTTAATTATGTATGAAATGCTTGCATCTAATGCAAGAGCCTGAATCATTTTGACTTATTTATTCCAAATCAACATTTGTTTTGTGAGGCAGAGTTTAATTTTACGCCCAAGTACCAACACATTTCTCACTGCTATTTCAATGATATCTTTTAAACTTAATTCCTTCGACTCAACTACAAGCCCCGTATGAGAACGTCACAAATGTTAAAATAACAGTCGAGGTTCTGCATTACGTTAGCCTGAGCTTATTCCTACGAGCCACAACATTTCATCGTGTTTTTAAGCATCTCGATAAATAAGGCCAGTATAAATATGTAACAAAAGTTATACGAAAATGACTCAGTTCGAAAACAAATCTACTCAAGCGAAATCAATACCGCTCGACTTAATATGAAACGAACCTGAAATCTAAATCGAGAGAGAACGGATAGCGGTCGCAACACGTTGTACCAGCACGGAAGCTCAATCGGGGGCAACTGATTTATTTGCTCTTGATTGTGTGTATTATACTATTCGCTGCTCAGATATACAGATACTTAAACTGCTGGGCAACATTACAATGAGAAAATGTGATTAGAAATTACTTGAGAAGAGATGCACCCCCAAATTGCATAATAATAATAATAATAATTGACGATGTTAATTTATTAATAGGTTCAAATTACCTGGAGGCGAGATTATTATGTATCGTTGAAAAAGGCGAGCTGTAGGCACCTCATCGGATTGCAATTTCGGGGGCGTAGTAAAGTAGCTACGAATGAATGGAGACTCGCCGGATCAACGTGAGTAGTAGAACAAGGGCACGGGCGTTGAGCGAAGAATATTCATCAAAGCGGTGTGAAGAAGAACCGAAACGACGATCGGAGAGATCAAATTACGGCGATTCAAAGCGATTTTGTGAACGGAGATTTGCGATTTTAGAGGGGAGAGAGAAGAATGTCGAAGCTAGAGCAGCCGTTTCTACTGTGTCACAAAATAAAACTCAAATTTCAAGCGGCAATTGGAGGAGTTTCGTCGTGCACTTTGCAAGGCGGGAAACATTTTAGTATTTGCAGGTAGGTTATTGCAGGACGCATGTAAGTCGTTTTTCAATATTGTTTATTTCACCAAAACGTGCTACTACGAATGTTTTTGGACATCAACAAATTTATATTCGAAAAGATCGGAAGCCAAGGAAGAAGGAAAGAGGAGAAGGAGAAGTTTCGACAAACTCCTCATAGCAGTTCAGAGTTCTGAATTTCGACGAGAGAAACTGGCGACAAGAAAAGACCGGAAGACCAAGGACGAAGAAAGAGGAGAAGGAGAAGTTTCCACAAACTCCTTGTAGCAATTCAAAGCCGTTGCGTACCATATTTTGACGGAGTTGTACGGTGGGGTATTATAATTCCACAATTTAATTTGTTGATAGAGATACTTTTGTTCTCACCTATCCAATATTTCGTTTCTGGGGTTACAAACTAAGAGTCTTTTACAGGACAGTTTATACTCTATTAATCAAGGTTTACCAAAAAACAAATTAATAAATAAATAAATTAAATGAATAATTTGCCCAAAAAAGAAAAGGGCAGACATTGATGAAAAGGTTTTCTCAATGTTAAAATGATATGCGTAAGCACGACAACCTCAAATCTACCTGAAATCGCGCAGCTCAAAAGGAAATTAGTAAAGATTACAAAATTTTGTTTAAGGGTCTTAATTCCCTCGGAACGCCATCAAAATTTCCAGAACTAACATCTGATTCAAGCAGTGGTCTTTTCCCACTCTTCCAATGGATACCCTCAGCGAGATGCTCCTTACTTGGTGTCAGCATCACGAAATTGGGATCCGCCCTTTGATAACTGGCAGCGGTAAAATGATGATCAAATATTACGAATGAATCAGAAAAACCTATGCAAATATGAAGGAAGCTCTAGTATGCATGCAGAGGATAAATTATTGAGTTATTGTACTATGTTTTACTTGTTTTATCTCATTTAGATGGTTACTCAAACTTTGACGTATTCTTGATTTTTTTATTTTTTTATCTAAAAAACGATTGCGAGCTCTAATATGCATGCAGGGGGAAATGATACGGCAATTTATCTCACCTTGCTTCCCTGATGTTGTCAACTCGAATGCCAAATCCAAAGGCTGTCTCTGCCTTAATGCGATCTCTAACAGCTGCAAGAGAACATTTTGTTGTGCTCAATGAATAGCATCGTTACATTTCCAGAGTGTGTGTGTGTGTGTGTGTGTGTCAGTGTGTGTGTGTGTCTGTCAGAGAGAGAGAGAGAGAGAGAGAGAGAGAGAGAGAGAGAGAGAGAGAGAGAGAGAGAGAGAGAGAGAGAGAGAGAGAGAGAGAGAGAGAGAGAGAGAGAGAATTATATTACAATGGGGCACAATCTAATGAGATATATTTCTGAAGAAGAAACAAACTAATACCCATTGAGGGGAAATTACTGTAGATATATATACCTGAGACGCTTAATGTGAAAGAAGGTTTCCACCACGATTTGAAAGCCAAAGCTATTGATGAGCTGAGAGGGCCCACCTTTCCCTGAGAAATGAAATAATCTCTTAAAACCAAATTCATTAACAAATCTGTTTAACTTAACACAAATGTTTAAGTTACCTTAAGAAGAAAGTTTTTATTGGCTTGCCAAGATGCAGCAACTTGAAAAGTCGAATCGTGAATATTGTTTGACGATTTGTCACCATCCACCCTTCAGAGGAAGTATTAAATGATTTTTTTATTTATTCTTTCTTTCAGAATTACATTAGCTCAAGGCAGACTTTAAATATGATCAATCACATTATGTTTATTACAAGCTAGAAGGTAGACATACCTTGTCTGCAACTCGAAACCAAAGTCAATGTAATTAGTGATCCCGACTACTTCATTTTCCTCGAGTGGATTTTTAACCTATGTCATGACAGAAATTAATTTAGGGAGTTATATCGCCAACATTGGGTCCAACAACAGTGCAGCAAGAAAATATTTAACGTAAACGAAACCAACAAAGATTTTACAGGAATTTTCAAAATCATATAAGCACGTCCTCGGAATAAACATGCAATTCTCTTCCGAATGTTTTACATAAACAACAATACTTATCTACCACATGAATTTTCTTCTCCTAAATGCAATGGTGCATAAAATTACCCCTTTTTGTAACACATGTTTATGATGATGCACGTGAATTTTCTGATACATGCAAGATGGTTATATAATAGGTGAAATGCGAATCTGAACACATTCATAAGCAAATGAGCAGAGCAAGTAGACATTCAGACAGAAAGAGAGAGAGGACCGACCCTTCTTTGGACCACCACGTGTTGATAGAAAGAAGCAATGAACTGCAGAAACATTTCATAGAAAAACATAGTTAGAACATAGATGCATACCATGGACCAAACTAGATAAGACTAAGAAATTATTAGGCAGGGGAATAGGCGAGTTTCTAATGAATAACGAGTGCCAAACATTAATTGTGCTGTTAATACAGCATGCACAAACTGTACATTTAACAAGTGTAATTCATATATTATGTCAGTGCAAGTGGAACATATTCCATTTGAGGATGTATGACACAAGATTGACAGTCATTTAGAGTCATCCCTTGTTCTCCCCATACTTTACACTCTTGTAATGAGAACCTAGAAGGAAATGACAATTATATACAATAAGAAAGCAAGTTACTTATACTATAGCATCTGAAAGTGGGACCCTGCACATACAATACATGGTCGTTTCAATGCACAAGACCTCGTTAAAATTCACCAATTCTAGATATAATACTTATCACTTTGGCCTCCTTCTGTTTAGATTTCTGATTTGAATCACTTAACATGTCAATGTAGTTTACAAGACGCAAGAGAAAAATATATTTTCCGCAGATTGATTACCTATTTAAGGGTGTCAGAAGAGCAGGTAGAGCCATAAAAGTAACATCCGAAGTTAATTTCAAAGAAAACGTTAATTGCTGGATTGAAAATAATAGAATAATGGGCTGAACATAAAACATAAAACCTGTGAATTTCTAGCAAGTTCAAGTCCGAAATTAAATGATGGGCTCAATGGACTGCCTGATCCTAGTCCATATCCAACTGCACAGCTCCAATTGGCCAAGTTTTTGTATCTCGCTTCATCTTTGCTTCCAACTTCAAAAAATTGTGAAGAATCAACATGACACGATCAGCATTATAATGTGAAATAAACATGGAAGAATGCAGAAAACTGTAGGGTAGTCCGTAATTAGTGTTTTTTATGGAAATTCAGGTGAAAAAAGGAACGAAATAGTGGTGCCAAAAACCCTTACATTTTGGTTCATACTGCACTCCTGCAGTTAACCTTCCCATCTTGCTTACCAACCATGCATTTTTTGGGAGTTCATCTCCAGCTGTGAAAGAAAGAAATGAAGTAAAAAACAAAAAAAAAACTCTCTTATTTGAATGTGTAAACATACATTTGTAATTGTCGTTTATAATCCAAATCAATCTTTTGGTTCAGTTTAGCTAGGTTATATGAGATAATTGGAAAATAAGCCTGAAATTTAGTAAATGTGTCGACATGCTACAAATGCACCATAAGAAATTGCCTCTATAGCTAAACTGACATACCAGTGAAAGGAATAATTGAAGCTCCAACAGATAGATTTGGCGAGCCGTATCTCAAACCCATGACGCCATAATCTTCAGAAGATACTCTGAAACGGTAAAGATTTCATAAACATAGGACAGAATTCGGCAGTCGGCTGCTCTTTATTTTGTAGCATCGTTATTAGAGATTAAAATATTTGGAAGCAACCTTTGTTTCATAAGCACTGGGAAGATGCCAAACGCTCCAAACCCAAACTTGGGGTAGTATGCACACGATCTCATCACCAAAGTCCTGGAAGGCCACACAATATAAAAATACTTAGAAAATGATTTCTCTTACTACGCAAGCAGATATAACGGCTCAGACAACAACTGGTTCTTACGGTTCTGAGTTTGAAACAAAGAGATCGACAAACGTGTGGGGATCATCCACGTCACTACAAAGAAGAAATTGACCTTTTATTTAGATTTCATCGGAAACAACTGAAATGCAAATGAATGATACATATATGTATCTGTATAAATGGACAAAAACCTTTGCCAGCGAAACTGTGCATTTCCGACAATTTTCTCGTCCACCTTATGATCGAGCGGGCCACCAACCTGAACATGCTAAGGAACACTTATGTCTAATTTCCTTTCAATTCAGGTAGTTAACTAACAGCAAGTCAGCGAGACATATCAACTAAGATCGTATAGTTTTTCATTGCTGTTCCACCAAATTCTTACCAAAGTAACGGTTTATCTCCACCCCTAAATCCACTCACTCCCATTCAGCTAATAAAATATGGAAACAAATAGAATTGCTGCATGCAGAATCTTTCGCTTGCTAATAACGAGATGGACCGATTACGCCTAAAAGAAGATACACTTATACTTAAGAGCCATTGGAGCAATAGGAGTCTCACTAAACAACAAAATTAAAAATTAAAAAAATGCTGACTGGATTACCAGAGGCATATTCCATATATTAACATTCGTATATATTAACATATTCAGGTATCTAGCTATTCTAAAAGCGTTTACGCATTTCGGAACTAAAATAGATGTTTCTCGATATTTAGATTCGAGCTTTCGATTCACCTAGTGATTTTCAGACTGAATTAATCTACAGTATAAAACATAGATTGTACTAAAACAGAGAATCATAAATCGACTAAACCGTAAAATAACGGATACAGTGGCAATCAAATCAACATGTGGATCATCAATCGGCTTAAGCATAATCCTTGTGCTGAAATGCCTTGCTTCTTCAAAGTAGTCCTCGAACAGGCACTTCAATGCCAATTTTCCGAACAATAAATTGTAAGATGATTCCAGCATTCTGCATTCCCATTAAATTAACTATTTTCGTCTTAAACAAAATACTAATTTTCCCGAAAATCAACAAAAATAAAGTACGGAAAGAAATAATTTGAACCTGGTCCGGGCGGCGAGAGGAGGATAATCGAAGAGCGGCGGAACCAACACCATCGGCGGTGGTGGTGGCGGTTGTACGGCAGACAACAGGTTCCCCATTTCCGGTTAACAACAAATTTTCCCTAGATTAAAAACTCAGAGAAATAATTTTATGAATCATGAAAAAAAACAAGTGCGAGAATTTGTTACTCTCGAAGCGGAAATTCCTCGACCCTCGGCAATCGGCATGACCGTTTCTACAGTATCGAAAGGTTAAACTTAAACCTGCTGGTGACGTGGCGGAGAAGAAAGCAGGTCGCATCACGTGTCATATGTGTGTCTCCACTGCCTTCTCTCCAGTTCCGTTCGTGCAATTGCTTACAAATGACTTATTTTTTGAGTAAAAGCGCTTTTTCATTGGGCCGGCCCATTTTAAATTCGATTGTAAGAACACAATTTTGGGCTGGAAATTGGGTTTCAACTTCGAACGTATCAATTATCTGGCCTGCATTATATATCTTTTTCAGCCTGCATTTATATAGATAAAGTGAAAATGGTCTAATTACAAACAGCTCCTTGAGGTAAAGTGTAATTACAAACAAATCTCTTATGTTTAATAAATTACATTCAGCCCCTGTAGTTTGTAATTTTTTACATCCACTCCCCTACAAAAGGGTGTTAAATGTAAGAAATCTAAAAATTGAAGGGGGTGAATGTATTTATGGAAATATGAGGGTTCTTTTGATAAATAAAGCTTAACTTAGAGGGGACGATTGTAATTTTCATCCGAACGAAATTTTCTTATAAAAAAGTGTGATGATCGATTTTTACTCAAGATTATATGAGTTTGAACTGTTGCATCACAAATCTATATAAATTTAAGTTGGGCGTTCGTAGTCGTTCATAATCAGTAACTTAATATATATAACAAGTTCGACGTTTGCTGACTTTCTCCTTTTCACTTTGTCTTTTTCTTGAAATGAGGATAATAGAGAAATTGAGAAAGTAGGATTTGGAAAATGAGCTCCTTCCAATTAAAAAGAAGCGTGCCAACTATGTGGTTTGATTAGCAAAGAGCAATTGGATTTGTCCATTGAGATGCATCTAATTCAAAAGTCAATTATTGAACGAAAGCACTAATATTTTATTTTATTAAAATAATTTATTTCTTCTTTCTTTTTTTTTTTCCCTAAACTCGAATATTTTTGGGCCATACATCACTATGGTGGGAAAAAGTATAAAACATAATAATTATGATTTAGGCTCGATCATCGACGCGCAAAAGAACGAACCACAAGTTGTAGTAGTGGATGGGGGACCTCTAAATTCAAATTACATAGATCAATTTCCTCCAGCGACACTTCTGTTGACTCAATTAATATTTTGGAGATTCGAGACATTGTCTAATTTCTTTTTTAGAAATATCGATAAAAAATAAGTAAATATTCGTAAATGAGGACAAAGATTTTGTATCCCGGGCCCACCAAACAAGGGGCAGGCCCCTTAAACCATCCATAATTGTCAATTGATAATACAATTTGCAATTTCTATTTGTGGGCCTCTAACTGAGTGGACATTTCCTAGTAACATGACAGTTAACAGAGCAAATGGCCCTTTTTTTCTAGATTAGTCCCCAAATTTCTCAAATATTTCTCTTTTATTTGGTTTTTTTATAAACTAGTTTATATTTTCATCATACTTTTGAACATATGATCCTACCTGAATTTTATCAAAGAAAATTTATGTTTAGCATAGAATACATAACCATTTGTTCATGTTATAATAATTGGTCTAATTTAAAAACTCCTATATGTATTTTAATTTCAACATGAATATTTTCCGAAATAAAGAAGAAGACAATATATTAAATAGATTACGCCTTTTTCAGTTGGAAAAAGGCAAATTATATATTTCATGGATTGAAGAGCCAAAATGATACTAACCATACAATATACTAATTTGAAATTTACCCTTTATATTTTAATTTAAAAAAAAAAATGTGGATGCTTTTGATTGAACATTAGTATTCATTAGCGTCCACTTCATGTTCTTTTCGACCTTTTTCCTAGGGTGGACCAATGCACCACATACACTTGGTGGTGGCAATTATGCCCATGGCCACAATAATTAAGCAATTGCACCCATCATTCGTGGTTGTAGAATTGCTGCAATTTCTGCATTTTAACTCTTTATTGCAATTGGCTCTTTACCACTCTACATTTTTATACATAAACGTATTTTAGTTGTGTACGTTGATATGTATTCAAGTGCTGTCTACTAATACATTTATACTTGAAAGAACTATATGACAAAGAAAATTTATATTTAATTTTAAGTAAATCTTTATAGAGGCTGGTTCGATTACGTATTTCAGATTAGTTTTGATAATATGAGATTAGATTAATTCTATACTGAATAATTAATTATTTAGTTAGTACGATATTCAATACATTGGATTAGATCATATAGTAGTAATCTCTTACATTTTTTATATTATATGTAACTTGTATATAAAATTGTTTATTTTAACAAAATTAATATGTGTTTTGAAGGATAAAATATTCTTTTACTTGTTTAATTATCACTATTAAGGTAGTCTCGATGGGATTGCTACTAGTATAATGAACGCGAACGTTATTTCTTTAAAAATTCTACTAGTTATTCCCTTTGTTCTACAATAACTGTCTTTTTTTTAAAATATTTTTGTTCCATATTATCTGTCACTTTATATTTCCAATACTTCATTAAATGCATTTTTCCTGTTTTAACATTATTAATGAAACTCTATTCATTAATTTTTCTCTTATAAATTATTTAATAATAAATGTTGTTTTAGTCATTTTTATATGATTTTTCTAAAATCAAGATATATTTATTTAGTTTCTTAATCTTTGTAAAAAGTGAAAACTGACAATTATTTAGGAAAGGAGGGGAGTAGTTAGTAAAACCATATAATGAATTCAGATCAATAGACTAATGAAATAAGCCCATATAATAGTTAATTGACTCATTGGATCGGCCCAGTAAACTACTTCGGGTGGTGGTCGTAATTTACATTAATATTTATATTGCAATAAAATCAAAACATATAATGAAATTAGATTATGGTTAATCCAATTCCAAATAATAGGGAATTATTAAAAAAAGAAATTGTCGAAAGAGACTTTGAGAATCTGGAATGACACATATCTTAAACAGAATCATTAAATTAAATACACTAAATTAATAGTAATAATTAATAATAAATAATAACAGCTCATCCGAGTCTATATAAATCAAGTATTTCAGTAATTATTTTTACACACGGAAAAGGAGAAGGAGGGGGCGAACAGCAAGGATTGAAGGATGGCGCGAATTTCAAGGATGGTTCCTGAATCTTAATTCTTCACTGTCGGCGTCGGCCCCCCTCTTCCTTCTTTCCCCCCTCTTTTCTTAGATTTCATTTTCCCACCTTTTGTTTTACATCTCTCTCTCTCTATATATATACGAATCTATCTTTGTGAAGCACATCGAATTGGAGATTCTGTAAATTAATTAATGCGTTCTCGTTCTTTCAATACCTAACAGGGGAATAAAAACGAAATAATCAAAGAATTTTTGCTTCTCAAGCTCAAAAGGTCCGTTGTGTGTTCGTATTCCTGATGTATATATTTTCATTGATTTGTATTTTTTATTTTGTATTTTTTGTTTTTATTTTTTTGGTGTTGAATTCTGTATTTTATTGGCTATTTCAAGTTTCAAACAAAAGGCTTGTCGTGCTTCGTGTTGCTATGAATAAATTTGCTTGTTTTGTATTATATTGTATGGGCGATTTAAGCATATGGACTATGGCTGCTTAGAATTGCGTTTGTTGTTTCTTTTTATATGATTTCGAAAATTCCCCTAATATTTCGAAGACTACAAAATACAGTACTTTCTCTTTCTCATTGTTTTTTTCCTCATAGAATTGTTCATTCTACATAAGATCTGATTCATTAGAGGCAGTACAAGTAAGGAGTTCTTTCATGTTCATATGACACAGTTGGTAAATTTGGAGCTGAATTTAGTCAAGTTATTGGTTTTCTGAACCAAAATAGTATATATATATATATATATATATATATGAGATTTACGAATAAAGCCATAGTGAACAGTGATTCTTCATATGTTTTCGTAAACAATCTTCTTCTGTATTCTCTGTTTTATTCACTTTAGGTATTGATTTAAACCAATTTCAAGTTTTCATGTGATTCGGGCAACTCTTATGAGTTTACAGCATGCCATTCTTTTCCGTGTAGCTCCCTAGTTTCGTTTACTGATTTATTTATAAGAAAAAAAATGTGTGACCGATTGGTTCAGTTAGTTTGTTTTCGAAGATGGTTGATGAGAATGAATTTATACTTTGTCATTTAGCAGACTACTCAGATGGCAACCAGTGTAGCTTCGGGGAGTGGCCAGCTTCGTTTTAAAGACACTATTTACAAGGGACACAGCTGCAGACAGGCTTATTCAGTTCATAATATAGCTGTCACAAAATGCATGCAAAAAGAGCTTTCTTGGTATGTCATATTGACCATAATCTCACTATTCGTTATCCGTTTTAGATGCTCTTACTTCAATGATAATTGTTGTTATGTTTCCTCAGGTCTAACGGGTTCTCTAAAGGCGTGCGAATAAATAAAATTAACGATTTCCATCCTCAACGTAGGCAAGATTATAAGCAACAACACTGCGTAGGGATCAAATCATGCTTGAGAGATGGTTATAATAAATATTTCGATTTTGCTGTGATTGGAAGTGGAGTGGCTGGCCTTCGATATGCGCTTGAGGTTGCTAAACATGGAACTGTAGCAGTGATAACCAAAGCTGAGCCGCACGAGAGCAACACACAGTATGCACAGGGCGGTGTGAGTGCTGTTTTGTGCCCTTCGGATTCTGTCGAGAGTCACATGCAGGATACAATTGTTGCAGGTGCTCATCTATGTGATGAGGAAACCGTTCGAGTATGTTACTAAAATCTGTCTTCTTCTTTTTGCTTGAGAGAATGGGAGTTTATTGCATTTACTCCTTGTGATATAAATATTAGCAAAAAACCCCATTGATCCGGTCTTTTTTTTGGAACAAAACCCCCGAAATGATGCGTTTTTAGGAGGCAATTTGCTAATAAAAGTGAACCCTATGTGGGTTTTTGGTAATATTTATACACGTGGAGTTTTTTGACAGTTAGAGTAAAGGCAAGGGGTTCTCAATGCAATAAACCCGAGAAAACAGTGTGCATGTATTATAATGATGTGTTTTTGTTACCAGGTAGTGTGTACTGAAGGGCCAGATAGAATACGAGAATTGATAGCAATGGGGGCTTCGTTTGATCATGGGGAAGATGGGAATTTACACCTGGCAAGAGAAGGGGGCCATTCTCACCATAGAATTGTACATGCGGCTGATATGACTGGCCGTGAAATAGAGAGGGCATTGTTGGAGGCAGTCAAAAAGGACCATAATATTTTTATGTTCGAACACCATTTCGCTTTAGATTTGCTCACTTCTCAGGTTTACTTTCATTTCTTCTGTGTGTGTCGAAACACTGAAATGATATCATGATCTAATGATGGCATTTAACGGGGTATAATTGCATAATTGCAGGATGGCTCTGAGACAGTTTGTCACGGTGTTGACACTTTGAATACGGAGACACAAGAGGTAAGAAAGTTTGTTATGGTTTTGTTATGTTTGTGTAACTTTTCGTTTTTTTAAGATAATATTATTGTCGATAAAGTGCTGAAAAAAAATATTGTTGCTTTGCTTTAATGTGTTTTTTGAAATTTTAGGTGGTGAGATTCATGTCGAAGGTGACTTTACTTGCATCTGGAGGGGCTGGACATATCTATCCCAGTACAACCAATCCTCCGGTAAACCTTCACTTTCTTTTCCCTTTTATGATTTAAGATTCAAATAGAAACTACCATTTGAGCCATATTAATTGATGTTTTTTGTGTCTGTTCAAAAATGGCGTATAATTCGTAATGACTGGAAAATAATTATATGTTGTGTGTGTGTGTGTGCTTAGGTGGCAACTGGAGATGGAATAGCTATGGCTCACCGAGCTGATGCTGTAATTTCTAATATGGAGTAAGCTATTCTATATATACTCACAGTCATGAATTTATCTTTCTTCTTTACTTTGTGACGAATAGGTGAAGACCGTATACGCATATTCTCAAATAGTTGAAAATTTTAATTTTCTCTCATATTTTGATGAGTCCATAGAATGGTTTATGCTTGTCATTTTCACTCTCATTCATTTTCTTGATTCAATCTTGTCAAAAAAAGGGTGATAAAAATCGAAATTGACTCAAATCATATCATGCTACACCAGGTTTGTGCAGTTCCACCCAACCGCTTTAGCCGATGAAGGTCTTCCAATAAAACCAAAAGAGCCACGAGAGAACGCCTTCTTGATAACCGAAGCAGTGAGGGGAGACGGAGGCATCCTCTACAACCTATCGAAGGAGCGCTTCATGCCCACCTACGACCAACGCGCCGAGCTCGCCCCACGAGACGTCGTCGCAAGAAGCATCGACGACCAGCTCAAGAAACGCAACGAGAAGTACGTCCTCCTCGACATCTCCCACAAACCCAGAGACGAAATCCTCACCCACTTCCCCAACATCGCCCGCGAGTGCCTCCAGCACGGGCTCGACATCACGCGGGACCCCATCCCGGTGGTCCCCGCCGCCCACTACATGTGCGGCGGGGTCCGCGCGGGCCTCCAGGGCGAGACCGACGTGCGCGGCCTCTACGTGGCTGGTGAGGCCGCATGCACGGGACTCCACGGGGCGAACAGGCTCGCCTCCAACTCGCTTCTAGAGGCGCTCGTGTTCGCCCGCAGGGCAGTTTCCCCCTCGGTCGACCACATGAGGAACTCCAGCTCTAGGCCCGACCGCGGTGCCACTCGCTGGTGGGCCCGGCCCGTGCCCCCAAGGTCGCTCGGGGGTGGTGCGCTGAGCAATATTGTGAGGAGAACTCGGGAGGTGAGGAAAGAGCTGCAGTTGATCATGTGGGAGTATGTGGGGATTGTGAGGTCGACGATTAGGCTCGAGAATGCGGAGAAGAGGATTGGCGAGTTAGAGTTGGAGTGGGAGGCTTATTTGTTCCAGCATGGTTGGGAGCCTACAATGGTGGGGATGGAGGCTTGTGAGATGAGGAATTTGTTCTGCTGTGCTAAGTTAGTGGTGAGTAGCGCTCTCGCAAGGCACGAGAGCCGTGGGCTCCACTACACCGTCGATTTTCCTCAGCTGGAGGAGAGTATGAGATTGCCCACCGTTATATTTCCTGCTTCGCCCGTAAATAGTTCGTGGAGTTCGAGGCAACTGCACAGGCAACAAATATTGTAGTAGTAATATTACTATGTCATAGATTTTTTTTTTTTATATTTTTTAATTTTTAAATATATTTATTAATGCTGCCTCTGAAGTTTTTTGAGGTGGGGTGTGCATTTTGGTTTCTTGTTGGAAATCTACTATAACTTTTAGAATATTTTTGCAAGATTGGATTTTTATGCAGCAAGTTATTGTTGCAGAGCCCACATATTGTTTATGTTAAATTTTCTTTTCTTTTACCTCATTGTATTGAATTGAATCACTTGGTATTTAAATTTTCACCATCAATTTTTACTGTTTTAGCAAGAATCCAATCATAAGAAATAAATGAAACCAAAATGATTGTCTAATCGATTGGTACTAGGTTAGGTAAAGAGCAATGATTAGGTACAAACATGTGGGGTTTAGTAAGATGCTGTTTGCTGCTAGATTCCTTAATATTCAACTAATGATAATTACTTTATAGTCTGTGTCCTTAATTAACCCCTAATCTATATAGTAGTTGTACCAAGAAAGGAAAATGAAATTCCATCTTTACAAAATAGGAAATGACAAAACAACCCCTCTGCATTTCTCAACCATGCAATGGGACATATTATCACCTCAAATCTTCTTAGTAATAACATTCTTTTAATACTTTTATTTATTTTCAATGTCACTCAGATTTTCAAGACAAGAACATGCAAGGCAATCCAACAACAACTACCTGTTCAGTAAACTTGTACACTCGAAAAACGAAAAAAAAAAAAAAAACGAAAGAACAAAACGAAAAACGGAAAATACGATATGGAATATTTTCAAGACACTTCGATGTGAAAAGGAATAACGGTGTGAGAATTTTTGACGAGTAAGGTCTCCAAAGATCTCGATTTTCTGGTTCGGACCTTTCCTACTTCTTTTAACAACTCGGCGAGTCTGCGTTTCTCATCTTCCACGTCTGGATTTGCGGTTCCGAGCTTCTCCTCTCTCATCTCGACAACATATTCCAATATTTCAATTGCATCACAAGTCCTTGAAAATACAAAAAACGATCCGTTTAATCCTTTTTAAAAGCTCGAAATTAATCCATCAAAGATAATAAAAGAACAAAATATTAGTAATAAAATTTACCTGCCCATTGCATCATAAGTTCCAGCAAGATTACTATAAACACCCAAAGTGTCAGCATGGTAGGGCCCGCATTCAGCCTCGAGAATATCTCGAGCTTCTTCAAACAAATCAGCAGCCTCGTTTATCAACAAAAGCTGCACACAAGCAAGCCCCATCTGATTCAAAGCAATCCCGAAAAGGGCCGATTTCTTTTCTCCGGTCGAACGGAACTTCATTACAGCGTTCTTCAAAGAGCTATAAGCCTCCGGATAACTCCCCAAAATATAGTACAGCACTCCCATTTGAGCTTCGATCCCCGCAATTATGCTCTGCTGACCTGGCGCCGTACCGTACACTTTCAACGCCTTCTTTAGCAACTGCAAAGCTCGTTCAGGCTCGTTCATTGATTCAAATATAGCAGAAATATCGACCAAGCCACTTGCAATTTCTTCCTTTGGGCTACCTGGTACTGGCTTCGCGTAAATACGGAGGGCGCTTTCACAATAAGATTTCGAATCGCTGAATTTTCCGATCTTGTTATGCAAATCGGCCAAACGAACGAAAACCGAAGCGACCGAAGGATGATTCTCTCCTTTACTCGATTTAAACATTTCAAGCCCTTTCTTATAAGCAGAGACAGCCTCGTCGTACCTGGCTAGGGACAGGTACGCATCACCGATGCTGCAATCAATGGCCGCCACGTCAGCGTTGTGCCCGTTGGCAGCCATGGCCATGCTTGCGAGAACGTAATGCTCGAGGGCGCCTTCGTAATTTCCTTTCGACTCGCAGATAAGTCCGAGGAGTCTCCTATCCGCTGCTTCCTCTGGAGAAGCAGATGAAGAAGAACCGTTCTCTTTATGTATATCGAGAGCCATCAAACAGAGCTTTTCAGCCTCGTCGAATTGTATAGCTTGAACGTGCGCTTCGGCTAAATACCTGCAAGTTTCACCGAATCGAGGGTCTTTTTCGCCCAATACTTGTCTTTGAATTTCCAAACCCGCAGTGTAGAAAAGTATGGAATTCTCAATCTGCCCGAGCATTGCGTAAGTATCGCCCAACTGCATGCACCCTGCGAATTTAGCCAAAGCGTGATTGTGGCCTAAATCCATAACCGGGATTTCGATCGATTTCTCGAGAATAGGAATCGCCTCGGTGTACCGGCCATGCCTGCAGTACAACGCAGACACAACATGCAGACACATGACGTGGTCTAAATTTGCCTTCTTTGCCGAAATCTCGAAAGAACTCATCGCTCGAAGAGCCAATTCGAGAGCCTTGTGCGAATTTTCCCCCGACGCGATAATGTCCCTCGCCTGTTTGAGCAAGTATGGCCCGAGATACCCCGGTTCACCGTTATTCTCATTTTTCATTGACGAAAATGCCCCTAGCTTTTTCGAGCCTTGCTTCCCGTTCGGTGGCCTCCCATTCAAAGTCTTGCTTCTTAAATTACCCTTTTTTGTGGCTTCGGTGTTCAAAGGAAGTCCGTTTTCATGTGTTGTTATAGACTTAGTAGGAGTAGTAGCTTCAAGAATGTCGTCTTTAGAGGCAGCTTCCTTTTTCGTGTCCAAATTACAATAATCTCCTCCGGCGAAAAACCGTAATTCGGAATCGATTCTTGATTCTTCACCGTAGGATAAGAAGCTGCGCCTCGAAGGTGAGTGGTCGGAGCTCTGCATCTCGCAGACATTCTGGTACAACTGTTCGATCGACGTGTCGATGATGACATCATCGATGACCAAGTCAAGAGAGTCGCTGCTGTCGTGGCTGAGCGTGGTGCTCAACGGTGGGGGGCTGTGTGTGCCCAAGGGGCTTCTCGGGGACATTTCGGTCAATTTTTCTTTCGAAGCGACATTCGAGAAAATGTCGCCGTTTGATTGGTCCACCATGTATTCAGGCATTGCGGCAGGAGTTTACGAATAAATTAAAAAAAAAAAAAAGGATGTGTTGGAATTTCCTAATGTTTAATTTGTTTTGCCTGCACATGTGAAAAATGTAACATTTAAATTAGAAAATTGCAGCCATTGATAATAACTCGGTCCAACAAACAATAAATGCGCAACACCCACAACTTCCGAAAACAGAAATGCCATTAGAAACAGAATGTAACAGTTAATAAACATTGATTACGCATTTCTCCTCCAACGACATAACCGCAATTAACATGATTTACGAACTTTTCATTCCCCCCATTAAAAATCGAGGCATAGCAAACATCGAAAAATCAGAACACAAATTTATATACGCCAGATCAACATCGAAAAATTGAGGCGGAGATACATGAATCAGAACAGGAAAATACCGAAAAACCGCATCGTTTAGAAAAAACACGAATGCATCATAATATGAATACATCATACGAAATAAGCGGAAAAAAAAAAAGAAAAAAAAACATGATAAAAAATGTTCATACCTAGGCAATAAATCCTTGGGGGCAGAGATTGGTAAATATGTATGTATGTATAGGTACGTGTGTTTATTTGTATCTCCACCCTTTTGATTATTCTTGCTACATATATAGGTTGATGGGCAGAGATATGAAAAAAAAATGAAGGGGGTGGTGGTTTGAGGAAGATGGTAAGGGGGGCGGGGGGCAGAATTGTATAATCGAGAGATTAAATATAGAAGATTATCCAGATGATTGTTGAGAATCAAATTATTGGAAGACTTGACAAATGTAGGTAGATAAATCGAACAGTAAATTTTGTGTATATATTTATATGTAATATATATATATATATATATATATATATATATATATATATATATATATATATATATATATGTGATTTGTATGTATAGGTGTGGGGTGCAGGGGAAGTTGGAATGTTTAAGCATGAAGGGGACTTGTCATCTTCCGCCAACGCCACCACCTTTTTTGCAACCGCCGAAATTTATACATATATTCATTTGTCTTTTCTCCAATATATTACATCATTTCTTTTAATAATAATAATATTTTAATTGGATATGACAGAAATGCAACCACGCTTTTATCTATCCACTTCAAACTGTAATTCTTGATTGTCGCTGATAAGTTAAGACACTTTTACACTAAATTATCTTACCTTGTGAAATTCCTAATTCCTGATAAATTAATACTTGATAAATTAATAAGATCATTTAACTAAAAATTTCTTCCGTTCCAAATTCAGTGAAAATGTATTGATTTATTAATAATAAAATTTTGCTACTCCTGATTGTATTAATATTATAATATATAAAGGATTAACTATATTACAATCGAGATACTAGCAAAAAATAACATATTATTTACGTTTTTATTCCTTATATTAAATATTCTTATATTAAATATTAATTTATATCTAATTTTGAAAAACCAGGCCAATCTGAAAGCAGTTTTCAGTTTACCCAAACTTGGCACAACACTCGATAATGATCCCCTGCCATCGAGCACACGACTTCTGTGATTGCAAGGGATGTTCACCCAGTTACATTTTGACACGTCGTACTTAATCCACGTGGCAGTGATTTGCTTATTTACAAGAATTGTTTTTTTTCCCATCCAGGATAATGATTGGTGAGGGTGGGGTGGGACGACGACGTATTAGTAAACAAGCTGTAATTTTGACAGCTATTGTAATTTGGGACCAAATCGATCAAGTTGGCTCTCATTTATGAAGATATATATGGAAATATTAAAAGACTAGTCTTAAGGAGTTATCATCTCAAATGAAAACTCCAAGATTAGATATACATCGCTACAAGTTCCTAAATTAATCATTAATCGAATGTACTCGAGATTTTACATCCCCATAGCCTTCATTTTCTGGCTCGATATTTATTTTACGGAAGAATGTAAATCATGATGATTCAATACTCAATCTTATAAACCAGTTGAGCTATACGCATTGCGGACATCGTACTCAATATCCACTCGTGTACAATAAAGATTTATGCCATTTAATATATAATATAAACCAATGACCTTTGCTTGTTAAAAAAATGTAACTTTTTTTCCTCATAATTCACAAACCACACAGTGAAAAAAAAAAGTAGCAGCTTTATTTATATTAGAAGCAACTCTATATATTTTTTTCAAAGTGGAAGCAAAATTTCCTAATTTGCATCCCAAGCAAAGGGTATAATTCTTTGCAAAGGTATTATCACATGATGCTATGACTCCTAGCACTGATTAATCTTTTCATCTCCAACATATTTATTTATGATTTTATTCTCCATCCTGCAATCTTTTGAGTTACTGCAACTATTTCTAACAGGGTCGAATTCGTCAACGTCAAATTATAGAGATCATGCGACGTCCTCTAACAATTTTAATTCCGCACGACTCTACATATTCGAGCACATAAGATTACACATAACACATGCTATTGTATTATCAGACCACCCACATGAGATGGTTGCATAATTCTAAAGTGTACAAATCAGTTAAAACTCATGGATGATTACATAATTGACAAGACAATTGTTGTTTCCTTAAAAATAATTTATGATCCAGCCTGCATTTGCTGACAAATGAATCTATTTTACTATCAAAAGAAATAGTAACCAACAGTTTTATGGGGAATGTTCATATTTATCAAAGCTATTTGGTGAAGTGAAAAACTAATTTTAATTTTCTTCCAATTTACACTCATAGTCAACAGGTCTACAAAATACTACACCTGATGAAAAGCATTCGATGATTTTGCACTAATAATCGATACAAATAACTATAAAAGGAAAAGTAACAAGTCCTCCAACAGCTTAACAATTTTTATAGCACGGCAATAATTAATCAATCCTACCAAATACTAGAAAAAAAACAGAGGATTATATAATTGTGATAACTACAGTATATTCCGAGGGTGCAACCACTTGCTCGGTGGTTAGGCCTATCCGCCCGGGCCTTGATTCCCAACCCGTGGGGCACAAAGAAAACTGAGCAACAAGCGATTATGTTTGGTCCATAATTTTATATTGTTACTTCATTTTTTAAAATTTATTGGGTATTACATGACAAAAACTTCCTAACATATGTCAACTAAATTATTAAAACGAATATATTAATGTTGCATCTAATCACTCTTTTATTTTTTTTCTTAGGTGCATGAATCGTATTATCGAGTATAATCAATCAAACATGCTGTTCTATTATGGTGATGGCTACACTCTTAGCGTGTTTTTCTTGTCATTTAGTGATTTATTTAATCCTTTATTAGTGACCAATAATCCCATTTAATTATCCGTCGTTATCCTTGATGGTTTCCAGTATCTCAATCAGGTTGGTACTAAGTTCACATACTAAATAGGTGGTAGATAAGCCTTATTAATACTCACAAAGAACCGAATAATTAATTTACATATTTGACTTTATTGAATGCAATCACCAAACGAAATAAAGAAAATGACAATCATAAAGTTAGCTTTATTCGAAAATAGAGGCAACCGAGAACTCAACCTTGCCCCATTTGGTTGCTAGAATAAGATTAAATAATCTAAAGACAATTCAATTATTTTTATCCAAAAGTTGGACGTCCAATAAAAAGACTACAAAAAAAGGTGCTATGATAACATAATATTTGTGGATGGACTCAGCAAGTTATTTGAGTTACCAAACATCAAACATAATCTAATTATTTAGTTAATCATGGCAAATCTACTCAACCAACCGAAACTAAATTGTTTGAATAATATGACATATAATACTCTAAGGCCCCGTTTGGTTGGCAAGATAAGATTAGCCAAGATAATATTAAATAATCTAATGAAACTCAATTATTTTATTGGAGCTTGTAAGGTCTAAAAAAAAAAACTCATTAGAAGGCAACATAAGCCAAGATAAGACAAGATAAGCCATGATTTGGCGGGTTGACCCGACAATTTATTGGGAATATCAAACATCAAATTAAATCCAACTATTTAGTTAATCATGGCTTATCTTGGCAACCAAACGTGGGCCTAAGTGGTTGAAATTAAAACGATTTAAAATTACAAAAAGTATTCTCGATATTGGACCTATAACTAAAAAAAAAACCAAATAAGTTTGTAGAAGGTCTCTTCATTTTTATTTTTAAATATTATAAAGTTTACCTGCTGCTGGAGAGGGCTGTTTTGTGAATAAGGTTTGTTCATTACTGGAAAGGTAATTTACTCTAAAACTCGCCTAACTGGGTATGGGCAAAGAAAGATGGGCTGAATAATGAAGTAATGGTAAGGTGAATTAGTTTTAATTTATTAATATTAAATATATAATTACTAAATGACATTAGCAACCACGGCAAAACTTCCGATCGCCTTAATTGATAGTCAGTAAAGTGAATGCTCCAAAGAAATACTCTCTATCTCTCTCTCTCTCTCTCTCTCTCTCTCTCTCTCTCTCTCTCTCTCTCTCTCTCTCTCTCTCTCTCTCTCTCTCTCTCTCTCTCTCTCTCTCTCTCTCTAATATGTATGCATATTTGATTTACTTATGCATGGATAACATATCAAGATAAAGAAGGATTAGGGGAACAATCTTGCTATGAGACATTCTTCTTGGGTAGTAACATACTAACATCACCCCAAAAAATTAAAAAATCATGTACAACTTTTGATTAAAATTGTATTAAGCAAATGAACAAAATATAAATTTCATAAATATAAAATTAGATTAATCCACGAAATCGCATCCCGATCATCCGACAACACCAAATAAAACAGTCAAAGAAGAATAAAAAAAATTCTAGCAAAATTTTCATCTTGAGAGGGGAAAAAGGTTTTTAAAAAATATGTTAAAAAGAAAGCATGCACTGCATGGGTCATAGTTTCTTTTCTTTCATCATTTTCATGAAGAGCATCTTCATTATTCAGAAAAAAAAGGGTATAACTTTTATTTATTCAGTTTGACTTTACTTGTGGCTAATGTGTGTAAATTCAAGAGTATATAGTACACATGAAAAAATAAAAAGCAACATGGTCAAGATTTTGACCGGAATGAATTTTCTGAATCATGTCTCCATCCATGACCAATTTATAGAATGTACAGATTTCATGAGAAGCGTGCGAAAATAAAAGATAAAATCTAATCTTGTTGTGAAACGGTTCTAACACCAGCTGATTTTAAACCGTAGATCTACGTAACTAAGTATCCACTAAGCACACAGTACACGTGAGTGTGTGTTACGATATAAAGATCAATGGTGTAAAATTACATAGTGTATTTCACAGGGTGTCGGTTCTACAAAACCATGCTTCTACATATATGTATGATAAATCATTTATGGGATATTATCATTCTTCATATATATTTCTTTTTCAAAATTTATTCTTCCAATTGTAATGCTACAACTAACCTATAGATCTAGACTAGGGTTAACTAACACAAGGCATATTCTCCATAAGAAATTTGTAAGAAATAAAAAGAAGGCAGCAGAATATACAGGCCATGGTGGAAAAAACAAACAACTTTCCATCAGTCCCTACACACACGTCACACGTGCAAACCTATATCCTTTTGACCGTTTTGAGGTTTGAAGAATCGTATGCGTTTCCTTTTTGCTGTTAGTACGAGCTGGATGCAAAAAAAGAGATGCATATGCATATGCATTCATCTTCACACTAAGATAGTTAAGTTTCTCTCAATCAAAGACTAGGTTTCCATATGAATACACGTGGACGTTGTCATGGAACTTAAGAATTTAGAATAATTTCTATTTCGTAATTAGGCAGGTTGATTTACATTTGTTATTTCAATCTACAACGGTAAATATATACGATAGGGGCTCGGCACATTGAGAAATGGGAAATATATATGATTTTTTCGAAAGAATTTTTCGACCGTGTCTAGTAAGATTTTGAACTGCTATACATGTATTCCTGATATAACTATTGGGAGAGGTATAGAAAAAATATATTCAATATCTGTATTTAGATCTTTTTAGGATTACGTAGAGATATTTTAGAAAATAACGGAATTATATAGGAAAATTTACGATTTGAATTTTTGGTTTCACTCGTGTGGGGCTATTACATTATCACCCAAAACAAACAAAAAGCCCTTATATTCTAGTGATGCTTTTCCCAAAGGGTATCTGAATATGTTGGCCCTACTTCAGTCAAAAGATAATTCCTAGGTCAAACTCACACGGGATTTTCCTATGTTGGGAATAGAAGCTCTAAGTAGAATTTCTGTTAAATAAGAGAGAGTGAGAGAGAGTGTACCTGCGATCCGCTGATCGAATACCTTTATCGCCTGCCCGCCTTCATTGCTTTGCCGAAAGGATATAAGATAAAAAAAAACTATCTGCAAAATGAAGACATTGCTTTTAGCTTGTAATTATAATACACTTCTACACTTCTCAATATGCATTATTGTAATGAGCATATATATATATATACATAACAACTTTCTGTTTAAGACATTCCTCCATAATGGAGTACATGCAGCATGGCAAAATTTAGCAGATTAATAAACTCAAATCGGACAACACTTGCTATTATCATATATACCAGTACCATTATTTAAAAAACGGACACGATACCAAGAATAATAACATGAAATTAAAAACATCAGCCGTGCATGTCAACATAATCTATGAGAATATCCTTGAATAAATAAAAGTTAGCATAAAGAACTCCAAATATTTTGACTTCTCTTTTTCACAATGGCCACAATATTCAGACCATTCAGTCCATACGAGGAACGACAAAGAAAGGTAAAATGGCAGACACCAGACTGTCATTCTTACATGAACAACCAAGCACCACTTTGCCAAACTCCAAATGTGAGAGATTTCGGAAGATTCTAGCATTTCAAATGTGGGCCCCACGAGCATTTAGATTGCCACGAATGTTACGTTAGCCTGTTTTTTTTTGTGGTACTATAGCAGGTGAATCTAAAAGAAGATCATGAAACCAAAACACTCGGGTAAGTAAATTGCCTTGACGAATCTTTTCAAACGTAAACTAGTGGTCCAAAAATTCCAACAGCAAATATAAATACCTCCGAATTTCCATTTATTTGCCAGTGTGCATTTCTTTTCCTTCCCACCTCTCAGAGTAGGTTTCGTTTCAGTAGAAGTAGAACTCATTCCAGTCATGGACAGCAGATACGAGTCTTCAGAAAATCTGAGGTATATTTTTATTTCATGCAATATAAAGGTAACGTAAATAATAGTGTAATGGTGTGTAATTAAATGGTGATTATTTTGATGTGCAGGAACAAGTGTGCTGCTTGCTACAGACAGTTCAACAAAATGGAGCATCTCGTTGAACATATGAGGATATCATATCATTCAAATCACGAACCTGTTTGCGGTATTTGTCAAAAGCATTGCCGTTCTTTTGAATCTCTGCGCGAGCATCTCATAGGTATTATTCTTCTTCAATCTCTTTGAAACCATATTATCCTATATAGATATATACACATTATTTAGAAATGGGATTATATTCTAATATATGGTGAAATTCGTCTATATTCAGGACCTCTACCAAAGGCAGAATGTGAAAGGGTATTCAAAGAACGAGGATGTGACCTTTGCTTAACTATCTTTAGCAGCCGCTATGCTGTCCAGCTTCACCGAGAGAAATGCCAATTTTCACGTGGAAATAATGTAACGACCATAAGAATTAAAAAAAAAATATAATACCGATTTTTGTGTATCATCTGATATAATTTACTTTTCACCTGAATTAGGGTCTGATATACCGAATGGCTAACTTGGGCATACAAGACGAACTGAGGATTGATAATACCAGAGCAAAAACGGTATCACTTGCTTGCAAAATGGTCGGAGGGGGCACTGACGGCTCGTTGGATCTCTGTGCAAGGGTCTGCCTGACTGACGAGTATGAAAAGATAATCTTCCAAACATATGTCAAGCCTCACCTTCAAGTCACAAACTATAGGTAATTAATGAGTTTCCGCAAATAAAGATACGCTATATATCAATCAATAGAGCTAAAATAAATCTGAAATGTTTTACAGGTATGAAACAACAGGTATACGACCGGAATATTTGAGAGACGCGATGCCACTTAGGCAAGTCCAGCGGAAAATTCAAGACTACTTATGCAACGGAGAGCCGATATGGCAGATCCGTAATAGAGGTGGAAAAGCAAGGATTCTAATTGGCCATGGACTGGATCATGATTTGAAATGCTTGGAAATGGAATATCCGGAAATACTGATCAGGCAAGCTCTTTAATTAGCTGCATCAATACAGCATTAATTAATCAAATAAATAAGCTGTCTGATGAATCTAGTAATTGCTTTTACAGGGATACAGCAAAATATCCGCCACTGATGAAAACAAGCAAGCTAAGCAACTCACTGAAATATTTAACCAAGGCATATCTTGGGTAAGTAGCTTCGTTTCATCTTAATTCGGCATTCAAATTCAAAAAGAAAAATTAATAGTCGATGTTTGTGTACATATAGATACGACATCCAAACTGGTATACAAGAGCCATATGATGACTGTGTGGCTACAATGAGGCTGTATATAAGAATGAGAGCTCAAGCTCATAAGGTAGAAGACTATCCTTTGGCTTCGGACCCACAAAATCGGAACAATTTTGCATCACGAAGGCAGAGCGAGCTTGAGAGAATGTCTCCACAAAAGATGTTGGAAATATCAAGGTCCGATTATTTTTGCTGGTGCTTGGACAAAAAATAAAGAATTCCAAATGGAATATGCAATTTGTACTTACTATTTACTAATGCTTTTAGAATTACTTATTTTACCCCTCGCTCGGATTTATCCGTAGCATCATAAGTTGCAATTACACTGTTGCTATTTGTATTTGATGAGGAAATTTAATCCACTCGAATGAGAAAGGACTTTCCTCATACTAATAATGCATTTCAAATTAGTTTCTACCCCCATCGATTAATGTGTAGCTGGAACCATAAGTACTTTCAGTGATCCTATTATATCTATGTGTTTGATGAGCTCTATTTCACTAACAGCAGTTATTAGCTCAAAAACTGTGCGTTTACACTGTGTCGGGATAAATAATTTGAAGAAATTAACAACGTGCTTCGCTGGTTCGAATCGGTAACATAAACTATCATATAGAAAACTGAAATTTCGTGCATGTGTCAGAATTAAATGATTTTTATTTTATTTTTTAAATTATATTTAAATTATAAATCCAGTGCTCAAACTATCACTACCATATTCAACCTACAGACTGTAAAAGGCCAACAAACACAAAAAAAAATGGAGCGAGATGACAATAGTACTATTAAACACTAAATGCACACTCATATAATCACAACAAATTAAGCGATACAAATATTTAGACGCAGATTTAAGAAAAAATAAAGAGATTTACCGGCAGAGGGAAACGTTGTGTGAATCTGCGATCTCTCTCTCTCTCTCTCTCTCTCATTTGCTTCGTACAGTTGAAAAAAAATAAAGAGATTTACCGGCGGTGGGGAAACGTTGTGTAAATCGGCGATCTCTCTCTCTCTCTCTCTCTCTCTCTCTCTCATTTGCTTCGTATAGTTCAAAAAATTGCAATAAAAACAGGGAAAGGGGAAAATGAGTGAGGCGAGGGTTTGAGTGGAAAAAAGTGGAGGAGCTTTTACTTGATGATCTCGCGCGCGATTAAATTCTCTTTTGAACTCCACTGCAAAATAAAATATCTGATGCGCTTGCTTGCTTAGCCTTTGTTTAATTGGGCTACTTCCGGATAATCCGACCCACTTTTATTGGGCTTTTTACTGTTATTTTCCGATCGGGCTTTCAATTGTCACCGTTAACGGGCCTCCAGCTTTCTATTTATATACATTAAAAAACTGAAATGTTAAAATGTCGTTTCAATTTTACTAATGTTGTTTTGACTTTGAATCTGATTTCTATGTTGATTTTGGAAAAATTCGAAACACGAAAATTGTAGTCATTTGGATTAGTTTTCTAATTCAACTTAAATCCGCTTGATTGGATGCCGTGTGACAAAGTTATGCATGAATGAGTCACATTTTGTATTTTAGATACCTCAATACATCAAAATTGTGGGCATTATTCATTGATTCATGTATATCTTTCTCGCCGGACATCCAATTTTGGTGATTCGAGTTGGATTAGAAAACTAACTCAGAATACTACAGATCCTATTTTCGGATTTTGCAAAATTTGGAATAAAAAAAAATCAAAATCACGTTTGAAGTCGAAACGTATTATTAAAGCTCGAACGACATTTATCACATCCCTTATAAGATGGTTTATATATTAGTTCTAATATAGTTTGCAAGCTATTATACAAGAGTGTAGGTTTACCCAAGAGTGTAGGTTTACCCAGTGTACCTACACGTTTCTCTGGTATTATTCTGACAAAAATCTCAACATACTGTATATGTATATACAAATATGACAAATTCATTACAGTTTCTGGGGTGCGGTGCAACTTGTAAGAAGCAAATGGTGTTCGTAAGAAAGTCGAAACTAGATGGATTTGGATGTGCAAAGAGAATATCCGGAAATGAGAGAATTAGCAGCCAAGGCGACAAACGCGAGGAAAGACATGGATACTGAAGCAGTTGCCATATCTGGAAACTTGTCCTTTCCCCAATTTAATTGCCAATCGTCGATCCGTATTGTAGCTGACGAAGAGGCCGATATCAGAAGATACGCAATTATCTGCCACCATAAATAAAATAAATAAATTAGTAAGTAACGGGAAAGAAAAAGAAATAAACGAATACAGGAAATATGAAGTTACAGCATGTCAATACTTATTATAGGAATAAATAAACTATAGATCGATATAGGATCTTGCATGTACAACACTATATTTTTGCTTGATTGGACTTTCTATGTTGTAATCTTTGATCGTGGTACATAAATCGTAAATCTCATTTTGTTGCCTGCGAGTTTATTTTTCCGTTTTGGTTCAATCACATGAACGACTTAGAAGCTTATTATTATGCCTCGCTAGATAACGATCATACCAAAACACAATTCATAAATCGTATCGTAAATGAAATTAAGTAATGTAATATAATACAAAAAATAGAGAAAATATGGGATTAAAAGAGGATAGATGGAATTCATTATTTTTTTATCCTTTCGCCTTTTTCACGCTACGAAAAAACAGAAGCACTTGTCTTAAAGCACTAGTGTGAGTAAATGTATGTGTTATTCTCCACAATGTAAACGGTGGCGGTTAGTGGAATGAAAAGAACAGAATCTTGGTAAAAGGTAGTTCTATAGAAAGTTTGCCCTTTGGCAATTCCCTTCGATTCCATAGCTTATCCAACGGAACATAAACCAAAACGAGGCCCGCAATACCATCAAAGTTTTATGTACTTTTATTTTATTTTAATATAAATCCGATAAATTTAATTGAAAATTCATTCAAACCTTCGCAGTACACGAGTATCAATTGTCGAATGTACGTGTAAGACTAATTAACACATAAATAATATAGAGATAAGGAAAAAAAAAAACTAGCCTGGTCGACTCCAAAATCGAAGTAGTGCCGGAGTTGCGGTTGTTGATGCACAATATACTTTCCAGTGGCTAAATAATACGATAAATCGCAAGCTTGAGCTCCCGAGTACAAGAATCCTATTACATTCACTGAAATGCAGTACCTGCCAAATCCCCATTTTCAAATTCGAAAAAAAGGGTAAACACAAAATCAGCTAAAAAAATTCAAGAACTGAAATTTCAAATAATATTATTTTAATTAAATTGATTAATTTTACCGAAATTCTTTGTAACGATTGAATGAATCAATTGCCCAGCCTTGATTTCTGTCAGCTGCCATTACTGATAGTGAGAGCAAGCAAAACAAGAACCCGAATACTCTGAACCCCAGAGCAGCTTTCTTCACCATCTTCTCTCTTTTACCTCTGTTTAATATCGACGGCGGTGGTCTAGGTCTGACCCTCCGCCTCCCACTTCCGCCGCCGCCCTCCGCCACTCCGATACCTGGATCGGTCTTCGTCGCCGCCGCCTTCGGCGGCGACGGCGGCTGCTCCTCCTCTAGTACAGCCATGTTCACCACAGCCATAGGCTCCTGCAATACGATCGCGTTCTCCGTGGGCCCCTTGAACACATCTCTTCTCACCACCGCCGCCGGCGGCGGAGGCTTGTTTTCCGGGGAGTGATTGACGGCGGTGTGATCGGAGGAAAGTGAAGAACGCGCAGGTGAATTCTCCGGCGGAGAGAGTGAGATGTGTCCTCCGCTGTTCTGTTTGTGAGAGCCGGGTGGTGAGTTTTCCGGCGAACCCAGCGGCGGCGAGAGCAGAATGTGGTCGCCACTGTTTCGTTTGGAGTGAGGCGGAGAGTCGGAGGAATCGACGGCGAGGATTGGCTGCTGTTTAATTTGGGTTTCCATAATTTTTTCAATGAATCCAGTTTCGTTTGTTGGTTGATGAGAATTGAGAAGAGAAATCTGTCTTCTATATATCAAGAACAGTTTTTCATTCTTCAACTTCAACCCCTAATTTAATTTACTTTTTTTCCATTTTATGTATATGAATTTATGAGACGACTTGACAGTTGACGGTAATAAAAATATAAGGGCTAAATACACTTTGCACCCTTAAACTATAGGGGTGGTAACACTTACCCCTTAAAGTTACAAATGTAACACTTACCCCCCTCATTAATGAATTTAATGATAAAACTTTGACTTTAAATAATGTGGCATTTTTTCTTCCCAAATTGTCCTTCTAGCTATTATATTGATGCATATATAATAAAATAGTTTCAATAATATTTCAAAAACTAAAATTTATAAAATATAATAATTATTAAAAAATATTTTGATTTATGTTTAACTCCACATTTTAATTACTATAGACCCTAATATAAATAAAAATCTCAATATTTTAAAAAATATATAAAATACGTTAAGCATTCGCGAGAAAAAAATATTCAAGACTTAAATGGCCAAGTTTTTTATAATAATTATTGATTTGAAAATTTATTTAAGTTACTTAAATATAAATTTTAATAAAATAATATTTAAATATTTAGACGTTTAAATTATAATTTCTTATTAACTTTGGGATACATTCTGGGATTCTCCAAGTAAAAAGTGAGATGATTATATTAGAGTCATATACGCATTAAAATAACTATATAAACTATAAAATTATACTTAAAATTTGAATAATCGTTAACTTTTTATTAGCTACAAATGAACACAAGGTAAAACAAAAATAAACTAAAATTCAATTTTTTTCATTCATAGATTTACAATATGGAAATAATAAAATTAAGTTTTGGCAAAGTTGCCGAATTTTTTATTATTACATATTCATTATTTATTTAATTGCTAGAAGGACAATTTGGGAAGAAAAAATGCCACATCATTCAAAGTCAAAGTTATACCTTAAAATTCATTAATGAGGGGGGTAAGTGTCACATTTGTAACTTTAAGGGGGTAAGTGTTACCACCCTTATAGTTTAAGGGTGCAAACTGTATTTAGCCGAAAATATAAAATGGTGTGGGACCTTGTTACACACAGTTTAAGCCAGCAATGTTTCTCAAGCGTCAAATATCATGGAGCCCCCTAAAGTAAATTTTAATTACGAAGAAGCCCTTCTTGTTTTCATAATTACAAGCACCCCTGAAACTAGCGGGCTGCAAAAAATCCTAATAAAACGTAGTAATTGTCTAAAATGCTTGTGTTAAAATAATTAAATGAAAGAGAAAAAAAGGTCTCACATTCAATTTTATGATTTTCTTACATTCGGCTGTCATACAATGTAAAATCTTACACATAACCCCTTATGGCACAAAAACGGCAAGTTAACAGTAAACAAAAAATTAAAACAAAAGAGTTTTAAAAAAAATATATAATTATTTATGAACCTTACAATTAGACTCGCAAGGGTATTATTATCATTACAAAATGGATATTCCATAAAATCTATTTGATTCTGTTATTGTTAACTATGAGGGTAAATTCGTTAGACGAAAAATACCTCAGAGTGGTGCTCGTAATTATGCAAACACGTAGGGTAGTGTTCGTAATTATGCAAACAAGGAGAGTTTGTTCGTAATTAGACCTTACCTCAAGTGCAAATTGATTATATAAATTCAAAACAATCATCTACACATTAGTGTGAGTAAAATATTACTATATTAGCAACAAACTAAACTATTATCTCAATGTTGCAGATACTCAAAGGCTCCCTGTAGTTTTTCATCTTTCAATGGAATCTGATACAAGAAAGATTCTACGACAGATAAAAAGATCTGCCTATGCCACTTACTTTTGCCTACAATCTTGCGAAGAACTCATGTGCTTCGTAGTACTTGTCCAAAACAATATTATACAAAGGATGAACAGGTTCCAACAAATTGGAATAAGGGCCCATCACATCCTTGGGCAAAGGGGGTGTTTCGGCTTCTTTTACGTTGCAGTGATGGCAGACGGACAGTCCGCTTAGGACATAGCATGTATGATAGTGGTCCCTACGTTTTCCCGGCTTGTCTCTAAAACCTGCTTCCTCCTGCACCCCCACCACATCGTACAAGAAACTATCAACGCTACTAACATAGTACATTTAAGGAAGTCTCATTCGAACAAGGGAAGTATATATGCAAGGTTTCAACCCGAATAAGATGCAATCACATGAACGGGAAATAAAGAGAAAGCCCTAAATCACGAATTTTACTTGTATCGTCTTGTGGTCCCCGCCCCCCCCCCCCCCCCCCCCCCCCCCCCCCCCCACAATTCTTTTTCTGTATCAATTTTTATCATGTGTTGAAATTGTGCATTTTGAAGGTAAATAAGAAAAAATTGTTTGCACAAGTAATAGAGGAATGGAAGTACCTGTGTGCAAAGAAGAATGTATTGCTGCAAGGCCATGCTATTGAACAGAGGTCTCATGCCTTTGGATCCTTTGATAAAATTGTAACCGTTATTATTCAACCCTATTGGAGAAGAAGCATTATTAGGCTTTCCTGGGCCGCAGGGAAAGAAAGGCATAATAATGTACAAATGTTACTGAGAAATTATGTTTATTTAAAAAAGAAATAAAAAAAAGAAAAACGGAGATTTTTGGCAGCACCAGTATTATCATAATTACGAAAGAACGTCCGAGAAATTATCAACACGAAGAATTTGTAAAACCTTCTAACATGGGTTTCTCTCTGTCTGTGTCTGAAGAATCATCATCGCTTTCTGTTATGCAGTCAAATTTGAAGGTACTTGATAGCCCCAGTTGTTCTTTAATCATCAAATGTAAACGTTGAATTATTGCGGCTACTCCACCCTGATTGAAGGTCATGTATTACTAACTAGAGCTATTATCTATACGATGATTGATAAAACTTAAAATACTGATTATCTCTATTTGGTATTTGATTTAATTTAAAATACTTTGGAATCTCCATTCACCTGCCAAAAGGAGTAGCAGCCGTCGACCAACTTATTTGTTCTGCCTTGAAATCCACATTCTATTCCTTGCCTGAATACCACCCAATTCTGAAATATAATTGATGAAACAGATATCACTTGCGTTTACTGGTAATAAACAAAAGTGAAAATATTTCTCACTTACAATTAGTTGAGAAAGGGAAGTTTGTACAGAACCTCCATCTAAATGGAAAAAAATAAAAATAAAGATACTTACAATTAGTCCAGGCAAGTCCAAACGATGAACCTCATTTATGAGAACCATTGCAGCCAAACCACAAAATGTATACCTAAGAACATGATCAGGCTGAGAGGGCTTCAACTAATTAATCTACCCAAAAACGAAAGCTATTGCACATTGATAAACTAGAAATGGATGAATACAAGTCATTTCATTTTGCGGCACAGTACTTACCCACCATGAGCTTCTGCGCCAGGCTCACCAGAAATTCCACCCTCATAAGTCTGGCAACTGTAAGAGGTAGGCTCAGTAAAAGAAAGAGATTAGAGAACACAACTTTTTTGCAAGTACCAAAGCAGATAGCGTGAAAATAAAGTCCAAACTCTTGTACGGTTGTATCATAGTTTTTGCAGTAATAATGTGTCAAGAACAAGAAACGTGAACAAGCTTCGTAGCGGGGAATAAAGCCAAAGAAAAAAAAGGCGAACCTTATGATGTAATCTCCAACATTTTGAGTCAGCCTTTCATCCAAAATGTTAAGAACACTGGCCACCTAAATGAAGCAAGATACTCAAAATTATACGAGTAAAATGCTCGTGTGAATAAGAAAGTAATCAATTAAACCTTTTTATAGTATAATACTCATGTGATGAAACAGTTAATTGGATCAACTAAGAAATGAAATAAAAGGCCTCTACATAGTCTCAAGACTCGAGGCCTGTGATCATGAGCTAAGCACCCAACCCTATGCTTGCTAATTTTTCTGTTCAACAGTTAGACCGATTTGAATGATGATTTGTTAATTGCAGTCTCTGCTTCAAGTCTTTACACATCAAGCTAAAATATGAACAATGCAAACGAGCATAGTAGCTTTTAAATTGTCCAACTTTACGTTTAGAATAATTTGAACAAATGTCAAATTACAAGCCTTCACTAATTGGCACGGGATGGACACAATTTTATCAACAAAAATTTGGAGCGACCATTTGAAAAAGAAGAAATATTAATTAATACATAAGTGGTCTCTTAAATATTAATTTCTTATTTAAAGTGTTCAAGAGTTTTAAGTGGCCATGCAATTCAAACAAATTGACATTAAAGTAACTTCAACTTACAGATATAGCAGTGTAGCAAGCACGGACATCCACTTCTCCACCGTCATGCATCCTAAAAAAAATAGAATCGAGAAAGATTTTAGTATGAAACAATCTAAAATGTGTAGCACGGCGTAATACACACAATGAGACAATACCTGAAACCACCACTTGTGTCTTTCATTCGCAGCAAAAATGAATATAGCTTTTCTCTGCAACCCAAAAATGATTTTAATGTAAAACCAACTTGAATAGATGTGTAATGAAACGAACGTACATAATAATGAAATGGAATGAGCACCTGTTTATTGATGACAGAGATTTATGACCACCCAAAGTAAGAAGTGCATTGATTGCAGCATAAGTTGTTGCCAGATGAGGCATCTGACATTATTGGGAAACAATGAGTTAGTTAATTGACAACCGAATAAATTTAGAAGGAATATACATAATAAATCCTATTTCTTTTTCAAAATTTCCTCTATTTTCTTCAAAAATGATTCATGTGTAAGGCAAGTCAAAGATTTCCAATGCTCGATACTGGAATAAAAATTTAGGTAATGAACATATGAAACTTAATTCCACCACATGGTTTTGTCATAAATTATACAAAATCTGCATTCAGTCTCTTTTGAATGTTAAATATTAGCTATAAGCAATTTTGGTTCAGCTATAAGCATTTTTCCTTTTTTTCCTTAGAGAGAGAGATTGGAAAAAAAGAGAATGTAACGAAAAAAGGTAAACCATTAAATCAGAAAATATTAGTCCGTCTTAATAACATTCACGAAGATAATTTTAAAAACAAGAGAAAACTTCTCCTACCTGACCCGGTCCACCACCATAGCCACCATTTGGGTCCTGTCAATAACATTCAAACAAAATTGTATCGGAATAAATTCAGCATAGGATAAAAATGAAATTCAAATAACAATTGGAAGTATTGTCTCTAGACCAACCACAACAGGCATAACCAGAAAGTATATAAGGATTATAGGTGCAACTGTAAGTTAATGCAAGCAACTAGGCGAGCACGGCTGAGTTGGTAAAACAGCATCCATCCTACAGGAATCGTATATAAGCCTATCCAGGCCACAGTGGAAATGCATATGTTGTTGTTTCATTGTTATGTTCGGGAGTAAAGTAAAAAAAAAAAAAATCTACAATCATTTTCTAATTCTTATTTCTGAATGACGAAATGTCATGATTTAGCTTCGGAAATCTCTATCCAAAGGTGATAGATTTTTTGACCTAATGCTAAATTTACAGGTATGGCAAGAAAAGTTTCTGGAGGCAGGATTATGACCAATAAATACAGCAAAATTAGATGATTTCGGCTGGATGCACAGTTTTATAAAAAGAATGCAACAATAGAAAACAATAATGTTCGTATTAAAAGAAGAGTTTGCACAAGCATATATCACAAGACGGGAAAGTAATTTATGACCAAATGAAACCTGGCATCGTCGGAGAAAATCAATGGCATCACTTTCCAGATTGTCATCAACACAATCCCCTAACAAAGCAATTGAGTGTATGATCCAATAGCAGAGCCAAGGTCGACTGTCAATCGGAAAACAAAAACAATTAAATACTAATATTCATATCGTGAACCAACTTTCTCATAGAATAAGCACCATTACTGGTAATATGCAATCGCTGTAAGTAAACATCCATAATCACAATTTATTGCTGCAAGAGCGTTCTAATTACATAAATTAAACAAGCCATATTGGCTTTCTCATGCATAGAAATTGATTACTTTCAAGTGAACTCCAAATGGTATTACATCAAAAAAAAATTGAATAGCACAATCACATATACACTAAAAATAAGGAAATAAAACTAGCAACTGAATTTGCGTGTTTACAGTAAATGCTAATGGAGATGAATAAAGTAAGTACTTAGCATCCAGAACGGTAAAATTGGGGCCGAGTTGCGTGAGACTTCTGGTTAGATATTCAATGTGGTCGTCACGTCGAAGCTCAAAGCTATGAATTCCACATGTCAAAACATACCAAACAAACAAATCAGTACAAAATTGAAGTAATGAACTTTCAAATTGAAATTGATTGTGCCAGAGAAGAACCCTAATTGTAGCATACAGTTAAGACTTAACTTGACGGATTGAGCATGGGGAGGGAGGCGGTAAACAAGATCATAAATTCGGAAAACTTGATTCTGCACCATCCACTGCTCCTCCTGTGTTTTGGAGGCTGTCATTTTCGCCATCGCAATCGTCGCCGGCGACCGTTGTTTCTCCGATATTAGAAGGGTTGGGGGTGCTGTTTCTTTGCCGGCACAAATGAAGAACCAAAAAGACGAACCACGACTTTAATATGAATAAGCTTTTATACTCGAGGTCAACTGAACGCGACTCTTATTGCATCCAGAGTGCAGAAAACTAAAGGCGTTTTAAAGAAGTGGCCGAGTAAAATCACACGATTTAAAAGTATCAACTTGTATGGAGGAAAAATACAGTTTTCATCCTTCAAATTTGCACGGATTCCACATTGGTCATCCATCTTTACAAAAAAGCACATTTGATCCCTCATGTTTCAAAAATTCAATACTATTAGTCATTTTCGTCAATTTTCCGTTAGTACGAATGCAATCAAGCGTGTGTACATCACTGCCTTAACTAATGGACTAATGATAAATTGACGGAAATGACAAAAAGTGTTAAATTATTGAAACATGGGGGACCAAATGTGAAATTGATGTAGACTTAGGGCCGAAAACTATATTTTCCCACTTGTAGTGTTAAATATCACACGTGCCCCCCTTCCTAATAGTGGCAAACAAAAATCAAATTTTGCTTGTGATTTTTCATTTTTGGACCGAGATGGACTGAGTTTGTAGGGAAACTCAAATATCCTAGAACTTCTTCATATGGTTAATGCTGACTGTATACCACGTGTGTATTTTTCAGATACATTTAATCCCAATTCCCAAATACAGATATTAATATTACACATAACTTTCAACAAGGTCGAATTATCACCACCATTAAATGAAAAAGTAAATCACTCATTAAAATAGGATAAGCTTCGCGAATTTAGCAAATTAGGTTTATATATATACAGTCAGTCAAAATAAAATAGGTGAGTAAAAGAGTAACTCTACCAACTTTTCTTTATCACACAATCTCTCTCGCCTCTTCTTTTGCCTATAAAAAGGCAGCAGAGTCCCAACAGTTCACAATACTTATATCACCACCTGCACCCTGCGGTTCTCTGCAATTCCTCTCTTTTCTTCTCCTGAAATCGGTTCTCTAATTTTTACAAAATTAAGATGGCGATGAAGCGTGCTGCTGTTTCTGCAGTTCGTGCTTTTACTTCTTCAGGGAACCCCGCCCCTTCAGTTCTAGCCCGCGGCCTTCACGTAAGCCTAATTCTCTCATTCCTCATCAAAGCCAAATTAATTTTTAATTTAATTTATATGATCATTTCTTTGATTATGTCATTCCGCTTTTTTTGTATTCAAATTTTTTTTATGATTTAAAATAACTCCATGAAATCTAATCGAGCGATGATTTCCTACGATTTGAAGTAACAGTAGAATTATTTGTGCAGTAAAAGCTGAAAAAATCAAAGAATTGTTTATATTGTCTAGAACATAACGATGATTTGTGTAGAAAGAGGAGAGAGAGAAACAGAATTCAGTGCGGATTCATGCCAAGTGTGTGAAATCAAGTACCGCTACGTCTTATTTTGTCGTATTATCATGTGGGAGGCTACGCCAATTTTGTTATTCGGGCCGAGACAGATTGGGCCCCCACTAATTTGATAAGTGTCCTTATCGGGCTGGGCCTCCCCTAACATTACGTGTACCAGTATCTATTTATATTCTGTCCTTTGCTCTATTGATTAGGCAATTAGGAAGTTCAAAAAAAAAAAAAAGATTAGGCAATTAGGTTTTTTTTTTTTTTTTTTTTCATAAATACAAAATAATACCAATTCTGTTATAAAAAAATAGGAGATATTTCGTAAATTCGAATATTTTCGGATTGGAATCGGTTAGGAATTCCAATTTCATAGTCACCTATAATATAAAATACATAATAAATAAATATTGTAAGTGTGATTTTTGGAAATATTTTCAAAAATTGAAATCCACGGAAGTCTTGAATCTAATATGTATTCCAATTTCATTCTAGAAAAATCGAAAAAATTGGAAATCGAAATGAAAAATGTTGTTTCAAAATCAAAAGATTTCAGACCAGAATCGTCGGAATTTCAGAAATTCCGTGCCAATTTCCAACCATAGCCATAGTAATAGTATTATAGTAACCTAGGACATTGCTATATTTGTTTCTGTTCCATTTTATTTTGAGAAAAAAAATATCCGATGCATGATGTTGTATGAATTACCATGACCATTTGCATTGTATGTGCTTTAGGCTTCACCCGGAAGCAAGAAGATTGTGGGCGTTTTCTACAACGCAAACGAGTATGCTTCGATGAATCCCAATTTCCTCGGTTGTGTTGAGAATGCTTTGGGTATACGTGACTGGTTGGAAACTCAGGGTCACGAGTACATCGTTACTGCCGACAAAGATGGCCCACATAGTGGTAAGAAAACATTTTTCGATAATTAAATCACGAGTACATTGTTAATTACTACCTAGTCTAATTAGATTGCTTAATCTTATTTATGAAGAAGTCAAATGAGGATATAATTTATTTGTCCCACTTTTAGTTGATCGAATTTAACGACTTTTTTTTTAATGTCTGCAGAGCTCGAGAAACACATGTCCGATCTCCATGTGCTGATTAGTACCCCATTCCACCCGGCATACGTGACAGCCGAGAGAATCAAAAAGGCAAAAAATCTGCAGCTTCTGCTCACGGCTGGAATTGGCTCGGACCACATTGACCTCAAGGCGGCTGCCGCTGCTGGATTAACAGTGGCGGAGGTCACCGGAAGCAACGTTGTCTCGGTAGCTGAAGATGAGCTGATGAGGATTCTCATCCTCGTTCGGAATTTCTTGCCTGGGCACCATCAGGTGATTAATGGTGAATGGAATGTTGCAGCCATTGCCCACCGAGCTTATGACCTTGAAGGTAAGACTGTCGGAACAGTTGGCGCCGGAAGAATCGGCCGACTTTTGCTGCAGAGGCTGAAGCCTTTCAACTGTAATCTGTTGTACCACGATCGCCTTCAGATGGACGCTGAGCTGGAGAGTCAAATCGGGGCAACCTACGAGGAGGATCTAGATGCTATGCTTCCGAAATGTGACATCATCGTCATTAATACGCCTCTCACTGAGAAAACCAAGTTAGTTTTTTTAAGGCAACCACTATTTATCGTCATTAATACGCTAAATCGTCACACGGTTTGTTATTACTATTGTCGTGTGTTTCTTTCTTAGAGGGATGTTCGACAAAGAGAGGATAGCGAAGCTTAAGAAGGGAGTTTTGATCGTGAACAACGCTAGAGGTGCGATTATGGACACGCAAGCCGTTGTCGATGCTTGTTCGAGTGGGCATATAGCAGGTATGGGCTGTATGGCATCGAATAGACATCCGTTTTTTTTCATTTAGAAACAAAACAATTTTTTTTTCCCTAGAAAATAACATTGCATGAGAATTGAATTTGCGTGTCGTTTTAACAAACTACAAATACGTAAATTGTGGATTCAGGTTACAGTGGAGATGTGTGGTACCCGCAGCCTGCACCGAAGGATCACCCTTGGAGGTACATGCCAAACCAAGCTATGACCCCTCATATATCGGGAACTACAATTGATGCACAAGTAAGTTTTATCGTCCCTCGTCAGAAAAACATGTGAAAATCGTATTTTGGCTATTGCTAAATGAAAAAAACTTCGATATATTTGATGGTTGTGTAGCTTCGTTATGCTGCTGGAGTGAAAGACATGTTGGAGTGTTATTTCAAGGGGGAGGATTTTCCGGAACAAAACTACATTGTCAAGGACGGAGAATTGGCTAGCCAATATCGCTAGATGTGCTTTCGCCCGAGTGTCGATTCTGCCATCTCCGACTAATGCCAGATCTAATGAGTTGCTATTTAAATAAAAAAAGAACATGACTTTTGTTCGGGTGTGTAATTTCTTGTTTTAAGTTGACTCAAACTTTGGAATTAACCTTGATGCATATGGATTTCCAGTTCTTTTTGTGCATGTGTTGGTTGTGTTTGTAATCACATATATGATAATTAGTATTAATCTTGTTTAAATAATATTTTTGCTCATTCCTCATTAAAAAATTAAAACAATTCATTTTCTGTTGTACTTGTATTTTGGAAACATAATAGTATTTTATCAGACAAATTTTAAATAATTTATAGATACTGCTTTCAAGATTTTTTTAATGAGTATATATTTTAAACATAAAAATTCAAATAATCAGTCTGAAGACAAATGGACGGCTGAGATGGCCTAAGTGATGAAATGCATAAGATCAACGGTCAAAACTAAACGAACTTCCAGTAAAATCGTTGTCGACGATAGCCCGACCCGAACAAATTATCGCGCAAAAATCCCAAAAGGAAGAACAAACAGAGAAGCAAGTGAATCAACTCGCGGAATAAAAAGAACTTCACATCTCGGAATTTTATCCTGTTAATTAAGTTGTAATTAATAGCTTTTTCGTAATTTCTCTGGTTTCGATCCGACGACGACGTTTATTGTAATTAATAGGTCTGGTAGCTGTTTTTTGCACTCGCCGTTTATTTTAATTTTGATTGTTTTACTTTTGAGGAAATCTGTGATTAATTAATTAATTAATTTTTTTTATTCATGTTTTCTGTTCACGTGTGATTTTAAATTGCAGGTAGATTGTAATTAATGTCTGGTTGCTGTTTGATTGTCGTTTGCATTTGAGGAAGAAAAAAAAAACTGTTGTTTTACTGGTTTAGTAAATTAATTTCTCTTACCAATTCTATTTACATTTGAGAAAAAAAAAACTGTGATTAATAAAAAAAAAGAAATTGCTTTTTTTGATGTTTTCAGTTCACTTGTGATTATAAATTGCAGGTAAATTAGAAATGGCTGAAACAAAATCAGGTATGAGGAAGCCAGTTTTCATCAAGGTTGATCAAATCCGGCCAGGCACGAATGGTCACAATCTTGTGGTGAAGGTTGTGAGTTCGAAGATGGTGCTGCAAAAGGGCAGGCCAGACGGGCCGCAGTTTAATCAAATGCGTATTGCTGAATGTCTGGTCGGAGATGAAACCGGGAGTATCCTTTTTACTGCAAGGAATGAGCAAGGTATTATTATTATTACTCTCTTAATTTATTTTTATCTTTTATTGTTGCGACCATCGCTATCGGTTCTTGATTTGTTGCTCCACTAAATGTGGATGGATCCATTTGCGTTATGCAGTTATAGATTATGTATTTATGTGTTGAATTTATAGAAAAAAAGGTGGGTTAATTCTATATATATATATATATATATATATATATATATATATATATATATAATTTTGAATGTCAACGTAAGTCCTTGGTTGGGTGTATATATTGTTTGCAATTGAATGTTATGCCTCTTGCACGATTTTTCGTATTTAGAGACACATATTACTGCATTAGAAGTCATGTGCACTGAGTGAACACACAGTCAATGTGTTTTTCTATGTGATTCTGTTTGTGTGTGTAACCGCATAATTACTATATGATGCTGCAAACAGCAAAGGAAAAGGAGATACAGTCACTTAATAATAAAGACAGCAATTGTGAATTTCTAGAGACTTGATTGGCATCATTTTGATTTTTTTCACTAGTCACGAAAGTCGGGATTATTTGGATATCACATTACTTTGCCATCGTTTTTAAGTTGAAATGTCTGTTTCACGTTTTCTTCCTCGGGAATTTAGATGATCTTTATGCGACATTTTTCTCCCCATGCAGTGGAAATGATGAAGCCCGACGCTACAATAATTCTACGAAACGCGAGAATTGACATGTTCAAAGGGTCAATGAGGCTTGCTGTGGATAAATGGGGGCGTGTAGAAGTCAGTGAACCAGCCAACTTCGATGTCAAAGAGGACAATAACCTCTCGCTCGTAGAATATGAATTGGTAAACGTTGTGGAGAAGTAGAAAAAAACAGGGACAATCTTTCTAGTCTCTTTTTACGGGGTTATTAAAAAATGAATCAGGCCAAGAAGTGGATGTTGTGTTAGGAGATTGAAAGGTGATAATTTCGTGCTCACAAGAAAGTTCCGGTTTTAGTAAGAAGCAACTATCTCAATCTCGTATGTGCGGATAAGTGTTCTGTAGTAGCTGATCAGCTTTGGAGCAGTGGCATAGTAAAAATAATTATCGCAGCAGTTACAAATACTTCGGCATGTGCAGATCGTTGAAGACTTAAATTTCGTCACGTGTTCTTTTTGCCCCCACTATATGAAGCAATGAACATGTATGTGTATGTTAGACAGGAAATGGGATCTTTATTTGGCTGTTAAATACTATTTACTATATGATGCTTTTTTTTTTCAAGGCAATGAATTTGATCATTGTTTTATATCAATCTCTAGTTATGGTGTTCAGATTGTGTTTGTATAAGCCATAAGGGCACTTTTTCTTTGAACAAGGCGACGTAGTTTACCTCGACCGGAGCTCGGAGCTCAGATAAGTCAGACTCATGCAAATCTTTTTTCCGATCGAACACTTGAATCCGGTTTTCGAGAGTCTAATTTGATATCCGTATTTGAGCCAACCGTGAAAATGTGATCGATGGTTTTCTTAAATGATATGCAGCACGGAAACTTGAACTTCTTAATGTTTCCGTGTTTCGGACATGTTTCGTGTCCGATATTGGGCACTTCCCGGACACCTTATGGGCCATTTTGCAATTTCTAAAAAGTTAGAACATATTTGAATAATAATTTTTCTAATATTTTTGATCAATTGCAAATTGATAGTTGATAGTGAAATTTATTTTGAATATGTTTGTATGAAAAATATAAAAATAATTATGGACAAATAAAAACTTATATATATGTTTATAGAATATATATGTTTTGGCCCGGAACCGTTCTAGGAATAGATGAACCGTGCGGTTCCACCGGATTAAAAGAAAAAAAAAGGAGCAAGAAAAAGCTGAACCGGTCGTTATTTGCTATTTTTTGAATTCCCCCCACACACCATTTTTCCTATAAATACCCTCACACCCCATTTTTTACTATAACATTAAATTAAAGTCCTTTTATTTATTTCCTTCTCTTTTTTTCCTATTTAAAAATAATTATTTTAATTTATTTATTCATTAGATAATTTTAAAACATATATATGTATAAATATAAAATTTCGGAACCGGCGGGCCGGCCCGGCCCGCCGAACCGTGTGTAGTACGGGCCTATTCCGAAAAAAGTGAACCGCGAACCGGACCGAACCGGCCCATGGCCGTGTCTATATACACGTATACTTTTAATATTTATAAATTTCTCCCAAACTCTCGTATCCCTACTTTTGTGAAATGCCGTTACTCCGTGTCCTTTTCCTGTTTCCCGTATCATCATTTCCGTATCCGTGTTACATAGCTTAATGCGATAGATGTTCCCATTTAATATTCATATTCCAGAATTATATTCTAATACCAAACCAAAAACAGATGAAGAACCAATTCGGCAGCCCGAACTGCCCGGCCCAGCCCAATAGCCCAATAATAAGATATCTCTGGCCCATTGGAATCTAATCGGAGAGGCCTCATTCAATTACGAACCAGCTTTCTGATCTGAAACGTCGAAATGTACCGATTCTCCTAGGGTTTAAGAACCAAAAGGTTTTGAATTAACTGTAAAACAATGGCGTCAAACTGTGCTAGAAATCTCGCTCAACGATCCTCCAACTCCGTTAAAACCTTCCTATTCCGCGGCCAATCATCGCCCTCCGTCGCCGCGGGACCATCGAAGCTCGGTGGAGTCGCATCCACCAGCTCCCGCCCCTCACCTCGCCACCGCCCCTTCTTCTCCTCCTCCAGGTTCACCAAACAATGCTTTATCCTGTATTCCAGATCTGCTAACCCTAAAAATCACGCTATGAAGTTAAATTACCTGGAAATATTTTTGTGAATGCGTAGGTTGCCGGTGGAGCTAGCGTGTGGGCAGTCGTTGATGCCTCTGCATTCCGTTACCGCATCCGCATTGCTCGAGTCAATGCTTTCATCCAAAGTTGGCCGCTGGGGTTTTCTCTCTGAAGGTATGTATGTATTGCTCGCCTATTTTCCTTCGTCTCGTATTTATTCCATTATCAATTGGCTGATTCAATTTTGAATCGTTGAAAATGAATTCTGTATGATATTTTTGCTTGGGTAATTTGAGTGGATCGAATTGTTTTATTTCATACTCAGCACGATAGCACGCAATTTCCTTCGTTTGAGATGATTATTTTGTTTTCGATTCTGCATCCTGTTGGATTTGAGCTTGGGATTTCGATGCATAGCCTTTCACTTCTTTCGCTTTTCATCGTTTAATGATTTTAAGAGCATGAAGTCTAACTAATTTCCTTGTATATTAATACTACCTTAAGTAGCTTATCGTTTGACGTGTAGAGAAACTGTTACTGTTAGCAAATATGCTTACTTTCGATTTTTAGCAGTTTTATTGAAAATCGAAGAAGTAACATATAAAAGGAACATTTAAGTTCTAAAATCCACCTTTTAACCGTTTTTTTTTTCTTTCGTCAGCTAAATTGTAATGATAATGGGGGATTTGTGAATGTTGTATATATTAATAAAGATGGTTTAAGCTCCCGTGAACATTAATTCTATCGAGGCAGCTATTTTATAGTAAAACAGAAGAAATCTGAACGAACACTACAATAGCAATGAACCAATCAGTGACATTTTTTCTGCACTTGAAGCTCTGTTAGCAAATTGAGATTACACACATAATAAATGCTTCACTGTGTTGTGATAATGCAGCAATTTCATTTTTCCTCTTGTTTTTATTAGGGTTTGCGACGACTTTATAACAGGATCTTGATTGAAGATGCTGGGAAGACTGTTAGTGATAATTCTACCGACTGTTAACGGAGATGCTGTGATGACCGTCAGTGATAATTCTGTCGTATTTTGAAACGAGAATAAATGTATTTCAAAATGGTTGTATTTTCGGTGGGATATGATCTTGTTGTGTACATTCTCCTTAATTTGAAAGATTATGTGCCTTTTTATGCTACATTTAATGAGACGAATTGGCTTATTGTTTTATTTTTTGCCTTGTTTTGCACCCGGTTCTTTCTTGCTATATTCGAAATTTGTTGGCCGGGTCTTCTAGGCAAATAAGTCTTCACAATTTGAGATTCCAGGGTTATTTGATTTTCAGGTGGCGGGATTTACTGGATTTTTTAAACATCATGTTCATTAATAGTTTTCCTTTATTCACCATAGGCCTTTTTTCGTTTACCGAAAATGATTCGAACAATCGACCTCTCACTTAGGTTGAGTCTTGGTGATTGAAGAAAAAACCCAAGTACGAGGAACTCGGGGTTATTGGTAGTTGGTACATAAACGAACCCACACGAACACACAAATAAAATAAATTGATAGTTTGGAATTTGTAATAATTATCTATTTTCTAAAATAAAATTCAAATATTTATTCTATTGAATCGTTTAAAAATTCTTATTTCAAATCTTATTTGCGATAGAAAGTTTGCTGTCAACACTAACCCAAAATTTAGGAGGCCCGTGACCAAATGCAAAAAATATAAGTAGTTATAAATAAATAACGCAAAAATAAAGATGTACCTAATTGCAAATATTGCAGAAATTAAGGAAAGAGAAAATATATCATCAGCTGTAACCCACTCTTTTGGGCCATTGGCGGGGCAGTAGCATTAGAAACTAGAAAGTACAGACCCTAGCAACAAACGGTAACAAACAAACGTTCTCTTCTCTTCCTTCATTCCGCACACAATTTTCCGTTCACTCCTCCCTCAAATTCAAAACCTATTCAACAATTGAAGAATTGCATTTCTCTATTTGCATAAATATCTACTACTTTTTCTTCATTTTGTAGCTGAGGAGATAGAATGGGAGCGTTTTGCGACGACGACAATGCGTTCTCGTCAAATTACAGTTCGGCGTACTCACAGGACCTGAGTTTATCCAAGCACGTCCACGACAATGTCCATGGAAACATTTATCTTGACCCGGTGACCTTCTCAAATTTTCGCCTACTCTAATTTTTTTGTTTTATTCTTCATGCTGTCATTTTTTTTTTTTTTTAATTATTTGATTTTTTTTCTTCCGATGTTGATACTTATAATCTGTCGTTGTTTTGTGAAATTTCATCTCCCTAATTCAGTGTCCGTAACTACTAATGATGTGGTATGGTGAAGTTTAGTTGTTTGAATCTGGCTGTTTTTTTGCACTAGGTTTTTTTTACTACTCGTGAAATAGGGTTTTGGTGTTTTAGCTGATTGATTGTGGTGAAATATTGTAAAATGTGGTGTAGATGTCTAAATAGGTGACTATAGTGTGGAGATATCTTCCTATGTTTCTGATTTGCATGTTTCAGTGGCTTCTCTTTGGTATTTTAACGACTCGTCCAAATTTGAAGTAGATTGTGAATTAATTCATGGATGATCTATTTATTTGCAGATATTTTTGAAATTCATTGACACGGAGCAGTTTCAGAGGTAACCTAAACTATTCTGCCTGCTTTGTCCTTTATCTTTGGTTCTGGTTAATGTTACTCTTTGTGTAGCTTATATTTATTGTCCGTGTGCTTCTTTGTCGATGTAGTTGTGATGATTCAGATTGTAATACAATTCTTCCTTTCTTGACAGGCTACGTGATCTTAAGCAACTTGGTTAGTGCACAATTTCTTTATTAGATCTACGTGATTTGGTGTTATCTACAGTCAATCAAATGATCTAATTTTCAATCTCATATTTAATTTTCAGGAATGGCACACATGGTTTATTCAGGAGCTGTACATTCTAGATTTGAACATTCACTTGGAGTTTATTGGCTTGCCGGTGAAGCAGTTCATAGACTTAAGACACAACAAGTATGAGACCGGCATTAAAATGCTAATTCAATAGTATTAAAGTTGACTTATAAGGTTTTGTTTTGCGAACACCCTGCATTTTGCAGGGATTGGAGCTTGGTATTGATCGCTTTGATATGCAAACAGTGAAACTTGCAGGTTCTTTAGAAGATTTTTTTTGTTCTATTGATTGATGATTCTTTATTGCACACTTATTGATGTTGACCACCGACTATGATTAATTGACAGGGCTTTTGCATGACATAGGTCACGGGCCTTTCAGTCATTTGTTTGAAAGTGAGTTTCTTCCCAAGGTTCTTAAGGAATCAGAATGGTAATATTGTTGAACCGACTGCATGTTTGTGGGATTACGTAGTTTCTTGCTTTATAAACAACTGCAACTAACTTGTTTTATATACAACTGCATTTTCTGTTCCGCGAGAATTTCAGTTGTTCTTGGATAAGAATTTTAGTTACAGTTTGCATCGTGGAAGATAGCCAATAATTGATGTATTTGAGGAGGTCTATGTCTAAGAGTAATAAACAGTCATCTTAACCTAACTACTTTATTATAGAACTATGAGGTGAGTTTCTCTTGAATGTAGTATTTCAGCTACTATTATGCGAACATACCCCTCTGAATTGTGTTTATAAATCTTAACCATCTTACATCATGTGACCTGACAATTTGATGTACGTAAAACCGTTGGAACAAATCCGGGATCTGTTGTCTCATAAAAACTTCATGTGCTTTCACCTTGTATTTTGAGGCCTTTACATTTTGGTTCTTAACAATCTATATGACCATGAGGCTCCCTACCATAATTGACAAACCCACCATGTACTTACATATGCTTATGGCTAACTTATACGTGCTAATTCTGAATTTTGCAATGGATGCACCATTGGCCGTTGGAAGTTGTTAATAACATGTACTCTAAATAATGAGTTTATGTTATTATGACATCAATCTGTTTTTGTGATTCTTTTCTTAGTAATTCCCATTTTTTGGTTGTGGAATATACCCTATTTAACATTAGTAAGGATGATTGTAGGTCTCATGAGAATATGTCTGTCGAGATGGTGGATCACATTATTGATGAGCATCATATCGACATAGATGTTGGGACCGTGAAAAGAGTCAAGGTGAGTTGATGACAATTCTGTGATTTCACCAGGTTTACTTTCATGAGTTGAGTATTAATCTCTTCCACACAACATGCTTTTGGTGTATTTGGTCTATTAAAGAATGTTGTTATTAAATACTTTTACATTATCAAGTTACAGACTTATTCTTTTGTATAGATGCTAGACGAAAGATAGTAGTCACTCTTGTTGTTTGAACTTGACTAATTGCCAAGCAAAATCTGTTAACGAGCTACTTTTCTTTTCCTGTGATAAAATTGTAATTTATTTTGTAACTTCTTAAAAACTCAAGGCCTTTACAAAGGGTGGAGGGAGAAGGCTTTAACTCTCGACCTCACCTCTAGAGGAAAAGCCAACTAGCAACCCTCCTAGTGGAGATTGGTTGTATGAGAATCTTTTATGTTACATAGGAACTTTATCTGCAAGCTCAAGCATATCCATTCCTCTGTTAAGCCATGTCCGGATTTTTTTCTGCCACCATTACTGTTAGAAGCTCTGAGATGTTTTTTGAATTCATATGTGTGTGTCTCCTTAGCAATGGTTAGTATTTACAAAGCAGAGCATTGTCTTCGGGCAAAGATTCGCACTTCAGATATCCATTTTTTGACAAGTCGTATTTGATGGAGACATGTAACTAATTTATCATACATAACAATTCTGCAATATGACATGGATTTTTTTTGCTTAAATAATTCCAGAGCTAATTCTTTCTGGGATTTTAATGCTGAGATTGTCTCAAGATAGTCTTGATATGTTGTTGAGTATATAATTGTGCTTCTAAGTTCAGAACTAATCTCTTTCAACCCCCAACTCGTTTGCAGGAAATGATACTTGCAAGTTCTAAATATGCCACAGCCAAAGTAAGTATTACTTGTGAACACTGAGTTTATTTTCGTTTTATTTGTACTAGTGCAGCTTTATCGTATGTCCGATCACATGTTAAGATTGAATCTATGATTTTCTCTGTCTAGAGCTCAAGGGAAAAGCGGTTTCTATATGATATTGTGGCGAATGGTCGAAATGGCATTGACGTCGACAAGTTAGTAATTTCTACCTTAGGAATTAGATTTTCTTTGAACATCATCCTACACGTTATTTATTTAAATTTTTCTCCTTTTTCTTTTCTTACGTGTTTGACTGCATGATTGATATAATTACACGGATGTGGAAATTTTTGCTGCAGGTTTGATTACATCGCCCGTGACTGCCGAGCATGTGGTTTAGGATGCAACTTTCAGTTTCAAAGGTTATTCAAAAAACTCGTTTAGTTATTCCATTCAGAATGTAATTTACTAACAACTGTACTGTTTCTTCATGACTCTCAGGTTGATGGAGAGTATGAGAGTTATGGGAAATGAAATATGTTATCGAGCCAAAGATTGTTAGTATCTTAATATAACATTGTTTGACATATACTCTGAAAAATTCAAATCCCCCAACTTCGTTATTGATTGTAAATTTCAGATCTGACCGTCCACAAGTTGTTTGCCACAAGAGCTGATTTGTATAGAACTGTTTATACTCATGCAAAAGTAAAGGTATTTGCGGGTATAATACTCGGGACTACAGTTGATTTACTTGTAATGCAGTAACAAAAGTATATCACAAAAGTTTATGAGGTTGCTTTTCTGTATATGAAATTGATTGATAATTTCCTTAACTTATAGGCTATAGAGCTGATGGTTGTAGATGCTTTAGTGAGCGCAAATAATTATCTACAAATAGCATCTCACATACATGATCCTTCACAATATTGGAAGGTTCGGGAACTCCCCTATTTATATTAGTAATAACCACTTACTGTCTACTCAGAAGTTTGTCTTTAATACTGTAGTTAGATGACACTATCATCAAGACCATTGAGACAGCTCCAGATGATGAACTAAAGGAATCTAGGGATTTGATTCTTCGCATTCGCCGCAGAGATTTGTATCAGGTACATAAATTCCAAGTATTTGATGATTATTCAATTGTATTTCACTTTTTTCTCCTAAAGTATTGTGCTCAAAATTCTATTTTGCCTTTGCAGTTTTGTAATGAATACGCTGTTCCAAAGGACAAATTGGAGAATTACAAGAAAGTCACTGCACAAGATATCGTGTGTTCACAGGTACTACATGCTCGTATGTTTTAGAAAACAAATGTCTTTTTAGGGGTTGCATTTTATTTCACACGAACATGTTGATTATACAGAGAAGTGGTGGATCGACACTAAGAGAAGAAGATGTTGTGGTTAGCAATGTACGAATTGATCTAACTCATGGGAAGCATAATCCTCTTGAAAGGTTAGTGTATCCACATTGAATCAAAGTATTCAAATTTAGCATTCAATTTGAAGTATCTATTTTGACATTTTGCATTCTTTGCATGAATTCCTTCTTCCAGAGTCAACTTTTTCAAGGTACGAATCCTGTGTCCAATTTAAGTGTTAGGGTTCTTCCGACCCGTGTTAAAATTTCCTTCCCTGATTTTACTTGTGCAACTTTTGACGACTCTTTTTGTTCAGGATTTTGGCAGTGAGGAGAAGTTCCCTATTCCTGATGATCGCGTCAGCCACTTGCTTCCAACATCGTATCAAGACGTGATCGTTCGAGTCTACTCCAAAAAGCCTGAATTGGTATCTTGAATCAGCTTTTGTTATCATTTTACGTCGCTTTGTTTACGAATAAATTCTAAATTTTAAATGCCTTTGCAGGTTGGAGTAATTTCCGAGGCTTTTGAGAATTTTCAGTTGAAGACTTACGGGATCAAAGCACAAGTACATGCGACACCAGACAAGAAAAAGCAACGGATATAATACTCTTCCGATTTCCCCGTTACCGAGTAGCATCCCAATAGCCATGCATATATACTTGTATCTTATGCACACACATGCAATTGCATTTTTACCTGCAAACGTGCAAAGAGCTTGATTTTGTGAGTGTGTATGTGTTTGCGACTTCGCTCGTGTGGATTTGTGCACTCGCCGAGTGCTTTAAGATTAAATAACCTGTAAAGGAAACCAAGCATATTATTAGAAACTGAATCATCACAACTCAATCAATAGAGTTGCATAAAACACAAAATGAAGTTACATAAGATACAGCTTAATTTCAAAAGAGATTCAAATTAAATCTATTAAAAAATTCGGATGAATTTTTGAAATTGAAGAGAGAGAATCGGAGTGGCGTTTTGACCCCTTAATTTTCGGCCTATTATCAGCGAGGCCCCTAAACTTTAGTTTATGCTTTGGCCCAAATGAAAAATAAGTAGGTATATCAGTATATCACATGTAATGTAAACATGTACGTAACTACTAATCCGCTGACCAAGAAACAATAATTAAATAAAAAACTACAAATCTTTGCTGACAAAGTCCTAGGTATCCCAACTGATAAAACCTCCTAGAGAGAGAGTGACAGTTCATAACCTAAAAAGTCATCTCTATCTCTATCAACCTGACATTGGTGGTGGTGTGGGACATGGAGGAGTCGAAAGACATTCGCGGCGGCGGCGGCAGCGGCGGAGGTGGTGGAGGAGTTGGTCTTGTGAGGGCAGATCAAATAGATCTGGCGAAAATCGAAGAACAACATCCTTTCATCAAAGGTTTGTTCTTAGAAAGTAGAGGAAGAAGACAACGACGAGAAGAAGAAACGAGAGGGAATATTCACGTGAGGCGCGAGTGGGAGATTGATCCATCAAAGCTTGTAATCAAATCCGTCATTGCACGTGGCACTTTCGGAACCGTTCATCGCGGCATTTATGATGGCCTAGATGTCGCCGGTATATTTTTATTTTTTCTATATATGATTAAATCTTATTATCTGTTGGATTTAGTGTAGATGATTTAAAAAGTTTAATTATTTTGTTCATGTTAGTGAAACTTCTTGATTGGGGTGAAGAAGGCCACATAAGGCAGGCCGAAATTGTTGCAAATAGAACAGCTTTTGCTCAAGAAGTTTCCGTGTGGCACAAGCTTGATCATCCTAACGTAACCAAAGTAATATTACTATTTCATTCGTTTTCTTTTCTTTCGAATGCAATTTTTTCATCATAATTAGTATGTTACATTCTCGTTGGCATTTTATATTTGTATACGATCTACGATTTTTTTTGATTGATCTATACTAATTAGGATAAAAAGAAAATGTAGATTCCATTTTATGCGAAGGATAATATTTTTAATAGGATACACTTCATAAATTGTTTTTCGGATTATGAAGTCAGAAGATTGCTTAAGCTTGATTTCATGTTTCTTGGTGTTGAATCGCCTTTGCAGTTCATCGGTGCAACGACTGGTGGAACAGAGCTCAACATACAGGGAGATAACGGTCATTCTAGCGTATCACATAATGTTTGTTGTGTTGTAGTTGAATATCTTCCCGGAGGCGCCCTTAAGAATTTCCTCATAAAAAACAGGAGAAAGAAACTCGCTTTCAAAGTTGTCATACAACTAGCTTTGGATCTCGCACGAGGGTAAATTAACTTCAAATTCAATAGCACTTTGGTCCCGTTTCTTTTGAGATATTTTCACATCGATAAATCTTACAGGTTAAGCTATCTTCACTTGAAAAATATAGTTCACAGGGATGTGAAAACAGAGAACATGCTTCTCGACAAGAATCGAACAGTAAAAATTGCTGATTTTGGAGTTGCGCGTGTCGAGGCTTCAAACCCCAACGACATGACTGGCGAAACTGGCACCCTCGGTTATATGGCGCCTGAGGTATTTACTTCAAAGTGTGCTATGTTATCTTATTACAGTTAAACCTCTATAAATTGATGCGGTCCGGACTGACAAAATTCTATTAATTTAGCGAAATATTAAATTATCGAGCTAATAATTTAGTACGTTTTTACCGAGTCTGGACCGTAAGAAATTATTATTTAAGCGAGGTTATTAATTTATCGAGGTTCTAATGTATTAAGGTAGTCAATCAATCTTTTATATCGAGCACTTATTGTAATTTTGTTTTATTCTATCGTAGGTCCTCATTGGTAAACCGTACAATCGAAAATGCGATGTATACAGTTTCGGTATTTGTTTGTGGGAGATTTATTGTTGTGACATGCCGTATCATGATCTCAGCTTCTCGGAATTGACTTCGGCTGTCGTGCACCAGGTATATATATACATTTGTATAAATATCTACTACAGACGATTTCTCTCGTGCATTAATTTTTCTTCTCGCTCTCTTTTGCAGAATCTGAGGCCAGAGATACCACGGTGTTGCCCAAGCTCGTTGGGGAATGTAATGAGAAGATGTTGGGATGCGAATAGTGAAAGAAGGCCCCAAATGGATGAAGTGGTTTCCATGTTGCAAGCTATAGATACATCAAGGGGAGGTGGTATGATTCCTCTCGGTCAATCCCATTCTTCGTGTTTTTGCTTCCTCAAGAATCGAGGCCCGTGACAAATACGAGGTGGTATGATTCCTCTTGATCAATCCCATTCTTCGTGTTTTTGCTTCCTCAAGAATCGAGGCCCGTGACACAAATACTCTAAAAGAATTTTTGTTTATTTGTCTTTTGATATTTGAAATAATTTGAACTGCAGCAGTCAAATAATGTGCGTGAAAGGGTTTTTCTTAGAGAATAATTTGGCAAATAAAATGTTTGTTTGTTTGTGTACTTGATGTTAACGTTTATCAATGTACCAATCAAATCAAATTATGTTTGTTTGATTAACTTTCTCCCAAAGATTTTGCAATATAATTCGATGCAGAGCAAGAAGAATCCGAGAAGCGTACCAAACAAACCGAATAATTATATTGTAAGACTTTCACACTTAAAAAAATTGTTTTATTACAGAGGAGGATTTGCAGTCTTCCCTCAAATTCGAATGCCTCAACAATTTTCGACAATTTTCGATTTGTGATACAAGACAAGAATACAATATGAGCTTAAACAAGAAAAAGGACAAAACCAGGTAATTAATTAACCAGCAATCTTGTAGCTCGGATTAACAAGATTATCTAAGCCAGCTACGACTTGAACCGACTCTATGACATCACCAACCTTAAGATCGGCCAAAAAATCTTCGTTTTGCGTCACATAACCGAATACTGAATATCGACCATCCAATATGTTGGCATTGCTAGGAGTTAGCTCACTTTCTTTCAATAGCCAAAATACCTGGCTCGAGGCAGAGTTGTTGTCAAATTCCTGACATTATGAAAACCACCACAGATTTAGAATCTTTTAAACTCGAACATAGTCACAATATTTGATTCGTAATATCACTTCACAAAGTTCAGAAATTTCTCACCTCTCGAGCCATCGCCATGGTTCCAAATGCATTAAACGGAAGCCTCGTTTGAGCCTTGTACAGACCAAGGTCCTGCCCAGTGACACAAGTCAATAAATTTATAGATAATTTACCCTGATAAACTATTAACACGAAGCTCGTTGCAATATAAATGATTTTAACTATAAAATCTTGACGCCGCTTTTTTTTTTTTTTTTTTTTGCCATTTTCCGACTAATTCTGGGATATAGTACCGGGACAAGGGATAACACGAGCTTTTTATTCATTGGTTATTATAGTTGTGTTTACACTTACTTCCAGAGTTTCACCATAGAAGGGTGCCTTTTCTCCATCCGCCATAATTTCGAGAGGAATTGTACGGGTCTTTTCTGTACTAGGATCAATAAATCCCTCAGCAGGACCTTCGGGATCTCCAGTTTGCACTACGAACCCATCGGCTAGAGATTAAAAAGAAAATACACAAATCCATAAGTTTCAGCAAAATAGTTGTGAAATATAACTTAGATAAATAAACAATAAAATTAAAAAGAATTTTGAAATAAATTTTTATTCGAGCAACACTTGCCTCTTTGGATCTCCATGCCATCATAGAAATGCCTTTCCACCAAATCCACGAAATTTCCAGCAGTTACGGGGGCATTATAACCATCCAAGACAATACGGAATACACATTCGTTAATGCTAGGGTTGTCCTTGACTTTGACCTTCATATCCACAGTTGCTCTCCCCTTAAGCAACGGCATATTTCTGTATTCTTCGGGCACTTCATACGGAAAGCCATCAACCATATCCTCTTCAACACTGCAGAAATCCAATGCCCCACGAAGATCTCAGCTGCAGTCAATGACAAGGGTATAAATGAGAAATGCTTATTTTACGTCGTCTAAATTCTGTTTTCTTCCCATTCTATAGACCTGAAGAGGGAATCGGTAGAAAACGTGCGAGAAATCTGGTCATTTGTGGTTCCGATTGGATAAAAATTTACTCCATCCATCCATCTCCATTTCTAGTTTGCTACCACAAGAAATCGACTTTGTTTGATTCTTTTGACTAGTTTAACTCAATGATGGCAATTTTGTCAATATTTTCAAACGGTCAATATCACGAAAACATAATGAATTTCGAAAACCTCTAGGCTATCTTTCCGGAAGGCACAAAAAGTGGACTATTCGGATCACTGTAAAACTCGGTTGCTTGGTCTAAATGTGAATCGTAAGTAGGAAAACTATATCAAAACTAACGATTGTGGTCTTCAAAGTAAATGTCGATCCGGATCCTATGCCTCCTTCGACTTATTCAGCATGCTTTGCGTAAAGTTGTTTTTATCTCTTCGACACTTCTTAAATAATTAAAAGTATTAAAAAATTCTTCGAGCAATTAGAGCAACCACTTCTGCCAAAACTAATGTTTAAAAATAATTAATTTCCGATACTCACCCTCCAACATAACTAAGCAGCTCCTTCTGCTTAGGTGCAACCGCATCACGTTTCCTGTCCTCGACAATTTTCTGAAACTCATCCAATCCCAATTCCAGTTTGTTTAGCAATTCAACACCATCATCGACCTTTGATTTTGCAAGACCTCCAACAATCAGTGTCCTACCTTGCTTCAGAGCCCTCGACGCCTGTCTAATATTCTACATCTCAAACAAAACAAATTAAAAAAAAAACAATTATCAACACATTGCAGAAAAACAATAAAAGAAAATAATCTACAAGAAATACTATAAAAAATGAAAAATTCCGCACTCTTTCGACAGAATCAAGGGCCTTGACACCAGCAATCTTAAGACTATCAGTAATATCTTCGAGCGGCTTCTGAACCTCCCGTATAGCCTTGTTGTCGATAGGCAACGCATATCTCAACAATGCCCCTGGATCCTTAATCGGTGGGCCCGAGATCAGAACCGAAACATCGGGCAATGCCGGTGCAATAGCAGCGGCATTGGCCTGCCCTAAGTACCCCAAATCAGGAAATCCAGTCACTAATCCAACAGCCAACGCAATTGAAATCGCAGTTTTCTTTATTGAAGAAGACCTATCCCTCTGCTCAAATCACAAAACCATATTTTTTTTCCTCAGACAAATAACCAAATAAACATCAATTTATCAAATATAACAACAGGTCAAATAAATATCGAAAACTCGCCTGTTCATCCACGGGCACAAATGGAGTTGATTTTCGTGAAGAGCACAAGGGTTTGAACTGCTGAGTGGTGGCATTATGGTAAAATTGACGTCTGGAGCACTTGGAAGGAAGGATATGGCTAACAAATTTCTGATTCGAAGTTAATTGCGAGGAAGAAGAGTAGCGGTGGCACGAAATAATGGCCGCCATTGATGAGAAACTTGAATCAGTGTTAGCAAAGAGATAGACACATTTAGAATCTATCTGGTATGTGAGAGAAAAGGATAAGCTTACGTGGCCGGGGTACAAAAATCTAGCGAAGATGCTTTCAGTCAACCTCACACTTTGGATAAGATGATCTTCTTCGGGCTGTGAAAACGGGCTATGGGCTTTCAATTGATGGGCCGAGATTTAGAAGATGGGTTGGATTTAGTGGACCGGGTCTAAGATCCAATTGTAGTTAGACCGACCCGAATCCCACCACGGGTTTGGATTCAATAGTAGTAACGGATTTAACGGCTATCAGAACATAATGAAGGGATCAAAATTTGCAGTGTTGGGCATTGATCAGAGACAACAGAAAATTAAAGTAAAATCAAGAATTAAAAGGAAAAAAATTGAAATTTTATTGATTAAAAAATGCGAAAAACCCTCGAAAGTAAATGCAAAAATTCTAAAAAAAGAAAAAGAAAAAGGAAAACTATCCAAAAACTTCTAGCAACTATTATAAACCTAAAAAAAAAAAAGTATAGTCTAGCCTAAGAACTCTCCAAAAACGGAATCTAAATCCATGGAAGAAAATTAGACTGGTAGGGTTTTCTTTTCCGGGAGCTGCACCTCGGCTGGCTTGTCCTTGTTTCCAGGATTGATGAAGGTGTAATAAGCATATATGCAGATCTGGATGAATCCCAAAAGCGCTCCAACTCCGTTCGGAACCTGCAATAATAGATAAACCGATTTATTCGTAAATATTTAGATGGTAATAATAAAATTAGTATTTATGTGTAGTAATAAGTAGAGAGCAGGGTCAACTTACAGCAATGTTAATGTCAATCTTCTTGCTGAGGCAAGCGTACGCGAACCAGATTATGCCGTTTACGAAACCAGTGACGCATAGCCAAATGGGCAAGAATTCAGCGCTCTTCGTCTTTATGACTTTCCACTTTTCGAGTCAAAAAAATCAGACACACAAACGAGTCAGAACGAATTTTAAGAGCATAAGAAATTTATATATGTATGTACAAAGAGAAATACGGTACTTACAGCAACTGACAGAGGAGCACCGTACATAATAATCCCAAAAACAATGCATATAGTCCCCACAATCGTGGACCTTTCGCCGTGTGTGTGTACGGCGAGGAGCGTGGGAATGCAAATCGAAGTGAAAGCCACAGCCTCAGCCAAAAGGACAAGGCACATGATTACCTGATAACAGTTGCAAAAAAAATTGATCAATTTGATGAGAGCTTAATAATAAATCTAATGATCAACTAATTAAATAAAAAATCAAACAAGGATCACTTACCCTGTTCCTCTTGGTAGTGTAGTAGAAGAAGATGGAGAGATAAATCAATGTCAAGGCTAGACCAAAGCCATTGATTGAAACAACTAGAGTGCTGTCAGGATGAACAATTGGTATCCCATAAAATACCCACAGAATACAGTTCATTAGTGTTGCTAGGTAGGGGTATGGGTGGAACTCCTGAGTGCTTTTGTTCTTGCATATTCTCCAAAAAACTGGCCTGCAGATTCAAATTCCATCAAATTGCAAAATTAGGGTTTATGCAATTAAATTAAAATAAATAAATCATAAATTAAGTAGAGGATGGATAATCTTACGATGGAGATATGAAGAGGAACGCAGAGATGATATTGCCTGCAAAAAAAATTCAAAAAATAAATAGATTAGAAGCCAAAAGATAAACAATTACAATTAATTAAATCAATCAGTGAAGATATATCAATTAATTATATCAATCACAGTGCTGGAAAACACTGCAACCAACAAACAATCCAGCAGTATTTTGTAGATTTATGAATCAAAACATGAGAACGAACAAATTAAAATATGCAGTAAATCAGTAGAAGCAGAATCAAAATCCTGATCTTATGCACATTGCATACATCAATCTACGAAAACAGTAGAACAAAATCAAATCGCTGTTTCTCTCAAATCACGCCATGGCTATACATACAAAATACGTACACATTGCATGCCACAAAAAAAAAAAAAAAAAATCAGAGATCGAGTAATAGTGCGATAAAATGCATAAACTACAAACCAATGATCCCGACGATGAATCGAATTTGGTGGTCCTGCATCTTGGCTGCTTAGAACTGCTGAAACCGAAGAACAAAAAAGGAGAATTCTAGAGAGAGAAGGAAAATCTTCGCTAGAGAGAGAGAGGAATTGGGGAACAGAGGAGAAGAATACTGTATGCGTGATGATGAAAAAAGGGGGTTAGCTGATGGGTTTATATAGAAGCTGAGAAGGTGAGTTTTTAGTCCTACTGAAATACGGTTTTACTAGTTCTAACAGAATTCAAACACCTCTCCCAAACACGGATTATTATAGATACAACATATACATACACAATCCCGCAAGTAAACGTTACTCTCTCAATCCTTGTTTGGATAAATAAAAAAGGTGTTTTGAGTTTATACTGGATTAGGATTTTGAGAATTATATGCGCACGTTTCGGAAGAGATTAAATTTTAGATTTTAATTGATTTTTTTTTTTAAATATGGTAATTTATTTTGTGAATTTATGATTGGCCATTGATCTTGGGCATCGTTTTGCATGCGTTTTGAAAGGGCGCGGTGTCTCGACGTTTCGGTTAGTTATGGTAGGATACGGAAAAGGTGTTGTATTCCCACTGAATTACGGAGACTGCCATTGGCGTGGGGGTGTGAATTGACACGTGGCAGGTGCGGAGTTATTGGGGATTGTGGACTCCTAGGATTTGTTGCTGACTTCTGGTCAAACACTAGTTTTTTCTTTGTAATTTGAAACATAATTAATATGGATTTTAATTTGATTAATTGAATTCATTAATTTTTCAAGTTTTTATTTTATTAAATCAATAATAACATTTAAATTAGTGGATTATTCAACAAGTAATCATCTAATTAATTCCGAGTATTTCGGGTTTCAATTGAAAAGGTGTGTCAATTAATTGTGAAAGAGTTACATCAATTGTGTTCAAATATCCCCATAAAAATTGAAATTAATCTACTTGTGGATAAAGTTCACAAAGTAATATCCATGTATAGATTTACGGTTACATGATGCAAATAATATTATGATGGATACTCCATACCAATTCAACTTTCTCAATAGTCAATATAGTGGTTTCGGCCCAAAGGAATTAATGGCTCACAAACTCCATTTGCTTCTAATCTATCCACTACTATGAGAAGCCCAATAAGATACTTAAGTAAGCCCATGTCTAATTAATTTATGATCTCGTACGAAGGTAGTTTAATATTAATATTTTATTCTCTTACCTAAATACTGAAATGTTAAATGTCGTTTCAATTTTATTAATGTCGTTTTGACTTCGAATCTGCTTTTGACATATTTCTATTTTGATTTTGGCAAAATTCGAAACACGAAAAATGTAGTCCTTTGGGTTAGCTTTCTAATACAACTTAAATCCGCCAGATTGGATGCCGTGTAACAAAGTTATGCATGAATGAGTCACATTTTGAATTTTAGATACCTCAATACATCAAAGTTATGGGCAATATCCATTGATTCATGTATATCTTTCTCGTCCGGCATCCAATTTTGGTGATTCAAGTTGGAGTAGAAAACTAACTCAGTATACTACAAATTCTATTTTTCGGGTTTTGCAAAATTTTGAATAAAAAATGATCAAAATCACGTTTGAAGTTGTAACGGTATTATTAAAGCTCGAACGACATTTATCACATCCCAAATAAATATCATCTTCTTCTCTCTCACTTGCAGCCCTGCTTGTTTTCTTCACCGTGTTTTCTGTGTTTCTTCATCGGGTTTCTGTTTTCTTCCTTTGTACTGTCCCGAAACTCGGTCTATTGTTGACTGACTTTGACCATCTGATAGTACTTTCATCGGCTACTTTTGACTTGAGTCTTATGTACACACACATGCAAAATGGAGACGGTAAAGACAAAAAATAACTTAAACTCTACCAAAGACCCAATAAATTCAGCTAATGTGTGAGATTTGAGACTGTCTGGTGAGTGTGTGACACTTTTGTGCCGAAATATGTGCTTCCCTCTTGTGAATTTTAGGGTGATCGGGGGTAGAGATGGAGAGTTTGAGTGAAGATTGATAAAACAAATATAGAACAAACTATTGAAAAATAAATTGATAAAACAGAAATAATTTGATACAAATTATGGAGGGAAACAAAACAAGCATGCATTTATTAAATTTCAAAGAACTCATCCAATATAACTATTATTAAACCATGAACATATATAAATAGTTATAAGGCCTTATTTTTAATGGGCTTATTGGTAGATAATGGGTCCATCCATGAATTGGCAGCTATTGGATCCGAAGCAGCCCAATTGTACTTGTTGCCACTTGCTAATGTTAGACATATCGAGACATTTTCCTAATTTCATCCAATAATTAATTAATAAATAAATAAATAAATAATAAATAAATAAAAAAGTCAGTAAATCGAAAGTGACATAGGTGTATATATATATATATTAGATAGTAGAGGTAAACATCACGTGTGCAGTAGAATTGAGTCATGAACAAGTGGTGGTTGAAGAGAATAGCAAAACAGACACAGTAATGTCACTGTATCATTTCCCCACTACCAAAAGAGGAAGCAAAGTTAGCACTAAGTTTCATACCAATCACACAAACCTATATATCTATAAAGCATCTTTTCCCTTCTCAGGTGCTTTTGCCCTTTTTTTTTTTTTTTTTTTTTTTTTTTTTTTTTTTTTTTTTATCTTTTTTTTTGAATTCCACAACAATTAAATTTAATAGGGTAAATTACAACCAGTCCCTGAGGTATGGTCAAATTACGAAAACTCCCCTCATGTTTGGGTAATTACAACCACCCTCAATTATAAATTTTCTTACACGTCCACCATTGCAGTTTCAAATTTAGTGGTTAATCTTCTAGATTTTCTCAATTTTGTACCCGTTTTATCCCATTCGAGCCCCACATTTTTAAGCTAGATGATTTTAAGATGCATGTGTTTTTTCGCTTATATATATATATAGGGGAAATATGCAATACCCCCCTCAAATGGAAAATAATATGAGTAAAACCCAATTGACTTTTAAGACTTTTGCACAAACCCACATCCCAAACTTAATTAGTGAAACCCCCTCAATTAAACATAATAAGACGTAAGTACCCTTATTAACAGTTTTTTTATAATAAATCAAATATTTAATCACGATATCTTTCCATAACCGTTTTCCTTTATTATAGGCGGATATAGGTGGACGTGATTCTCGTGTGTATTCAGATATGTGTGTGTATGTAGAACCGAATTTTTATTGCGTAAGAACACATTTCTTTCCCTCCGGTTCTCTCCATCAGGTTCGTGCAATGTCCACTGACTCTGATTCTTTTGTACCATTCAAGAAAGTCCAGATTCAGAGAGATAATACGGTAACCATCACTACTTCTCGTTTAGGTTCCATTCTCTGGTTGAAATGAGCATTATTTTCATTTTTGCTTTTAGGGCCTGTGTTATATTCCCAATTAGGTCTAATTATTGGGGGAAATCTGAGATTCTAGTAAAATTTCCATTTTTTTTACAGTTGATTAATTGCTTGATAAAGATGGGACAATTAGTTTATGTTTCTTTTTGGGTCGTCTTAATTGGTGTAAATGATCGTTACTGATTGAAAAATTTATTCCGTTTTATACAGAGTCACGTTGTGACTACTCTGTAAATCTTTTGTTCGATTTGTGTTAATTGATACGCTAGTGTAATTTTTTTGTAATTTATTTTTTGCATTACTTGATATGTTAGTGTAAGTTTCAATGTGTTTGTTGTGGTTGAATTGAATTCACATAATATTATGTGATTTGCATTTACAGAGTAGTGCAGATTTATTCATCAGCAGTAGTCACATAGTAGTCACATTCTCATTTTTTTGTGTAGTGCTGCACAGCATGTCGTCAACCTTAGCTTGATGATTGTGTTGAAGTATGGGGGCTCGTTTGGGGTGAAGATAGGTCAGGGTGATTTTTGTGTATGAAGATCTCGTTGGTTGTCACTGATAAGTGGTGCAGTTTGAATGCGAGGGATATATCGATGACTTACAATGTTGATGGATATGGCGAGGGTATATTCTCACTGACTGACTTACTGAATATGACTCACGTAATAGTCATATTCTCACTGTTCTGTTAATAATTATGACTATTGTTGATTCACTCGATTAGTGATTTATGAATTTCTTGTTTGTTCCCCACTCTCTCTTTCGATTTTTTTTCCAGATTTGAACAACAACAGTAACATGACTATAGTCATATTTATGTATTTTTCGAATATGAATATGACTATTGTTGAATATAATCTATCTTCTGATTTCAAGTTGACTTCTAGTAAGTAGATTCAAATTGATTTTTTGTGTGGATATTGATTGGATTGTTTTCGTAAACAATAGGGAATATTCGTTGTTTTATATGATTCGGTAAACATGACTATGCCATATAATCGGAATTTTTAATTTCAAAAAAAAAAAAAAAACAATGTAAAGAAAGAATATGACTACGGTTAATATAGTCACATATAGTCATATTCAACTATAGTCATATTCGGGTTGTAAAAATATTAAAAATAAAAATAAATAAAAAACTGGCTAAATAAAGTCCGAAAATAATATAAAAAAAAATAAAAAAAAAAAATCCGAAAATATATTTTTCTTCTGATTTGGTAGCAATTTTTTAGGAATTTGGAAGCACATTTTTTGGAATTAAATTGTTATTATAGAAAGAGAGAAAAAATAAATAATTGAGATAAATTATACTAATTAACGGGATTTAGGTGCCTCATTAATAGGAAATTTGTAAATAGTAGATAATTATAATAAAAAAACGTGGATTTAGTTTCCTTATTAATAGGAATTTTGTTAGTAATAAATAATTATTAAAAAAAGTAGTATAAGGGTAAATTTGGAAATAAATATTCTAAGGGGTTTTCACAAAGGAAGAATTATGGCATGGGCATATCACTATTTTTTATCTATAGGAGGGGTGTATTGCTAATGACCCCATATATATATCAGATTGTGGTGCATCAGAAATACAATTTATATGTATATTTTTATACGATGTGTATTAATTAAAATAAAATATTAAATTTATAATAGGAAATGCCAAGCTAAGGGTGTATTTCAACATTATATTAATTCAACACTCTTATTGACATGTGTCCTTTTTAATTTATTTTATAATTATATTTCTAAAATTCAACGAGCCATAACTGAACCCGAAGTGAGAATCTTATCAATTAGAGTGCCTAGTTATATTCACCAGATGTAGCATAGATATTGCCCTTTAATACCAAGGAGTTCTAACTTCTAAGCTATCATCTTTCATAGTATTTGTCACCTTTTTTGTAAAGCCACAAGCCTAACCAAAGGCAATATTTTTTAGTCAAAAGATACCTCCACACATACTCTCTTACCCTAGCAAATAGAGAATTTAATTATATAATAATAAATAAAAATAAATAAATAATAAAAGGGAAGAAAAAGGAAGCATTTTGCCTTTCTTCATCCATCGTCTCCTACGCGCACTTGTTCATGCATCCACTCAACTCCTTTTTGGTCCACCGAGATATAAATGAATCTGATGAGGTTTTTTTTTGTTGCAAAATAAATATATTTTTATTATTATATAGTATTTATCTAAAATTAAATTAAAATATTCTGTAAACATAGATACTTTAAAATGGAAACCATCAAATATGGTGGGAGAAGAAGCAAAATGTGACACAAACTATTAGATGTCGATATTTGAGTAAAGTTTATGGATTAAGAATATATTCGCGCGTCTATTAACCATTTCTCGTCCACGTCATCTTCCAACGAAAAGCTAAGGCCAAGTTCGTATAATACGCAACATAATCGAAATTCCGGGAATTGCAGGTAAAATATATTTTTTTTTCGTTTAAACATGTTATGAAATATGCGTACCTTTACTATCGCTGACATCAAAATAAAATATGAAAAAAAAGGAAAAAATGAATTTAAGTGTGATTAAAGTTTAATTAATTAATCAACAAAAAAAGGTTATTGACAAAAGTATAGTGTAGTGCGTTGGAAGACATAATAGAGTGTTCCCTCGATTCCATTAATCCTTTAGAACAACGCTTCATTTATAGTTCATCATAATTTTATACTATTAAATATTTTTCTATTAAATTAAAAAAAAATATAATAAATATATATATGTGTGTCTGTGGTTATCCCAGATTTGTTGGACCCTACACCCGGTGATAAACACCGGGTGAGTTTTCTGCTGCCACGTGTCTCTTTTTTGTATTTTATAATAGATTCCCCGCTAGGGTTTACCTTTAGAGGTTTTAGAAAAATAAAAAAAAAGAACACGTGGCAGCAGAAGACCTACCCAGTGTTTATCACCGGGTGTAGGATCGAAGGAACCGTTATCCCACTAGAGTATAGATGCTATAAATATATATGCTTAATTATCCGTTTTCTATTCGTTATATTCTATGATTTATATTCAATGGAAAGAGTGGATCATTATTACCAGATAATGTAACAGTGTACCCATAGACATAATTAAAAAAAATTGTAACATTAATGAAAAATAGATTTGGTCCTAAATGTTTAGCCTTTCCTTTTTGGGGATGAAAAGATAAATAAAAATAAAAATAGTGTGTTTATGATGACTTGTGAAATTTGTTCCACTACAAATAGTTCAGCACTATTTTCCAATTTTATCCACCACATAAACAAAGATTGATTCCCTGGGTCCCTCTGTATGGGTTGTTTTCCTGCTGCAATTCTTCAAAAAATAATTATTTTAAGAATGATGTTTTATTTTTCAGATTCAAAATAGAAAAAAAAAAAAATTGAATGGGTTTATTTGGTTATAATTTAAATTCTTATTTCTTATTTTATATATTTGTTATATTTAAAAACCAAATTATTTTGCTAAGGGGCATGCTAAATCCCACACTAAAATTTACTAAATCCCACACATAAATTAAAAAAAAATCTCTCTCTAACTTTTTTCTATGATGATTTTTTCCATGTCACTTAAAATCCGTTAATCTTTCACGTGAATAATCATAAAAAGTGAGTTTAGGTTTATTATATTTAATATTTTTCAATTTCATTATGTCTTTTTTATTATTTAAATTCATATTAATTCGAATTTTTTTCTCAAATTCCAACTTTATTTTAGTTTGAACACATGAAGATTTTTCTCAAATTCGAACTTGGAATGATATGGACGTTTTTAGTGCGTGGTTTTGTGAAAAAGTTAGGGAAAAAGAAGAAGGGTGGGGAAGGAGAAGATGAGATTTTAGGGAGAAAATTTTTCAATTGTGTGTATGATTTGGTAAAATTGGTGTGGGATTTAGCATATCAGTTTTGCTAATTATAATTTCTCCACTAAAATGCAAACTAAATAAAATCGTTGACTTACAGACACAGTGCATCAAATTGCAGCAAACCGCAGCGTGGCACAGTATTCTGTGACTCAACCGCACCCGACAACTCCCCGACCGTAGGGAATGGCGACTATTTATTGCCCACATTCTACAGTTCTTCAGCAGCCCAGATCTACCCTACGCACATCCGGCGCAAGTTAGTCATGGCCAACTAATTATTCCACCTCATACAGCCGAATTTCCAGATCAGCCCCCACCAATCATTCAACGCCACACACAGATATTCCAAAGTCCACTAGGGTAAAACAGTACTTTCCCAACATGAAAACCACTATAAAAACCTAGCCTCCGTCCTCGATCAACTTTAGTCGCAAAAGCCACTCTACAAATTACGATCACAGCAAAATTACCAAACAGCCCTCACCGGCGTTCCTCCGCCCCCAAATTTCCACAACCAGGGGTTTGCTGGTAGTATAAACCCTAGCTCTATCAGGGCGGTAGAAACAAATCTCCAGGCCGGAAAATTAATCGCCGGAGCTGGGGAAAGTCGTGCGTCGCATGATGGGATTTTGCATCTGTCCGTTGGAAATTCCGGCGAGGCTGCTCTGGTGCTCAAGCTTCTTCCGCCATAAGCCAATGCTATTCTAACGAACTCTTTCTCACTCTAAAAGGAACCTCTTCCCCACCACTAATTATCATATTTCCATAGATCTCTACATATTATTCGGAGAAAATTATATATACGTACACGTTCTGTGTGCGATTGTGGATATTGGATTGATTGATTGATCGCCGGAGATCTGTGAAAAAAAAATGGAATCCGGCCGTATTTTCTTCGATCCCTCCTGCCACAGCAACATGCTGTTTCTCGGGAACGGCGACTCCGGTTTTCGAGGTATTCAATAACAACTTTGCTTTTATTTCCCATCTTACCCTTGCGTATATTATTCCTTTGTTTTTTCTTTTTTACTGGAACAAGTGATTAGTGTATATATATAATACCTGCATATCCAGATCATTAAATAAAAATAATTTTTGGGAGCTGACGATCAATTAAACTAGTGAATAATAATTAATTATTACTAAATTTGGAGTGGTGTTGAACTCGTGATTTTATCCTGGTTTAATTTAATTTTTCAATTGTTTGGCTAATTAACTCAGATTTTTTTTTTTCATTTTATTGAAATAAAATTTAGGAGCAAGATCGGTGATGAATATGGAGGAAACCTCCAAGAGATCACGGCCTTTTTTCAGCACGCCGGAAGAACTGTACGACGAGGATTATTTCGACGAGCAGTTGCCGGAAAAGAAACGCCGTCTCACTGCCGAGCAGGTTCATTGACTTCCCATATTTTTTGCTATTTTTTTTTTAATTATTAATTTACAATTCATGATATATAAGAATCAACTAGTTATCCCCTTATTCTCATCAAACCGAATATTCTCGCCAAGCCTCATGAGAATCGAATTCCTTTCGTAGTTTAGTTTTGAATTGATTAGCATATTTTTGACATATATCTATTGAAACTTATTTTTTCCACATTACGAAATAACCAAGTTACAATTTAGTCTATAAAATCATTAGTATATATATACATAATATTTAGCCTTTGTTACATATATGTATATAGGTGCACTTGCTAGAGAAGAGCTTCGAGACGGAAAACAAGCTGGAGCCGGAGCGCAAGACCGAGCTGGCTAAGAATCTCGGCTTACAGCCGAGACAGGTGGCGGTTTGGTTTCAAAACCGCCGTGCCAGGTGGAAGACGAAGCAGCTCGAGAGGGATTATGATCAGCTCAAATCCTCTTATGACTCACTCCTCTCTAACTATGACTCCATTCTCAAGGAAAATGACAAGCTCAAATCTGAGGTAAAAAAAAATAAAAAATCATATACTCTTTTAATTATTTTAGTAAATTATGAAAATTGTATAGGGTTTGTTTGGATCTAAGTTTGAATCGTGTTCTCGTGGACACGTGGCCGTCGTCCAATTGGTTGATGATTGATAGTGACCTGTTGGGCCAAGTCCTACTAATAAGATTCCTTCTTAGCCATAAAATTACATATTTTCTTATCTCAGCAATTTTTATTCTTTCTATCTGTCAAGTAAGATATATAGCATCTTTTCCTGAATAAAATAAAGATTATATTTTAATATCCTTTAGAGAATATACCCTAAATATACCCTCAACACAAATTGTTATTGTTTCATTGACAATATAATGATGATTTATGAAAATACAGCTGCTTTCCTTGACGGAGAAGTTGCAACCCGAGGGATCCGCCGGAGAACCGGGTCAGAAATCGGATCCGGTACCTCCGGAGGATGCGCCTCCGTTTCTTCAGCTGACGATGAAGGTGGAGGACCGCCTGAGTACCGGTAGCGACGGCAGCGGGGTGGTGGATGACGACTGCCCTCATCTTCTTGACAGCGGTGACTCCTACTTCCAAAACGATTGCTACCCGGGCTGCGTGGCGGCGGTCGACGGCATCAACTCCGAGGAGGATGACGGTAGTGACGATGGGCGGGGATACTTTTCCGACGTGTTTGCTGCGGCGGAGCAGCAGGAGCCCATTGCCATGGGCTGGTGTATCTGGTCTTAATATTTTAGGTTAGTCTCTTGTATTAATAACTTTGAATAAACTAATATTCAATAGTGTGTGTTTTCTATTTGTATTTCCTGTTGGGAGTGTTGTAATGTGGTCACTTTATGTATAAACCTGATGCTATAAGTTGCTCAAGTAATAACAAGTTAATTTACTTGAGAATTCCATTAGCAATCTGATGGAGGTCAATAAAGTATTAAATTTAAAAATAAAATTTGATTACTTAATTAATCAATCATGGTTAGTTTTATCAACAATTATACACACATATGCCCACCTTTAGTGAACTACACACATGTAAGTAACATCAACCAATCGATAGTAAAGAAATACAAAAGTATCGTATCGATTAGATGCATTTAATTTTCATCCACTGCTTTGCATACTGAAAGTTCGAGTTTGCAAACTTTCAGCATCCGAAGAAAAGAAAAAGGTTAATAGCGAGTGATGTCGAAAGGACGTGCAACTTCGAATCTCTTCCCACCATCCACCACTTTGCAACTTAGATTACAGCTAATCTTGTGATTAACTCAGTGGAATCACTCTGGTTCTTATAGTGGATAGTGTTGTGTTTAGTTTCAATCAGATTACAACTCCTAATATTTTTTTGGCGGGAAAAAAATTATAGTTTTTCATAGTTTTACCAATTACAATTCTACCCTCCAACCTTTTAAGTAAAAGTAAAAATAATTTGTTTTTTTTGTAATTAATAATCAATTTTCAGACCATCGTCACATACCACAACCATATTAGTAAGAATATGTATTTCCACATCAATGCCTACCACTATTCAACATCTACCCCACCAGCACAATAACAATTTCCCATAGTAGAATAAAATATTATACTATTTAAGCATAGTCTATCCATTTTATTTGTACAGGATCTACACTATATAAAATATAAATATTCTTAATATATAAAATGTTAATTCAATAAATTGGGCAATCGTTACAATCTGCACACATGAAGTGATCTTACACCAAAAAAAAAAGAATGAACCTCCAATATTCAAAGAATCACTTTTGAAACAATTACAGAAGATCGGAATACAAACATAAGCGCCGAGTGGCTACGAGTAGCATTGTTTCAGAACAACCCTCGTTTCCTTTTCTTGCTTGTTTCACCATACTCGAATTCTCTCAAGAAGACTGATTTTGATGGGCCAGAAGAAGAATTGTCATACTTGATAGCGGCGTCTAAGGAGTATATTCGCAAAGAAAGAGCGGATACGGTGGATATTTGGGCAGCTGTTGGGAGTGAGGACCAATACCTCCATGAGCAATCTAAATAGCTCAGCTTAATCATATCTTCAAATACGATTAGTGCCTGAACCATCTGAATATAGAAAAACAAAACGAAAAAAAATTAATCTATTATTTATCCACAAGAAACTCGAATACAAGCATGTTATTGAATAACATAGGGCATGAATGACACAGATGTACAGATACAACATTTCATGGTGGCATATTCTGTAATTAAGTGTTTTTTTTCCAAAAAAGCACTAGCTAAAGGAAACCATGGAACAGGACAAGGCATGATAGCTACGCATCTTTGTTATTTTTTTTATAAATTATACCACAAAAAAGGGCTTTGGTGCTTGCCATCGGTTGGCTAATAAATTCACTAGATAAACTATCATATGTACAATAAGCAACTTCACAACAAAAAAATCCCCTCAAAATTGAACAATTCAACAATCTACATTTAAAAAAGATAAAGAATCCAACCTACAAGGAGAGACTCGAAGTGAGGGAAAAAAAAAAAGAGACTTGGTAGAAGACTAACCTCGAATATAGTGTTTGAACGCTTTACAAACACACGCCAGGCATGCCTCCTATAAATGCACGCTTTGGACGACCGCAACGCCTCCTTAGGAATCGCAGCTTCCATATCAAGAAGGTTGATTTTAAGTTGCCCTAAATGTTCAGCCATTTTGTCTATCAACGGTTGTACAGAGTTAGAGTCAACTTCCTCCGTGTCCTCAACAACCATTTTCCCCTTTATCCGTTTCATCTTCATCTCGCTTGTCTCTGCCTCAACTGAAGGAGCATAATTGCCCTTGCCCTTCAGTATAGTAGTCGTCCTTGTAATAAAATTTTGACCTTCATTTAGAACAAGTGGTTGAGGCTCTTCGCCTTCAATTTTAAACTCATTCGGCGAAACATCAATTCTTGATCTAATTCGCAGAAGAGCCTTCTCCACTTGTACTTTAACTTGGTCATCATCTTTCAAGGAATCGACAACTCCTTTGATTTCAACTTCCGATTGGTAGCACGCCCAAGAAGAATATGCATTCGATCCTTCAATGCTCCAAAGTTGTTGAATTCTACTCAGCTTCGAATTTTCGACAACTTTTGAATTTTCGCTATCTTGATATAGCTCATCAACTCCATTGACAATCACCCATGTACCGGCGTCTGAATCTATCATCCAGTACAATTTTCCAGTATAATCCATGCCCAAAAACTCACTCCTTAGTGAATATTTAAACAAGGCACTCTCGATTGTTGCGTGCATTGCTGGGCCACTTTCGATTGGGTGTTGGCTTGAAGAGAGCTCGCATTTCTTCAAATGTTCCCGAATGAGATCCGAGTCCAACATCTCATTGCAAAAGAATTTCAGAAGGAGGATTCTCTGCACGTAGGTGATAGAAAACAAATAAGTTTCATCCAAAGAGAATAACGAGAATATAGAACCTTGCAATTCATAAAAAGGACAAATATTCCAAGCAATTTATTATAATAAAAATATATAACACTAGGCTGACCTCGTCCGAAGTTAGCTCCGAGTACTCTTTTTCTCGCATCACATCTACCACATCGGCAACTTTATATTGGACAGGATATAAGAAGTCGCTATTCTGTTCCTTTGGCTTTAAAGCAGCCGATGCTTCGCTGGAAATAGCATCTTGAACAACATTCTCGTCTGCGACACAATTAAGGCAGTGCCAACTTCCTCGAGGCACACCGACAAGAGGCGGACTCAAACAATATGTGTGATACTCTGCATCACATTGATCGCAAAGTAGAACCTTGTTATCCTCCTCATCAATGCCACAAACTTTGCATATCCCTTTATCCCAAGGTGCTTTAGGAATTTCATTCGCAACAGCATCCAGATCATCAATATCCTCATTACAATTGTCTAATTTCTGCTGTAGAGGAAGAACCTAAAAAAAACGGGGGCTATGTGAGTAAAGCAATCATATAGAGGAGTGTTAAAACCTATCACACACAAGTTAACCTCTTGTAAATTGTGGTAGGATTCATTATCACGAGTTTGTGTAAGACCATAAATAAACCCTACTGATAATCTGATTATTTTCCAATTACAAAAAAATTGTAAAATATAACATGCGTACATGATCACAGTAAAAGAAGAATGAAGTTATTGAAAAATATGACCACGGATTCAAGTGATAGATGCAGCGAAAATGTGTACCTCTTTTAAATATAAAGAATCAAATGCGTGGTATGATTCCTCGGCGAGCTGAACCAGGTTTGGGTTATTGCAGAAAGCAGCCTGCACCTCTGTCCAAAACTGGAAGATGAATAAACAGAAAGTCAACATTCTGTTCAAGAATATAATTGACTAGTTAAGAATGAATCAATCAATTAAACAAATGCAACGTTACTATAAAGAGGCGAAAATTTTGCATAATTTTTTTCCGGAAGTTAGATTCCTATGCTTCTCCACGGAAAACAATACGGGTCTAAAGCAAGATTAGCGAATAAAATATTACACGCGTGTATATCAAAACTGTATTAGAAAACGTAACAAAAAATACCTCTTGTACATCGTCGAAAAAAGCTTCATGTGATCCGTAAGCACCGGCAGCCAATCTCAAATCAATCATCCTTAAATAGAAAAGACTTGAAACCATAGCTGGAGAACCAAGAAGCCCTTCTTCGTTACTGCCACAGAACACCGATTTATCTCCAAGCAACCTGCGGAGCTTTCTAGTTTGTTTCCCTGTGGCCGATTTACGCAACACTATCCGACATTGTTTCATTACAATGTCCCACATAGGTTTGAAGCTCTTTCTGGTGGTTCTCCCAACGGAAGGATTTTGTTGCATAGAGAGGAAAGTTGAAGCAACTTCCAGAGCTAGTTTCTGCAAGAGAAGAAAGGGTAAAATTAAAACATAAACATTTATTGTGCAAGACAAACAAAGCTATATGGACAGAGACAGAGATGAGAATTACCTTAGTGGGGCCAGAAGCATTGGCCTTGTAAACTTCTTTGCTGATCGAACGAACCAAGCATTCTCTCGCCCACTCGGGTGGATCCTTGTCCAATGATTTTTTGATACAAATTCTTATTCTGGACCCCACATTTGTCTTCAAACTTTTTACGGGTTCCAACTCTTGAACCCACCCTGGAATTCCTTCATTCACCGTGGCGTCTTCAGACGCTTCACCATCGTCGTAGAGAGAGCTATAAATTCTGTTCGATGCTGCTGCAAGAAACTGAAAAAAGAAAACCAAGAAGAACAAGATTAAAAATAAGAAAATGTTATAATTAATCACTATTTATTAATAATAGTTTCAAAAAATTGCAAAGAAAGCATACGATAAAACTCAATCTCAACTCACCTCTGCATCGGCTTCTAATCCAGCAACTCCAGTTATCGGACCACTTTGTGGTGTAACATAGCCACATAAGTTCAAAAGTACGTCAATGCCATCACAAACCTCCAATGAACCGAGCTCCCCTTTCAAAAATGACATGGCTAAAGCATACCTCCTAGCCAATTCTCGCCATGTAAATTTATTCACGGGAGGGAAATTAATCTCGGTTCTTTTTTCCACGTTTTTTATTTGCCCCATTTTTTGGGGGAACTCTCTTAATAGTGCTCGCAGCATTAAGACGTGAGCATCAAGTAAACCATCGAATGATGATCCATCCAGTTCTGCGATAAATTCTTTCAAAGAGAGACATTTTCTCATACCTAATACCTCCTGGAAACGCAACATGAAGATCCATGCCTACATTTGGAACATACAATATATTAGAGGAAAAAATAAACTATATATATATATATATATATATATATATATATAGGATACTTTTCACATAAAGAATATAAATGTACCTCAAGAAGATCTCCGAAATGCGGATGATCTCCATGGACGGAATGATTAATTGAGACGGGCTCTTCATTTATCGGGCTTCCAACTTTTCCATGGGCCTCCATTTAGACTTGAATCACTTAGTAGCCGAAAAAAACTAACAAAGATTTACTCAATTCCACTGCACAAAGGACCTCCTTGGTGCAAAATCCACGTTACAGATGCAACAAGCTTCGATGTACCGAATCACCGGGAATATATACTCTACAAGGATCAATATACATGCGTACAACAATTATCAAATTTCTAAAAAATTCCAAAACCGAAAGCTACTCATTTACCTTGACAGACAACAGCAAAATAGAATTAAATATTTCAAACCATAGATCTATTTAGTCACAAGGTATATCAATTTTATTTCATGGTAAATCCAAAATCAATATTATATATCTCAAACTATAACGTTTTTTTGCAATGAATTACCGGATCTGATCGGTATGACTATCAAAATCTAAACAAAAACGACTACTTGCAAGATCTCATCAAGAAACATATAAATGCAGAATCATTTTTTATAACCGGTTCCGTACAAACCAGTTCCCCACAATATAGAAACATATAAATGCAGCAAACAATTATAATACATATTAATATTGAGCTAAATTCACCAGGACGAACAACCGCGCTTGACGAAAAAGGTGATGATTGCTAAAAATGAAAATAAAAATGGATGCACTGAATGAAAATTTTTATGCCATTTTGTAGTCCTCAGAGGGGTATTAATACAATTCACCATACCCTAAAATTGCACAAAGCGGCGGCGCGGCAGTGAATTTGCAAACCCTAGTAATAGAGGAATGCGAGTAAACGGTGAAATGGGCTTACATGCGAGTAAATTGGTATTACTGGACCGATTTGACATTAAATGGATCCATCGATTTATTTACGCCCATCATCTCTTTCTAGCATTTCACTAGCATTAATTATAAATCAAAAAGAAAAAATCGAAAATATTGGGCTTGACCAAAAACATATCAGTAATTATAAAACGTTCAAATTTTCAGACCCAAAAGCACCTAATCCATTAATATAATCATTTCAGACCATGGTTCGTCTCAAATGCAATTAACCATTTCAATAAATATTATATGCACAACATGAATGATATCGCCTTTTTTACAAGGTAATAAATGATGCATGTATATCATTGAAAATAAAAGGTAAGCTAATATAGTAGAATCATCAAAATAATGGATATGAATCAATAAACATCATTAATCAAAATAAGCATACTCAAAGTCGCAAAATCACGAGACCAAGCAAATGGAATAAATTGACCTACTAAATCTTGCAACATTTTATTACCTGTTTTTCGTTTCCTTGGATCTTAGGCCTCGAGACGCAAGTTCATAGCAGTGTATTACAAGCATAGATATGGTGGAAGTCGGAGGTGTGGCAAACCTGGAAGGCATAAAAGATCAACAAAATTAGTAACGGCAAAATACAACAACATAATATTTAGTAAACTAAATTATTGTAAATCATTTTTTGATTGATTGCTATAATGATAAATAAAATTATCAGTAAACATTGTCTTTATGTATTGAACTTGCCAATTTGGCATTTTTATATTATTACTATTGTCATCAATTTTCTTGTAAACATACTATGTTATTGCTCCAAAACTTCTTGATACCCAAATTTGAAGTATTAAAAATTTTCTATACTAAGTATGATGAATTCTAATGCTTTGAGTTAAATTTGTGAAACCGTGATAGTGTAAAGGCAGTAAATGATACCATGACTTTCCATCAAAGAGGCTATTCTAAAAAACTTGGAATATCTTAACCAAGCCTCTATACTAAGTATGATGAGTTCAAAGATTGTGCATCCACGCATGTTGAAATAAACAAATACTGAATTAAGTCCAAACATACAAATAGGAAGGGGAAAATAAAAGACGAACCTTGATGTGCCGCATCCTTGCCTTTATCAAATCCAATGCCTTTATCAAATCCAAAGCCACAGATGTTGAAAACAAGATTGGTCCTACAACATCTATAGGATAGGAAATCCCCTTCTGAAATTCTTTTGCAATGAGATGTTGGACTCGGATTTTATTCGGGAACATTTGAAGAAATGCGAACTCTCTTCAAGCCAACACCCAATCGAGAGTGGCCCAGCAATGCACACAACAATCGAGAGTGTCTCGTTTAAAATTTCACTAAGGAGTGAGTTTTTGGGCATCGATTATGCTGGAAAATTGTACTGGATGATAGATTCTGACACCGGTACTTGGGTGATTGTCAATGAAGTTGATGAGCTATATCAAAATAGCGAAAATTCAAAAGTTGTCGAAAATTCGAAGGTGAGTAGAATTGAACAACTTTGGAGGATTGAAGGATCGAAGGTATATTCTTCTTGGGCGTGCTACCAATCGGAAGTTGAAATCAAAGGAGTTGTCGATTCCTTGAGAAACGATGACCGAGTTAAAGGACAAGTGGAGAAGACTCTTTTGCTAATTAGATCAAGAATTAATGTATCGCCGAGCCTCAACCACTTGTCCTAAATCAAGGTCAAAATTTTATGACAAGGATGACGAACATACTGAAGGGCAAGGGCAATTATGCTCCTACAGTTGAGGTAGAGACAACCGAGATGAAGATGAAACGGATAAAGGGGAAAATGGTTGTTCAGGATACGGAGAAAGTTGACCCTAACGCTGTACAACCGTTGATAGACAAAACGGCTGATCATTTAGGGCAACTTAAAGTCAACCTTCTCGATATGAAAGCTGCAATTCCTAAGGAGGCATTGCGGTCGTCCAAAGCGTGCATTTATAGGAGACATGCCTGGCGTGTGTTTGTAAAATGGAAACCGAATCAAGGATGAAAAAGTAGAATAAAGGATGAAAGAGTTAACATGGGAATTGGTTGTTGAGGGCATGGGAAAAGTCAATTCAAATTTTGTAACGCAACCAATGGGGGAAGAGTCTTATTATATCTTAGGGAAAAAGGGGGAAGAGCTTCAACCATTTGTCCTAAGAAAATGGTTTCGCACCTGTGTCCCTAATAATAATGTTCAAAGTAATGCACTTGCGTCGACGCCATCTGCCTGTCAAAAAATAATAATAAAAGCAAGAATTAATAAACTTTGTTCATTGTAATGTAGGTGAAGAGTTACAATTTTCAAAAAATAAAAAAAAAATGCGATGAAATAACAAATTCTTTCTACATTTAATGATCAAACAATTATTCCCTATTTACATGTTTTGCACGTAAGAAACAAACAATTATATTCAAATCGGATCCCAGTCTTAAAAAGGATATTCCTTGTTCTTATTTACTTCCCTTTCCGGTAATGATCTCATTAAATGGCTCCTAATAAATCATCAAATCGAAAGGAAAAAAAACGCGCTATGGTTTCATAAATTTTGTGAGACGTAAACTAAAAGGGCAACACATTTCTCATCCACAACTATAGAATACAATTAAATTTCAAATACAAAGCCGATAATTCCAAATTCATTTATTAAGATCTTAAAGTATAAGTTAAGAAAAAAAATCATCATTTTAAGAGTTTCAAATCTCAAATTAATTGCCATATATCAATAAATGGTCTCGATCTACGATCTCCGGAACAGAAACATGCCACAGGCAAAACATGCATGACATAGAAAAACTTAAATTCATTGGCCAGATCACATATAAGAATTCTGGAATCAACAATTAAACAAATTAAATTCGATTCCCTCATGCAAATATATAAACTAATTAAGATTTAAGAGACCAAAAAACTACCTGCTGCATTCGACCAAGAATGACGTTAATGCGAAAAACCCAGCAGAGGTTCGGGAGGAGGCTGTGGGCAGTGGAGATCTTGGACGATCTGTTCAATCCTGGATTCAACAATTAAACCAATTAAATTCCATTTCATGTAAATAAACCAATAAGAGACAAAAAACGAACCCTCAAGGGTTTCATAAATTTTCCTCATACGTAAACTAAAAGGGCAACATATCTCTCATCCACAACTATAGCATTGGATCCCTAAACAAAATATAGAATACACATTCGGTAAATACAAAGCCGAAAAAAAAATCATATCATTTTACGAGTTTCAAATCTCAATTTAATTGGTATATATCAATAAATGGTCTCGATCTACCATCTCCGGGAATTCCACAAACAAAACATGCATAACATAGAAAACCGGAATTCATTGGCCAGATTGTACATATCGATTTAGGAATCAACAATTAAACAAATTAAATTCGATTTCCTCGTGCAAATAAACAAATCAAGACGAAAAAACTACCTGTAGACCATCGCCCATTTTTCTTTTCGATCGCAAATATTCTTCTCGAAATAGAATGAGTTAATGCAAAGGACCCGCCGGAGGTTCGATCTCTGATCGATTTGTTCAATCCTGGATTCAACAATTAAACTAATTAAATTCGATTTCATTTAAATAAACTAATTAAGAGACAAAAAAAGAAAAACTAACGGCATACCTGTATTTGCGAATAGATGGACGTTAATCCGAAAAATCCGGCGGCGGTTCGGGAGGAGGCTGTGTGCGGTGGAGATTTCCCCAGATTAGTTTAATTCTGGAATGAACAATTAAACAAATTAAATTCGAATTTGGACATGCAATTAACTAATTAAGAGGCGTTAGAACCTAACCTGTAGACCATCACCGTTAATTCAAAAAAAATAACGGGGCGGCGGAGGTTCAGGGGGAGGCGGTGGGCTGTGGAGATCTTCGAAAATCGATAAATAGATCCGCACAACAAATTTCATGATGTCAGAATTCGACAGCGGCGCATGTATATAATACTGATAGCTCTGTGTACAGTCGTATTTATAGTGACAGTGGGGAGTAAATCTATGGAAAGTTGGTGTGGTAGGGTTCATTTCAGACAGCCGCCGCCGACTGAAGACAAGCCCAGTGGGCCTGGTTTTTTGTGCCAGTGTTGTACCTCACTTCTTCTATTCTATAATTAGTATTTAAATGGTAGATGGACTTTATTTTATTTTTTTATTAGTTTGACTATTCATGTCCTCAAATTAAATATAATAAAATAATGCAAGTAAAGAAGTAGAATTTAGAATTTTGTCGTTCGAACTCAATCGACGTCTTCATGTATGGTCCATGGATGTAAGTTACGAGTTATTATAAAAGATGGGTCGTCGTGATTTTTTAAATCTGAACATACTGATCCAAAAATATATACTGCGTCTGCAATAAATAAAATTTAATAACGAAGTAAAAAAAGTATAATTTATGAAATTGTAGTTCCAAGTTAATCGCCGTCTTCATGGATATGAGTTATTCCAAAGGTGAGTTGTGCTTGAGAGTAAGATTTATTATGAAAGACGGTTGTCGCGATTTGTTTACCCTAACAGACTGATCTAAAAGTATATACTACGACTGCAATCAAATAAAAGTTAATAACGAGGTAAAAGAAGTGTACTTTAAATATTGTAGTTCCAATCCGTCGACGTCTTCATGAAAAGGAGTTATTTTAAAACTCAAGTTATGCCTAAAAGTTAAGATTTATTCTAAAGGATGGGTCGTTGTGATTTTTGTTAAATATATATATACTACGACTGAAACAAATAGAAATCTAATAACGAAGTAAAATAAGTATAATTTAAATTATTGTAGTTTAAACTCAATCGACATCTTCATGGATCGAAGTTGTTTTAAAAGGTAAGAATTACGCGTGGACGTTAAGACTTATTATGGAAGCAAGTACATATCCCGTTTTCTCGGAACTTGATTATGGAAATCTACGAGTAGCGACGGGGTGTACTATATGTGCCAATTGTCATTTACGGGTCGTCGAGATTTGTTTTCCATAATAGACTGATAAACTATATATATACATGTAGCGATGCAACAAAATCGAACTGTGAATGAATTACGAGGAATCACTTTGCAACTTAGATTACAGCTAATCTTGTGATTCAGTGGAATCACTGTGGTTCATATAGTGGAAAGTTTTTTGTTTAGTTTCAATTATATAACCACTCCTAATATTTTTTGGCGGGAAAAAAAATTTATTTATCATAATTTTGTCAATTACAATTCTACCCTCCAACCTTTTAAGTAAAAGTTATAATAAATTTTTGTAATTAATAATCAATTTTCAGACCAACGTCACATATAGGGGTGGAAATTAGAACGGAATTTCCAAATTTCGCCAATTCCGATCCGAAAATATCCGAATTTGGAACACTTTTTTTCATTCCGATTTCCGATATATCAATTTCCAATTCTTCCGATTATTTTTGGAACGGAATTGGAATTACATATAAAATTATTAGAAATTCGAATTTCCGATATGATTTTGTTTCCGAAATATAAATACTATATAGTATATATATTTTTGAATTGTTTTTCTATTCCCGTTTTGCAAAAACTATATTTACTTTTTCTTTTCTTTTATTTAAATTTGCAAGAACTAAGTTTGCTTAGATAAACTAATTATGTTGTTCTTAGAGCATCTTCCACCCTAATCACCATTTTTTCACCAAATCCTATTTTTGGTGGTGAAAAAATGGGTTTATCTCCCACCCTTAGGACACCATTCTATAATTTCACTACTTTTAGTGAAAAAATAGTGTATTTGGTCTCCCACCACCTCTCAACAAA